AAAACTTTTTTGGTCAAAAGACATGTTTTTAGGCTAAAATCATGGATTTTGGGTAGTCACATTGACACTTTGTTTAAACATGCAAACAGTATGTGGTATTGTGAGATGTTGTTTTTAAGTTAGAGAGAAAAGTTCAAATTCTATGCCAGAGTTTTTGTAATTGATTATTAGTATCATAAATATGTTTAAACTTGTTCCAAAGATAAGCGGAAAAGTGAGGCATCTTATAGCGAACTACATTTGTAACAAAAATGCTAAGGATCGTTACATGGTATTTAAAAGCACCATTTTTTCACCAATGCTTTGGCAATGTGTTACGATCAAAAATAGGGTAGGATGTAAAAAATCAGATGACAGGAAGGGTACTTTATGACGTAATAATGACGTCACAATATACTACCAAGTTCGTACAGTAATTAATTGTAGAAAATAAGGTCGTGAAGCGTTGTGATGAGATTCCAAGTAATTAATTTGACATTTTGAGGGTCAGGGAATTGAAGAGTGATATAATCAGTGACATTTGAAAATAGTGACGTCACTGCAACAGCAAATCAGCTTATTGTTACTTAAAAGTAACAATAAGCTGATTTGCTGTTGCAGTGACGTCACTATTTTCAAATTTTCTTGAAAAATCTAAGCATTTTTTATTATGGACAAAAGTGCTACAATGACGGTATTTGTCACGCAGAAAATAAATTGTGTGACATTGTGCGGCTCCTTGAATTTGGTCTTTACCACGTCCATTTGTTTTGACCATTTACTATAGCTGGAAGACGTAACATTCTTATATGTGTTGTATATTACGGGTAATGAGGTATGGGTTAGGAGCCAGACAGAAAGGAACGTGGTAACCTGAAATAGATTAACAGAGTGGCCGGAAATGGTGATGATACGTGTTTTAACAATGTATTACAAACGGGGGCTCGATAGTCCGAAGGTCCAATAGTCCGAAGGTTCTTTAGTCCGAAGGTTCGATAGTTCAAATGCACAAAATTTCCATAAGGGGGGTTCGTTAGTCCGAAAATGAAATAAGGTTCGTTAATCCGAACATTTGATGCAAAAGTCCGAAGGTTCATTAATCCGAAGGTTCATCAGTCTGAAGGTTTATTTATCCGAAGGTTCGATAGTCTGAATTTAGAATAAGGTTAATCAGTCCGAAGGTTCAATAGTCCGAGACGAAAATAACAAGCCCGCGGGAACGGGGGGTGCTGTGGGTGCTGCAACACCCCCAACTTTTTGGATTGGGGTGCTGAAATATGCTTAAGCACCCCCTACTCCCGGGCAAAAATGTGTTCCAGCCAGCAGTGTTCTACGACGTTGAAATTGCGCCGCTGCGCTATACATTATGCTTGCTCTAAAAATATCTCCCTCGTTTTGTTCGTTTCTAGTTTTGCCGCGGCTTAGCGCGGCGCTTCGAACGTCTAGCACAAAGTAACACTGTAAAATATCAGGAGGAGGTATTTTCTAAATTTTCAGGCAGTGCAGAATCGATATTTCTCTCAATGTATCTAAAATCATGACATGTCTATGATATTTCCGCCATTATGGAAGCTTTGACCTGAAAAAAATAACCTTTTCCATGACAATGGTGGCAAAGTTGATTATGCTTGTCACAATTTTTTTCATTCGATCTTTCAATAGGGGCAAAGTTCATACCTTTCCCCTGAAGGTTTTTCTTTTCATTTAAAAGTTTCATTGACGTTGCTAGCATTCTGTACTCAACATTAACAAATATTAAGGTTCACACACATCCCAACCTAATAGGAGTGGGACGGGCTTCCATTGAAACTAGTTCCAGTGTAGTTTCGTTTTAATAAAAAAGCTATTCATGTGTTACCCTTTGCAAGTTTTTCCTCATAAAAACTCAGTAGACCGATAAATCCTTGCCTAGCCGCAAACTTGCCACCTACCGATCATAAACATAACTTGCATTTGGTCTGTTAGTCTTTTATATTTGCCATTCCCTGTAACAAACAAATAACACTGCAAATATATCAAGAGCTACATCGTTTAGGCCTATGTGAATATTTTTATGAACAGAAATTCACCCGCTTCCAGTGGAACCATTTTGTTTTAACTTGAACCAAAAAACACCCTTTCGGGTTTTATAAGTTTAAGTATATACTTCAGTATATTTCATCACAGTGCATCCAGAATCCAACATTTTCAGGGGCCTTAAAGCAGGCCCCTGGCCCTGTGGCCTCACACCGTAAGGGCTCGGGGGAAAAAAACATACACGACGGAATTTACTAAATGTAAGAAAGCAGCCTAGCAACAATAATATTTACGTGCGATGTCATGCATAATGATACAATTCTTTGTCCAGAATTAAATGGAACAAAAAATGGAGATAAAAAATACAGGGTTTTCGACTTTTCAGTACAGTAGAAACGTCATAAGAGCAACAGTATATTCTAAACAAAAAAGTAAAATTAATTTTCTTTATAATCTCAAAAAAACCTTTGCTAAAAAAGTCATATGAAAGTGGCCAGGAATCGCCTCATATTGCACCACAGAGCATCCATATTCCAAAGCTTTTAGGGGCCCTTTAAGCCACGCCGTAAGGGCTTTGTGCTCCGCGTTAGCATTAATTTTGTCCGTCCTTTAGAAATTCCAGCACCCCCTGGCAAAACTTTGTTCCAGCGGGCTTGAAAATAAGATTCAATAGTCCGAAGGTTCGATAGTGTGTTTCTCGATTAAATACACTATCCTTGTCGTTGATGGACCGTCTATCCTATTCCATCCATCTATCCATCAGACATCATCTTCTGTGTGACACGGGCAGAGCATCTCTGAAGGTCCACTGTGTGAGTAGTTTATCCTTTCTTGTTTACACAAAGCTGGATTGCGACTGAGATCGTGCAAATAAATAATCTTTAAATAAGCTTCATCTGTAGTCTTGTTTATTAATTATTAGAGATTTTGGTAAAAATGAACAGAAGTCTTCGTAGAAATTGTAGATATAATTCATCTTGCGTAAAATATACCTTTGCAAGTTTACAAACTTCCACAAAACGTATTATTTTGCAACATTCGAACGTATAATTGGTTTGAACATTCTACCTTTTTATTGCTTATGTGAACAGTTACTATCGTATTTCAGGACAGTCATCATGGATTGGACTGCTTGCATTATCTGCATGCAAACTACACCAGAAAAACTACGTTGTCCACAAAAAGGTTTAAATTGTAACGCCGGAGAAGTATATGCTCAATTCCTGGCTAATGTTGAAGGGTTTAGGGCAATAAATGCATTGCCAGTTGATGTAGAATACGGAGCCGAAGGGAAAGTAGAAACTTTTGTGGAAAATAATGCCTTGTGGCATCATTCCTGAGGTAACATTTATGAGATAATCATGACGTAAGACATTGCATTTTAACGAATCATTGATCACAACAGGGGATAGGAGCGAGAGTCAAATGTACATGTACATACATGTTTAATATAATACATTAAATTAGAAAACATCCCTCATTTTATCAAACTATTTGTATTTAAATCTTTTAAAGAACTAAGAACAAAATTGGTAACTGCACAGCTTTCCTTGATCTCAGAAACGTATATTAAATGAAAAAAAAACGATCCATGGCTTATTCCTAACTAATATCTCCATTTTAATGTATAAGTGTGTAATAATTAGCCGATGACGTCATAATGATGTAATAAATGGCCCTTCCCATCATCCAATTTTTGTATCCTACCTTGTTTTCGAAAAGGTAAATAATGGAGATGCTTTGGTGTGAAAATGGTGCTTTTGTCCACCCGTGTCACGATTTTATCACTATTGGTACCTCACTTCTCCGCTTATCTTTGGAACAAGTTTAAACATTTAAGATACTAATAATCAATTACAAAAAATCTTTTGGCATAGAATTTGAGCCTTTCTCTCTGACTTAAAAACAACATCTCACAATACCACATACTGTTTGCATGTTAAAACCAGGTGTCAAAGTGACTACCCAAAATCCATGATTTTAGCCGAAAAAACAGGTCTTTTGACCAAAAAGGTTTTTTTGACCCACAAAATCACCCTCAACTATATTCCATCCCAATGACATACCACTCAAATGAAAGATCTTGTTGTCCCCTTTAATTTGATACCAAATTTGTTGTTGAGATGCTTGCAGTTCTGAAGATTATTATTAATTTATATTTTTTCATGTAATAATTAGCTGATGACGTCATAATAACGTCATACATGCCCTTTCCATCATCCAATTTTTTGCGTCCGTCTTTTTTTCGAAAAGGTATACCATGGAGATGCTTTGGTGAAAAAATGGTGCTTTTGTCCACTGTGTAACGATCCTTAGCATTTTTGTTACTAATGTACCTCACTACAGTGGAAAAACTCATTTTTCTCAAACTGTGAAAACTCTTTCAACCCAATTTTTTTTTCTATGATTCCCTTTAGTGTTTCTCTTCATTCTGCTACAGATAAACCTAACCCAAAAATGCCTCTAAACCTGTTTTCCAGAAATGGGGAAACACTGTGTGGACGTGGGCAAGTCCACACAACGTCGGTGCTACCTACATTATGTGGACGTGTTTTGTTCGGAAGTCCACACTGCGTATGTAAGACAAGCTCATCCACGAGATGCACACAAATGACACACCATTGAAAAATAGTTTTAGTTTGGTCCTCAAGTACTCCACTGCTCACACTGCATTGATGTCTATAAGATGCTTGACTGCATTCTTATTAGACTTGTCACCAGTCCATCCATTATCGCGACATTTCGCCAGAAGTTTTCGGTCAAAAACGATACTTAATAATACAAGCATTTTTTTTTTCGTTAGGTAGAAAATGGGAAATTCGTAATGTTTTAGTGGCAAATCGTATTTTCATAATTTAACAAACAATTCGTAATAATTACGAAAAATTAGTAACAGTTGGCAGCTACAGTATGTATCTATAACGTACGTATATTCAAAACACACACAAAAAAAGTGTTTTGTAAATTTTTGTTTGTAAATTTCATGTATCCAGGTCCGATCGCCTCTCCGAACCAGGGCACATCCTCCCCCATTAGGGGTGGAGCCACGCCCTACGATGACCCCACCCAATTTGACAAACCCGACCGTTACTGCCAACTCGTTTTTCTACATCAAGGATCCCAAGCCTTCATACAACACATGCGACCTGCTGGAGCTCTACATTGAAGTCCGCGATGGACAGAACCTGACGAAAAAGATGGGTGGTGATCTGCTGTGGCCCATTATTCGGACGGATAGACTTCATGCGAGCGCACCGTACGATGAGCTGATTGACCACGGGAACGGAAGCTACAACGCCCGGTTGACGCTCTCATGGGCCGGGGTGGTTGCGCCCCGTGTACCGTTCATTCACAGCGCCGAGTACGTGGCAGCCTTACGGGGAGTCATTCAACGACAGCCCGTACGCTTCGGCTATGTTTCTCGGTTCATTGCCAACGGTAAATCGGAGTACACACCGTGTCACATGGACAAAGAGATGCCGTTCATTGCCACTAAACCCGAGGCGAATTTTTCCTACCTGTCACCAACCGAAGTCTGTGACTATTCCGATGTCAAAGCAGGGACCAATTGGTACTGCCTGAAGCCCAAGACCCTGCCCTGCTCAGCGATTTCTCTACACAGGGGTGACTGGAAGGCGTCAAATGAATTCTTTGACCACATCATGACTGGAGAGGAAAAGACAGCATGGAAAGTGTATGTTTAAAATGTATACTTTGAAATCGCCTCCATAATTCAATATGAAACGAGTCAGTTAGTGCCAGTTTATTGGATCTAGTCAGGCCCATACACAGGGTGTCAAGTGGGGAGTTGCGTTTGCTCACATTTTAACGCCAATTCCCTGCAGTATATTTTAAGGGGGCAAAAAAATGTTGACCAAATTACGAAAATGATACTTTAAAAATGTTGACCCTTTTCTAATTTTGGGGCCCCTGGTACAGGCCTGCTAGTTCTGCGCGTGAAATTCAAATGTATAGCCGAGCAGTGCGACTTTTAACTTAACATGATTTCGAATTTCATATCCAAGTGAAGTTTACTTAAAAAAAAAATTACCATGTACAATGTAGTAACTAATGACCTCCTCACACTGCACTTTCAGTTCGATCCTAGATGACATGAGGATGTACAAAATTCTTTTTCTTCGCAGAGGAATAAAAGACTTTGCATTTCTGTCAAACACTGGACCTGTGAAGACGGTTTTGGTGGTTCAAGGTATGTTTGCCTGATTTTTTTCACTTTAAAATGTCTTTAAAATGTGCGAAACCCCGCGGTGTGCGGTTGTGTTTTGTTTGTTTTTCATTCCCAAATTGGGATCTTTTCCTTTTATTGTGTGTCACCACCTTCTACTCAATCAAATGAAGAAGAAAAAATCTCTTTCACTGAATCAAGGCGATCGGAAGAATTTTCTCATGGTGAGTTAAGCCCATAACACAAGTCCGCTCATGATTAGATAAACGACACCTGCTCGAAATTGTCAATGGCTGACGCGCTTGGTTGCAAGTGAAAGGTTATTGAGGATATATCGAATACTACTCTCATTATTTTCTTTCTATTCAGCTCCAGAAAACGCCGCCAACGGGTGTCTGAGTTTACCTAAATGCAAACCGGGACTTCCCCCGAAACCACCATCACTAGCAGCTGGCTATTACTACAAAGACTCGTGGAAGTCAAACGTATGCCGCGAGAGATCGTTCGAGCTGCCGGAGATGTTGAAGTGTCTACGGAACAAAAGGCTTTATTTTTACGGCGACTCCACGCTGAGGCAATGGCTGGAGTTTCTGGCACGCAGTCTGGGACCGACCATGAAGCTACAACGGGCGGGGAAGTCAGCGAAGATCATCGGCCCGCTGTACGCCATCGACAAGGTGCACAACGTCACGCTCACGTTCCGACATCACGATTTTCCCATCCGTAACAACTGGCTCAACTTTCACGACGTAAAGTTCACGGTGAACGAGCTAGACGCGCTACCAGGCGGGCCCAACACGGTTGTCTTGTTTACGTTCTGGGCGCACTTCACCACAAATAGCGTGAATTACTTTGCGAACAGGATGGGGCACATCCAAGCGGCTGTTAGGAGACTACAACAGCGAGGCCCCAGCCCCAGTCAAGTCTTCTTCAAGTCAGCAAATACTAGAGCTGATGGGTCCAAGGGGCTTGCCTTGGCCGATTTCTTTGTACTTGAAATAGATCAGATTATGCGAACAATATTTAGTGAAATGCCAAATGTGACTATCATAGACGCTTGGGGAATGACATTGAGTCATAGGACAGGATACAGACTGCACCCTGTTGCTCTTGTTCTACGAGAAGAAATAAAGATGTTCCTCAACTTTCTATGCAAACAACCCAGCCAGCCAGCCAGCAACGGTCAGCCATCACCCCAACCCGCCAGCCAGCCGACCATCGGCCAGACAGCCAGGGCCGGCCAACCAGTCAGCCGGCCAATAATTCAACCAGTCAGCCAGCCAACAACCCAGCCAGCCAGACTGGCGGACAGCCAGCAAAACAGCCAACTTAACAGCCAAACAGCCGACCAGCCAACTAGCCAGCAACCCAGCCAGCCAGCTAGCCGGCCACCCAGCCATCCAGCTAGCCGGCCGACCGGGGAGCCAGCCAGTCAGCCGGCCATCACCCCCAACCAGCCAGCCAGCCGACCGCCGGCAATCCAATAGCTTTATTCAAAGGACGCCGTAGTCAGAAGCCATAAACCCGTATGTACAATGCAGCCAGGGATCGCCCCAAAGTCACGATACAGACCTGGGAAATACCAAACAGGGATCGCTCAGAGAGGATCCACCTGGTCAGTTTCCCTTTGTGGTTCATTTGAGAATTCTTTCAATTTGTGCAAAAATCTGTTGAGTACATGTATATAGGTTCCGATCGAACGTTCGTATGTCAGCCTGGAGTAGTGGCGTAAATCCGTGCCGGCGAGTGGCGGGGCCGGGTGGGGGAATGGAGGAAATCCTAAAATTGCCCGGTCGTGGAAATTTGAAGGGGCAAAAAGGTGCGGGGGGGGGGGGGCGGCTGACACCATATGACACTGGGGGATTTGTTTATAGGATACAAATGTAAACTGGCTGGGTTACACTACATCAAGACGGTGCATTTAAAGCATTTTAGCTGTTCGTTCTTCGTTTTTCAGTACTATTTAATACATTATGGCTGGTGATGGAAAGTTAGAAACTAACCTTAAAATCGGCATGTTTGATTTCTCACCACAAAAATCCGAGGGGGATGATCCAGTGCCCCCAGACCAAAAAGTGGGGGGATATATCCCCCTCACCCCGAGATTTACGCCCTTGGCCTGGAGCTTGTCAGGAAGGCCTTGGAATGTGTTCTTCATGCAGGTTCATATGCAAGCTGCATGCTGATCTTAGTGCAAGATATTAATTGATCAATGCCAGTACTAAAGGCGTACGGTGTATAGGTGTATTCCATGTCTGGAATACCGTACTTGCATCAGTATCACTGAAAACAAATGTAGGTTTTCCAAAGTTTTATTCAAAGTTGCACAATTACAAACAAAAACTCTACCCTTTGTTTCTCCTGGGAAACGTTTTTTTTTCTTCTTCAAATTGCAGTGAAGATGCGTAGGATTTTGCATATAAGCTTGCAAAGTTTTGCATAAATTATTGCATGACTACTCTACATGTATTTGAAGAATACTGGGAGTTGTAGTTGTGACAATGATCAATGTTATTTGAGGCTTTGTTTGAATACTAAGTAGGGTTTAGGATAGTTTTAATTAGGCAACGCACAAAATGTTTTAACACTAGTATGATGGGTACAACACAATTTCATTCGACCCAATCTGATATGATTATTTTAAATTTGTCTACAAAAAAAACTAGTCTTGCATGCAGAGTGGGACTGCTTTTTCTTGCATATGCAGCATACTACCCCGTTGACCATGGAAATTAATACAGGAGGTCTATGAATTGTAAGAACACTCTGACACTGATTTTAGTTACTTTCATCAAGAATGTTTCAACGGATACTTCTTTAATTAAGATTTGAAACTTTGCATGGCGGTAATATAAAGTAGTGAAGATTTGCGGAAATACCGCAGGTATGCCTACTTCTTTGTTCATAACGTGTTTTGTTTTTATACTTTCCCTTTACATAACCAAGTCTATTAAAATAAAGTATTGCTTCGCACTTGTGCAAAGTTGTTCTACCTCTCAGACTGAACTACCTGCATGCATGTCAACAATTCATAACACCTGCTTGCCGCTTTGTTCCCTTAGGGCAGAGACACAGCCCTGAAAAGAGTAAAAGGCAATATTGTTTGTCAAATGTTTAGTTATGCTATTCACCTGTTCAGTCTAGAATATCCGTCTATTAGTTTCTAACATTTCATTTGTATGGTGTTGGTTTTTAATTGTTTTGTGCTATGTCGATCTCAGAGTTTCTTGTGCAATGTAGTGTGGTCCTCTTAATTTTAAATGTATTATATTAATTTATTTTATTTTTTTAAGTAATAGTGATGTAGTGTGTATTGTATTATAAACATTGCGGTTTTAGCGGTTGTATTTACTATGTTATTTTTGTTGTAGAAATGACAGTGGAAGCTGAATATCTATGGTTTTTAGCGTGGATAACCCTTTCCTTACCGCGGTACCGAAGAAACAGAACAACTGAGGCAGCCTCGACTCCATGGGCGCGTGCGCGTTCCTTACACTAACCCCCGGCCGTGATGATGACGTGAATGACGCTGATTGGCTATTCACAGCGTAGTGCGCGCGCATTTCGAAGATTGCACGCCGGGCGCGCCCATAATGCGCTCGCGTGCTTTGCACGTTACGTAACGTACGAAAAAAATTGTTATTCAAAAGTCGCGATGCCTGTACGATATGGATTATGGTAGCCTCGTTTTTTGCTAAAAAAACCCTGTTTCTTCGGTTGTAAAGGGACGAAAGGGGTACGTACATTTAATACAAATCTTTGCTATATAACGCAACGTCCAAACGTTTTGTTTGAAAGGATTGATTCTTCAAAATCACAACTTTTAACATTTTAAAGATGGCGTCGGCACGTAAAACGGATAAACTGCAGCCTAATTATAATGTGCCATATTTTGACCACTGATCTCTTTATAAAGACTGGATAGCGGATATGCATACAACATTCACACAGTAGACTTTACATATTGACCAATTCGCCCCCGGTCTCACGAAGATGGCCGCGTATAGTACGAACGTTCTACGCGTAAATTCGTGCGCGTTGTATCAACAGTTGACGCGCATTTTGGTCACGTACACATATTATGATGTTCTCAAAGGGACACATTTCCGTAGTGATTATTATTTCAAAACGCCGAAAAAGTTATATTTGCGGCATGTTAGTAACCACGACGTTAAAAAAATTATAGTTAACCTTGGTCAGTGATGGTGGTCAAAATATAAGTCAAGTGAACCGCGACGTTACAAAAGAAATCATGCTGTCTATAAAAACGACAACTTGTCCTTTGTAGATCACCAGCCGGTCTCACCAATATGGCGTCAAATTCGTACATTATGCGGCTCTTTATTAGCTATCCAGTCTTTATATAGAGATCAGTGATTTTGACACATTTAAATTACACAATTCCAGGGGTTAAGATCGCGCAAGGCATGATGGGAAACAACATGGCGCAGCACGATCTGTTGTTGTTGCCATTGACATCAGGGACAGATTTTGGAAGACACGCCAATACAGTCGTTTACGTGGGACAAAAACACAAGCATGGCACTAACGTAGTGTGGAAAAAAGTATTTATCGTTGAACAAAAACACAAGCATGGCGCTAACGTAGTGTGGAAAAAATTTATCTTCGAACAAAAACACAAGCATGGAGGTAACGAAATGTGGAAAAAGTATTTATCGTCGAACAAAAACACAAGCATATGTGGCCGGGCCAAGATTTAGCTGTGAATTTTTGTCCGATAGCGATGTATAGTTAATGTCCAATAAGGGTTTTTTTTAATGGATAAATTCAATCTGTGTTCAGGAAAATTTGAGTTCACAGTTCAGGTAAGGTCTGGACAAGGTTAAAAATTAAGCTTTACTGCTCTGTGGCAACTTAACTCAGAAGGTTAAAATGTAAGATTTATATAGCTTGAACTCGGAGGGTGAGGACAATTTCGGCTTGTGGTTCTGTGACAACTTTGAACACTGCGACGTGTCCACTGGTCGAATCGGGTGCAGTGTATCTTTGCAGTATATCACTCTTAGTCTCAAGTACTGTAGCCAATCTCTAGTTCAGGGTTGACAGATGTTTTAAATTAACTTTATTAGTACTTAACTGTATTAGTTGTGTGTAGAACAAAACTTACTATCCGTATATTTTACATTATTATGTTTTACTGTATTGTCACACATTTTATTGATATATGCTTAATTAGAATATTCTTGCTTTCTTTTCTTTTATTAGGTTGTTTAAGCTTGAGTGTTTTTGATTTATGACTTTCTTTGAACACTAGCTGTTGTTGGTTTTTAGTTTTGGTTTTTTGGGTTACTTTGTCCTGGGATGTTTTTGACATTGCTACTTGTATTTGGTTGTTGTTTTCAACTGTAAAGGTTCTGGATTTTTCAGATCTAGGTCATAGTGGTCTGGCTTTCAAAATTGGTGTTCATCAAATTTAACATTTTACCTTGAACTATAGAGTTTTGATTATTAGATTATATTTCCAAATTCCACCTGTTTTCATGAATGTCTTCATTATCACAATTTAATATTTTGATTCCTTTTGTTTCCTACATTTTTGTTTTGCAGAAATTGCCTCTTTACATATTCTTTCATGAAATAAATTTGCAGAAATTGCCTCTTTACATATTCTTTCATGAAATAAATTTTTCTTTGTTTTTTTTTGTTGTAGTGGAAATCTAAACACTGCCTTGGTTGTCTCTATTCTTAGGATTATCTCGCGACTCCTCCCTAAAAGATTCCTGTTTTACTTTTTCTTGTTGATCCGAAAGAGAAGCGAGTCCCCACGGTTCAGATTTTTCTAGGTATTTTTGTATTTTTGATCTTGTGCCATTTTTCCGGGTTACACATGACACTGACGTAGTGTGGAATAAGTATTTATCGTCGAACAAAAACACAAGCATGGCTGAAGTTCTGCATGTAGCGCTTTTCAGATAGGATGTGAAAGCCCACTAAGTTTTGTTTTAGTGAAAGAATAATTCAAATCGCTCGTGTACTTTCCGGTTATGGAATTTCGAACACAAACACCGTTTTTTAACCTTGTCCAAGGATCAAAATAAAGATAGGTGATATTTCAGCGAAACGAAAACTATTCACATAAAAAAAAACACATCAGAACACTCTCATAACCATGACAACTGGCACTTATTATAACATTTATTTTATAAACCTGCTACTTCCACTGTTAAAATAACCTGTTTTGTAATGTAGAGTTTATAGTCTTGCACTGCCTTCTACTTGGCTACCCCGGAGACTTGTGGGATTTTTCTATCATTTTCAGGATACGCCTGCATGGTTTTATTTTTACTGAAATATCACGTATACCTAATGATCCGTGGACAAGGTTAAAAAACGGTGTTTGTGTACACAATTCCATAACTGGAAAAGTACATGAGCGGTTTAAATGATTCTTTCACTAAAAGAAAGTTCATTAATGGGGATTTTATATCCTACATGCATAACTTCTTTTAAAAAAACACACCAGGGGGCACCCTTGGAAGGAGAAACATGCAAAAGAAAGCAACGGTGAAGCGCCGGGCAGCTATAGCACAGGGCTTGATCGCAGTTGATGAAAGGCCCCGTGATATTATTGGTTGCGTGCAGGAAGTCTTAAAAGATACTTGAAAAACGTGAAATATGTTTGCCCAATTTAATGAAAATGAATGCCCGATCAACCCCTAATTACTGCTGGTGGCAGTGGCGTATCCGGCTTCTGATGTCCGGGGGGGGGGGGGGGGGGGGTTCAACCGCACTCGCACATCCGCGCCGAAATGCACGTGTTTTTATTGCTCTCCGGACACTTGGCCTCTGTAAAATCAAAAAGCAGGGGGGGGGGGGGGGGGGGGGCCGTTACCCATCTTCCAAATGGGGGCGCTCTTCAAAACTGACCATTATGCATACTGGAAAATATATGCTGATTTTCACGGCGCACCGTGGCTTTGGAGGTTTTTTTTTTTCATGTCAGAACTCTCTAACAATTTATGGAAATAGTTACTGAAAAAATATTTTTTTACAAAAATCCGAAATGGGGGCAAGGTGCCCCCTCTCTGGATACGTCACTGGTTCAGACGAAATTGAACGAACAATGACGATACATGTACTTTTAATTTGAGTGAAGCGAAAAGACGATAGAATGCTCGGATAGTGAAATTGAATGCTTCTTTTTGATTGTCGAATGACTATCTGCGTGATCTTTCAATTGCAATCTAAATTAGCCAGGCAATAAATGGAATGAAACCTTGGTGAAACGCAAAAAAAACCGTAATACATTCTGCAATACGAATATCAGCTTGAACCGAATATCAAGTTGAAAATGTTTTTCAAGTCATTATACACAAGTGACGAAACCCAGCAGACAACATCGACGGTGACGGAGAAACACAACCGCTGATATGAACATCCCTCAAATACAGTCCAGTTGTAAACACCATTTACCATGGATGAATAGTGAAAGCAGAGGCTTGATGAGGAAACGAAATAGATTATTCAAGCGTGCAAAGTAAGTAATAGTATCACGCGCTGGGAAAAAATACCGTTCCATGAGACGAGAGGTGAAAACAGGCTGCACAAATGCCGCGCTGAGTACGTAGCGTGCACTACACTGCTTATGTCCAGCAAAATCCTAAAAAGTTTTGGAATGAAGTTAAAGCTTGTAAGAATGTGACTACAAGGGCTGAGTGTCTCAAAAGAAATGGTGATATTATTACAGATGAGAAAGAGAAAGCCGAGATACCAAATAACCAGCAGTTCAATTCCGTCTTTTGAACAGAAGTCCCTATTAGAATTCATACAACGAAGAGATGGCATTCCTGTTATGAGCGATATCAATTGTAGTGTCTATGAAGTCTGTAAACTGCTGAAAAACATCGATGTGAACAAATCACAGGGGCCCGATGGCATTGCTCCTAAAATTCTGAAAGGAGGCGCTGAGCCACTCGCCCAATCTCTCTGCACCGACTGCACGTTATTTAATCTGTCCTTATCCACATGCAGGCGAAGTTCCCGAAGACCAGCGTATAAAGCGAATGTCTGTCCAGTGTTTAAAAAGGGTAAAAAAAGAAAGATGCCCTTTCTAACTACAGACCTATTTCCCTTACATCAGTCACAAGCAAATTACTGGAAAGAGTCGTCTCCAATCACCTCACCAAGCATTTGAATGACAATAACCGCCTTAATGATAATCAACATGGCTTTAGAAAGAAACGCTCCTGTACGACTCAACTACTTGACGCAATCCATGATTGGAGTAGCACCTTGGAATCTGGCTCCAGCGTTCACATTGCTTTTTTGGATTTTTCCAAGGCCTTCGATACCGTTTCACACATTCTCCTTCGCGAGAAACTAAAAAGTTTGTGTCTTGGTGATCGTAACCTGAATTGGATTATGAATTTTCTTGAAGCTAGAACGCAGAGAGTCATTCTTAATGGTGAATTTAGTGTCGTCAAATCAGGTGTTCCCTAAGGGACAATCCTTGGTCATATTCCTTTTTAATTTGCTTGAGCGCGTTCAACGTTATGCCAGAACAGTTAGGATGGACGTCACTAGAAAACAGACGAAAGTACTTGAGACTTGTAATGGCCTATAAAATAATGAACAACCTTATTGATGCAGACAGCCTTTGTAAATTCAGTCCTCCAAACAGAATTTCCCGAAATGATCATGCTTTGAAAGTCCAGGTTCCCTTCGCTAAAACTGACTATTTAATGAATTCACATTTTGTTCGCACTGCCAATGATTGGAATGCCACTCCAGGTGATATCACTCAAAGCGCCTCCTTAGGCCCCCCCCCCCCCCCCCAAAAAAGTCTCCGGTTTCTGGTATGCGCGCGCGTCGCCGTAGCCATGCGCGTCGGCAAAATGAAAAAAGTTTTTTTTTTCAATGAAAGATGATGTCTCAAAACCGCCCAACTCACTGGTTTGACTGGAATCCTGCTGCTGCACAATTTTAACTTGTTTTTAGATTGGGTTATGGTCGAGAATAAGCTTTATGTGGCCTCTCTGGACTCCCATATATTTGCACTAAGTTTAGTCGGGCACCATTTGCAGTCATCAGCACACATTTGAAGCAAAAAAAAAAAAAGCCGCGTCGCCGCACCACTTTTTGGGCAAGCTCCATACCAGAAACCGGAGACTTTTTTTTTTTGGCCTTAAGTATTTTTAAGTCTTCACTGATGGATTACCTTTTAACTAAGCCCCAGGTTTCAAAACTGTTTTATCGTTTATTTAAAAAAAAATTGTGTACCCGTTCTCGTTGTTCACTATTTTATAGGTTATAATTTAACTAATTATATTTCCTAGCTTTTGATTTACAAATTTTTATTACATTTGCTGTTTAATTTTTAAGTTTGATTTTTTTTTTTTTGTATTCTGGTCTTTATTCTTTGGAAGTATGTTTTAATTCATTTTAACTATATTCTACGTCAATATGTTTTATTGCACCACCCGATTTTAGTTAGTATATATTTAAATATTCCTGTTTCAATATTTTAACGCGTTTGTGGATTTTACATGGGTTATATAACCTTTTCCACACCCCGCGGATTTTATATGGGTTATAGAACCTTTTCCACAACCCGCGACAGAAATGTCGAAGTAAATAAATATAATTATAAATAGAAGACTTGAGTCTAGCTTTGCATCAGTGCTGCAGTGACACTGTTTGGAAGCAGGCACGGATTATCACCCAAGGCCGGCCCGGGTCATTGCATACAAATAGGCTAACTGGTGCTGGCAAGCCTTGTAAAAGTTGTAGGGTCACGTATAAAGCTATTGGTTGTAAATGTGGCAACGGTCAAGTAGGCCTATATCGTGCGATTTATTGAATTATCACGTGATCAACGACGGTCACGCGAGCACCTTTGTAATACATGCAAGATGGCCGCTAGATTTATCGGCTCTGTTGTGGCTCCAGTGCTCTGGCCAGGTTTGTCTCGTCGATGTTCCCAACATGCGACTGGTCTGGCCAGGTCTCCAGGTAGTCTACGCCCATTGGGAAGTAACGCTCAGCCATTGTGGCGCATGGGTCAGTACACACCAGCAGCTTTAGGGGAGCAGCTTTCAAGGTCATACTGTAGCACACAGTCACCCGATGTGTACACTGCCCCGCCGCAACCATTGGCTAGGGAGGCACCATCCGTCGGCCATGGCTTCAACACTCTAGCCAATGTAAAGGTCGACTTGGAGAGAAAAGAACTCAATGTTTCCTGGGAAGGTAGCGGTGCCAAAAGTCAAGCTTATCCATTCGTCTGGCTGCGGGATAACTGTCACTGTCCACAATGCTTCCACCCTACGGCACTTGGACGTCTACCATCAAGCACACATCATCTCAACGTCGACGTTATTGCGGACGTGGTCGAAATCTCCGCCGATGGGAGGAGTTTAATCGTCCAATGGGACGACGGCCACGAAAGTGAATTCCTATTTCATTGGCTGGGATACCATCGCTTTGACCAATCACTGGATGACCAGTTGCTATATCCAAAGCAGAGTCTCTGGGGATCTGACGTCAACATCAAAAGCTTTGATTTTGATGAGTTGTTAGCGGAAGACCACTCCCTCTACAGCTGGCTGGCTGAGCTTGTTACTCGAGGTGTCGCTCTCGTAAAAAACGCCCCAGCGGAAGTCGGTCAGGTGTATAAGCTGGCAGAACGGGTGGCCTACCTTCGAGCAACAACATACGGGTTTGTTTCAACTAAGCCAATCTATTATATGCGCTCATGGCAGAATTACCATATTGGAATGAACAAGGCTAAACTTGCAAAATAAAGATGCATTGGACTCTTTACTCGATAAGTTAACACATTAACGTCCATTCATGAAGCCTATAAAAGCTGACCACATACGTATGTTACTAGTTGATACATTATACATGCACACACTCACACACATTTGTTTATGGTGTAAATCGAGGATTTTCTTTTGTTCCTCCGGCTTCCCTTTTCCGTTTGCAACAGCTCTCATTGGTTTTGTACACGTTTTCTAATCGAGGTCGACGTACCTCGATTTGGTTCCTGTCCTCAATTCATCGATGATGTTGCACGTGTGTATCCTCAATTTGCACCATAAACAAACGCATGTTTTACATGACTCACGAGGACTTCCTTTTGTCCCTGTAATATAACACACTCCCATAGACTGAGCACATAAACGCACGATCGAGGACCGTTTTCAACAAAAGAGGAACAATCAAAGTCAATTACAAGGACTCTGTTGTCCTCGCTTTGTCTGTCGGTCCTCGGAGTGCATTACAGTGAACACCCGAATGGAAAATAACACTGCCATACCAGACGAAGGACGAAATCTCTTCTGTCAAGAGTGCATGGCTTTTGAAACTTGACATGGTTATAAGAGGAACAATACTACGTGGTGTTTCACAACATTGCACATATTGCTTTAATGATTTGGTCTGTGGTGTTTTTTTTTTTATTCTGCAGGGCAACTTTTCATGTAATGAGTAAACCCGATCCAAGCAGCGTTGGATACACGACTGGTCCCTTCGCAATGCACACTGACTATGCACCATTATCACGAACGCCAGGGGTAAGGATCGTTTGGTCATCTACACCATTTTACACAATTCTCAGATATGCCATTTTAGCAAATGATAGAATGTGTTTCTGCTGGTCCCAGCTTTGTGTTCTCTTTGTTCCCCGATTTCCCCTTAGCAGGCCTGTTGCTGGGGGGTCCCGGAGGGGCCGCTCCCCCTGACAATCAATCCCCCACCCCCACCCCATAGGTAAGGGAGCTGAATAATCATAAATGACCTGGATTCACGTCTGTTTGTGTATGGCCAGTTCCATTATAGACACACATGCCCTCTTGCTTTTGCAGTGGCTGCAAGAAGTACAACCGAAATTGTCTGTATGGACATTATTCAGGAGGAAACCATTTTGGCTGTGTTCCCTGAATGGTTTATATATATATCTAATATATATTGTGAACTGCTGAATGGTGCCAGACTATTTATGCAATCTAGCCTCACTTTCCTTTTTTTTTTTTTAAATGTGGCTTAAAACATTAGGGTATGTTTAATCGCAAGTTCCCAAAATGAAGATTTTACCCCGCTTTCAATTGAATATGGCCGACTGGTGAATAAAGCCCATACCATGTTTTATAGGTACTCCTGCTTCATTGCATACTGCCAGCGGGGGAGGGCGGTGAGAGTCTCTTAGTTGATGGCTTCAAGGTCGCCCAGGACTTGAAGAAAATTGACCCGGAAGCATTTCGGCTCCTGACGACCTACGAGTTTGATTATTCGGAGAAGGGAACCGACTGCTTTGGCAGCTTCTATATGCACAGTCGGCACCCGGTTATCAAGTAAGTGAGAATTTTGTGAAGTCTACTTTTCTGACACTTCCAAAAGTAAAGATCATAGGAAACTTTTTCAATGGTAATTTCCCGTCAACTAGTGGCTACCAGTTCGACCCCAAAAGACATGGTTTTATAACCCGAACGTTTCGAACAGTATTAAAAAACTTATGCTCTTTGTCATCAGTAGCTGTGGTGTATCCAGAGGGGTTGGAGGGGTGGGCAACGTGCCCCACTGATGTCATGTTATCAATTTCTTAAGGTAACACAAGCGCCAGCATCTACCTTTCCTCATGGGCGTAACATCCGTTTTTTGAAGGCAAAATCGTCGTCATGTCGGCAAAATGGTGTGCCTTTAGGCAAATATTCTGCCACGAAAAGCACCACATTTTGTGAAGCAGTGTTTCATCCACGTTGAACAGCGTCCCCATTTTGGTCAGACGGTGTAGATCCGCCATCTTTTTTTAAAGCTCTGGCAGAAGCATCTCTTAGTGGTCGGTCGGTCGGTCGGTCGGTCGGTCTGCCTGTCCCCGGACAATTGACCAAAATAGCCCCCCTAAGTTTAGCCTTGACCAAGGCGTTGGGCTTATCGATTCGCCGATAAAAAAAATCGCCGATAAGAAAATCCCTAATCAACTTGGCAAGGCATAATTGCGTGCACATATCGATGCCCGTACGCTGTTACACCATGCGTACAGTCCGTACTCACGTGTTTGTGCTTGCTGGTTGTGTTAGTACCAAACCGTTCGTACGGACAAGGGTCGGTGGTACGGTACACGCACGGACAAGGGTCGGTGGTACACGCACGTAGCCGCGTTGATTGTGGGTGCAGGGCCCGATTATCTCCCTTCGACAAAAAGCCGAGAGACCGCATTGAACAAGGCTACCCTAAGTTTCCCATAAAATATAATTACCAAATTTAATTTTAAAAAGTCAAACAAAATAAGTTAAATACTTAAAAGAAATTGTAACAATTCGGAAAGATGTATATCAAAAGTTTGTAAATGGAGGCAAAATAATGTGAAGCAATGTTATAGTCATCCGATATTTATCACAAATCGCTATAAATTTAGGTGTAAATCTAAAGCATGGTGTTCCATATGTGCCATCAGCGTCGACTTTTTGGGCCTCGCATTTTTAAACTCTGGCAGGGATCATTTTGATAGATTTCATGCAAGACTTTCATGCAAGACGACCAGAGTTCATTGCGCACTCGTACTTGTTTTATTTTGCAGCCGTAAGTCCCGATCACCGTTTTGCAGATTACTGTCCCATTTTGCTGCCCCTCCCCTGGATCCACAATCTGGATAAGCTACTGTTCAGGAGAATCTCAAGTGGTAACATGAGCCATACGAAAACGAAGGTTTTTCCTCCATTTATTACAGATTAAATGAACTTGGTGACGTTGAGCAAATTGTCATCAGCAACCAAAGCCGGGACCCTATGCTGAGAGTTCCCGTAGATCAGATCCAGCCGATTTACCACGCCTTTAACAAATACTTCAACATGCTTCAGCTGCCGGAAAATCTGCTACAGTACAAACTGCAGAAAGGTACAATGATATCCCTGGCTTTCAATTATTTGGAAGACTCATTCTGGGGATTGGTTGGCTTGGGCAGTATACTCGGGCCTTTGATAAGATATAAATTGTGGGAAACGAAATCGAGACAGCGTCATTATGCTGCTTCTGTCGCTAGATTTGGCTTCAGATCGGTTCAATGTTTACAGGTCCCATGACGAGTGTTTCTTGTTCATCCTTGTGTGCAGGAGACATACTCACAAACGACAACCGTAGAGTCTTGCATGGCCGGAATTCCTTCCAGACGAACGCCCGGCATCTTGAGGGAGGCTACGTGGAGTGGGATGAAGTCAACTCGCGTCTGCGTGCATTGACATTGCAGTTACAGAAGAATACTACCGACGAGTAAAACCACAACCTAAAAATAAGCCAATTTTGTTGTAGCTGTGTAATTACGCCATTTAAAGGGTATGGGCCTAATCAAATGTGAATCTGTAACACTAATAACAATAATGATATATGCATAAAGCGATATATATCCATACAAATTGCTCATGAGCGCAGTACAATAAAATGTTAGAAACTATCCAGGATTACAATCATTTAAAGCTACACATGAACAAATATATAATAAACAAGAAAAACCGAAAATTAAATAAAATAGAGAAAGACCGACCACCACAACTACAAAACACGCCCAGCCGAACAATACTTATACAACCAACCAGAACGGACGACCAGCAAACAAGTACCTTACAACGTAGGCCACAAACAAAGCAACATAACGACTGACTAACCAGCCGGCCCACTCGTTCAAAGGAGTAAGTAAAAGAGTCAGTAAAGTAAATTTAAAATTACAAAAATTCAATTAAAAGCTACATGTATGGATAGGGCCTACAAGAAACCAAGAGCGATAGAAATGTACAAAGCACGATAAAAATGTACACCATAACAATGTAAAACACATTAAAAACTGATTGTATTCCTCATTAAAATGATAAGTTTTAAGACGTGATTTATAAACAGTCAGGGGTCCCTCGGTAATTTGTTCCATAGATGCGGCGCCACCTTGCAGAAAGCTCTTTCTTCAGATGATTTCAGTTTGACTGCCGGAACCCTGAGAAGAGTTGTGTCGGATGATAACCCAAATGACGGGCATTAGCAGATCAATTAGGGGCAATGTTCTGGCAGCGGGCCTTGTATGTGATATTAATGATTAGCTTGTACTGAATCCTGCGAGTAACATGCAACCAGTAGAAAGATCGTATAAACCTGGTAAGAGAAAACAATTAGGGTGGTCCAAAATGTAGGCCGAGTTATAAGTTTGGTGTAAAGATAACAAAATTGTACCTGAAATATCAATTCAAAAAGATAATGCCGTCGGTACACTAAACAATTACTTGCAGTAAAAAATTACAAGGTCCAATTGATATGAGATATGGTCAAAGGTAAACGAAAAATCAGTTTAGAATTTTTTTTTTTATAGAGGATCGGGTTGTGGGATGTGAAACATCTTCACAATTTTGCTCATATGCGATGTAAGATTATTCTTTAAAAGTGATGTTTGTTCGGAGATATTGGCAGATTTGTTTTTCTTATCTGAATTTTAATTGACTTTTTCCTGTTACCACCTCGGCGGAAATGGACGGGGAGTGGTGGTGGCGGGGAGGGGGGGGGGGACCACAATGAGGCATTTCGCTTCCAACCTGCTCCCCAACTCTGAAACACATTTCGAACATCTAGACGAGTGGACAAAGGAAAATCAAAAAGTCCACAATTAAGCCTGCCTTCAAAACTGATTGAAATGAGTGTGACCAATAAACCGAAATGCCACATGCACTCGTAGCTTAATATGTTTTCTGTTTTGCCGTTCGCGATAACGAGGATTAATTCCATTATAGTGTACACATTTAACCCCTGTTTATTATAGTACTGATCCGCAGTCTATACGGGGCCATTATTTCACAGTCAATTTTATTCCAAGAATAAAACTGAGGATGAATATACAGTATAAACTGAACATTTGCCACTCGTTTGTACTTTTGTCGTCTTGTTGGTTGTGATATCAATTGAGACACGAGCCCTATGTACCGCTCTGCAGAGCTAGCGGTACGCAATTCTAGTGTTTTGGGGATACTCTGACAGACGGTTTTGCTGGGAGGTGAGTGCCCGATATCGATGTTTATGGAGCCCGCATTCAAAGTTTCCTTTTGGACCGTCTACTGTCAGATCATGCCCTAATGTTTATAAACGGCGATTTGTTAGTAGTCCTAGGTTTACTCGAACTATCTCAGTCAAAAGGCCTGCAATTAGCCCAAAGTCATTTAGTAAATGATTTTTTAAATTTTTTTTTTTTACTTATTTTCAAATTGTACGAAGCTCGAGAAGATCAGGGGATAATACGGGCGATTCCCAATAGTGCGCCTCCAAGAGTTTGCAACGCGTTGGCCAATCACAATGCGCAAAATCTGTCGACCCAACGCCCGTTTGGAAAAGGTCGACTGATTTCGCGCATTGTTATTGGCCAACGCGCTGCAAACTCTTGGAGGCGCACTATTGGGAATCGCCCGTATTGGCGAACGTTTGTTGCTCGTTTTGCAGTTATTTGCTTCTCTCTCTGTGAAAAGAGGGTGGCACTCGGACCGAGTTGGTCACGGACCGAAGTTGACCTGAAACCATGCTCTCAGTCTACAACTAAAATGACTATTTTTTTCTCCTGATAAACTTTCAATGTGTATGTTTTGTTTTAACGAAAAAAAAACTACTTTATTCTGATTTTGGGCGTCTGCAACCCTCTGAAAAAGCAATTTCATTTTGTGCACAAAATATTGAACCCGTTCTGCGAGAGCCCGAATTATTATCCGTCAGCTAATAAATCAATTTTTGTGATGAAACAATTCAGTAACTACACGTCGGTTGACTTTTTTGTTCGATATCTCATTCAAAAGTGAATAATTTCGATATTTCTAGGAGAATAGCAATGGAAAGAAATCTATAAAGTTTTACGAGGTGAAACTGGAAAATAGCAGGGGGCTGGGCCACTATGCTGGGCGTTTTGAGCTCAGCTCAGAACTGATGAGACCATTGTCACCTTCGGGCGCCCTCAATAGTTCAACAAGCGGGTGAATAGTCAGAGCCTACGTTGTGTACAATCTTTCGTTAGAGAATCCGGGGTTCCACACACATTAAGCATGTGCTGCGAAAAGTAAATTTTCTTCGTGAGAACTGCAGTTCTGATGTCGAGAATGCCTCCTGGAAGTCAGATATTTGTTGGCTTTCGTGCTCTGGGGTTCCACTGCAACCATGTTCCGCTTGCACTGCGCTATCATCAAAGACACAAGGACCATTACGTGGTAACATCGGTCGGAAAATCCTTCCACACTTACAACGTGAGTTCACGCAATTGACTAGCCCGACTGCGTCTGGCCGTACATTACTATCGCAAGCTCTGTAGTACGGCCAGACGCCCGATGCTTCCACAGAGACTGAATTTTGTTGGCCGCCGATGTAGCGATTTTGCTACATCTTTCGATCGCGATTATCTTTTCATCCAGGACACAAATTTCCAAAGTTAAGGTTCTTAGTCGTAGAGCAACTCATACCTTTTCGAAAAAACGTTCTTTGGTCTCAATATTTTTATCCATCTGGCCACAAGACGAATTTCAGTCATCAGATTCCACAAATATCGTCCCCAATGCGATCCCCCATGCGATTTCAAAATGGCGGCCGCGCTGTAATGTATGCAATATGCAGGCGCGCCCGCGCAAACTCATGAATATGCATAATTAGTCTGTGACGTATGACCTCGTGTTTTTTTGACGTGCGTGCAGCGGGGCCGTACGGTCATACGTCACAGACTGTTTATGCATATTCATGACTTTGTGCGGGCGCGCCTGCATATTGCATACATTACAGCGCGGCCGCCATTTTGAAATCGCATGGGGGATCGCATGGGGGACGATATTTGTGGAATCTGATGACTGAAATTCGTCTTGTGGCCAGATGGATAAAAATATTGAGACCAAAGAACGTTTTTTCGAAAAGGTATGAGTTGCTCTACGACTAAGAACCTTAACTTTGGAAATTTGTGTCCTGGATGAAAAGATAATCGCGATCGAAAGATGTAGCAAAAATCGCTACATCGGCGGCCAACAAAATTCAGTCTCTGTGGAAGCATCGGGCGTCTGGCCGTACTACAGAGCTTGCGATAGTACTGTACGGCCAGACGCAGTCGGGCTAGCAATTGACATGATTGAAACTGATATGATGACTGTATTTCCGACATACGCATTGGTGGAATTGAATTTTGTTGCCAATATTACTTAGTCTAGTAATACTAACATATAGTGGTAGTGGATATCATTCCCAAACATGAAACTTTTCCTCAGATCGGCTGATTTTTTTTTTTTTTTTTAAGTTGTGCCATTAAAAAATAGAAAAACACTGTAGGCCTAGCTAGCTGTCAAACTCTTGGAAAGATTTGCATTTCCTTAGAGCGTTGGAACTACGGCACCCTCCATACTAACGCTCCATCCAATAGGCACTCTTTGACTACATATTTATATTTACATGGTCTGACAATAGTAGGGCCCAAGTCGAATGTCAGACATGGCTTTTTAAATAGTTAATGTCAATGACCCAACCATTTGCCAAGAAAAACATCAGATTTTACCTTCAAAATGGCCACAGAATTATTAAATACTACCTGAGATACACTACAAGTAGTAGGGATCGATGATTAAGATCTTGTTGAAAAGTGAAATTTACCGTTTATTGGTGAGGGCTCCGTCACGAATACCACACAGACGCCATTTTGAAGATGGCGTCCGCGCACACAGTATCCGGGACAGAGCCCTTGCCAATAGACGGTAAATTTAACTTTTCATGCAGATCGTAAACTTGTAAACCTTTATATATCAAACTTTCTTGTATCTCAGGTGGCTTATTTAGTAAATCTGTGGCCGTTTTGAGGGTTAATCTGATGTTTTGGTTGGCAAAATGGTTGATTCATTAATTATTTACATGGGCCCAGAGTCTGGATTGCCATTATAATTGTTACCTCCGTATCTATCCAATATCTTTCAATATCTTTTTCTTGAACATAATTGATTTTTGATATTTATTACAAATGTACTATCTCTCCTGTCTTTTTTTCTTAGTGCTCCAAGTTGGGAATTGTTAGTGTCAGTAAGTATGCTCACCCATAAATTTTATTCAAAAATATTTAAGTAAAGGCCATTAGCTTGGGCTTTGGATCAGTAGGACTATCCCAAATATACTGAATATTCAAATATTTGATCATCAATCGATAGCTTTTTGTCGCTTTAAATTTTCAAAAACAGAAAACAATACACACATGCACACAAGACTGGGATGTTACTTTATCCTAAAGTTGCGGCGTTTTATTGTCAGGTGACACTTTTTTGGTCGAAGTAACGACGGTGGTTCATTGTTTCTATCCTTTTTACGTTCAGCAAAACACTCCATATCGATTGCCACACCCAAATTTTAACTGGCTGGCTCTGCGCGCAGTTTTTGTCCGGCGCGGCACGTAGTTGCAGCTGGCAGTTTCGAATGTCTGAATATTTTGTCAAACACAGTTTCAAGTAATCGAATGCTAAATTATTCAAAAATGGACAGCCATACTACATGTATTTTAAACATGTAAAAGTAGTCATCTATACTCTTACTCAGAGTGAGGCATACTTCAGAGCTGAGAATTCTTCCATCATTTGTCAATTCTGGTTAATCCTCCAAACGTCGTGGTAGATTTTGATGGAATTGGGGGTTATGTTTAAAGAATAATTGTAACTTTTTATGTTTTGTATAAAATGTAGTGTACCAAACTTTCAGTCACTTTACACTGCCATTGTTAATATTTGATTAATATGATTTTTTTCCTCCCTCATATTATTCCCTCATCCAAGGCAACACCCATCCTAGTGACATCAGATGCATAGCAGCCGATGCGTTCCTCGTATTTACGGCTTGTCAGAACATTGTCAGGGCGTTCACCCAAGGAAGACAGGTACAGATTCATAATTGAGTATTAAAAAAAACCAATTGGAACGGGGAAGCAGATTAATTTTACCCACCCTGATGTCATGTTACATTCATAATAGACCATTTGCACTGCAGCCATGTTTGAGGTGTGTGCTTTTGTTCAACAGGGGTACGTATGGGTAGATCTCTTGTGCATTCATTGTTATAATGAATGAACATAGCAAAATCAGGCATGCAGCTTTTCCTTGGATCAGCTGATTTCCTCTTTTTTTTACTTCCCATGTGTGCCATTGAAAATAGAAAAACACTGTACAAAGTCTTGGAAAGATTTGAATTTACTCTTTTTTGTGTGACTTCCCAGTTGCGTGCCTGCAAAATGTACCTCAAAGATAGCAGGTTGATGCAGTTGATCTGCAAAAGCCATGTCTGAATTGGGTACTTTTAAGCTGTAGCCGTAAGAAAAAAAGACGGGGCTATGGCTTTGGTATTGACATACTGTGAAGAGGACCGTAGCCGTAAACAACAAATGCTCCTAGTCGGTGTGTGACATTCACTTAACCCTCTGTAAGGGACCGAGACCATTCAGCCCTGGTATGAAAAGGGCCCTCGGTACCTCGTCTGGTCCAGAGCCCGTCCGGTCTTCAGCCCAGTGTCGTCCGGTACATGGTCCTGTCTGACCAGAAGTTTTGAAGTCAGTCAGGCGCATCAATTTATTGCCCTTCAGAGAAGTCCAGAGCAGAACGATAGCAGACTTACCGGATTAAAGATAAAATCCTTCCAAACGCCTTGGTAATTTACGGTCCCATTGTGTGCGAAACAGCGTGGGGTTTGATCTGTGCCGATGAAAGTGTTCTATTGTTTCGCGCTGAGAGATGAAAACCACAAGCAGGTTTCTTCTGGGATATATTACATGTGTCAATACTTGCAAACAATAGACCCCAGGATAGAGGAGTTCCTGATTAGCAACCGGACCAGCTCCTAGGCCGGTAGCTGGGACGGTACGAGAGGACTTCTTGGGAGGGGACGAGCTTACCGAGGAGCCCTTTTCATACCGGGGCTGAATGGTCACGGTCCCTAAACCTTGGCAAAGCCATGTCTGTATAAATTGTGGCTAAGGCTTATATTTTTGCGTAGAGAATAACCAAAGCCATTAACTACAATAGTTATTTCAAACACAGCTGTAAAATTTACTTCGTCCTAGATGGAAAAAAAGTTCAAAGGATTACGGCACAACAATTTGCAGCACAAAATTATCAAACTTTTCAATTTAATGAGAAAGCAGATTTTGGTCTTATCAAACAGTGATCTAAAGTCATTATCAGCACTCAAACCCCATCCTGAGTCCACTTAATAAGTAACTATCTCTGTTTACCTATTAATTAATGAAACTTTCACTGTATTTCATTCTCTGAATACAACAAGTGAATATACACGTACTCTATTATTCCTGGTTATTTTCAGGTTCTGTACACCTACATCGGGCACGACAAAGATGTCCATCTTCTTCTGCCGTTTGGTGATCATCTCGTCTCTGTTGATGAAGACAGTCTCTTGAAAATATGGGATATCAAATCAGCAGGTGAGAATAAAAAAACAAAATGAGATTTTCAAAAGAAAGTGCTTTGAATCAATGTCATTTGCCTTGATAATCCAGAGAATGGCAATCGGCAGATATATTCTTGCGGAGCATTTCTATAGTTTCACCAAATTCAAAGTTTATTCTCAAAGTTAATTTACACCATATGCAAACAATTAAATTTTGCCGATTCAAGGAACAATAAAACAATAAACTGAAGCAGGTTATTAAAAAATTAACCAGAGAAATAGTTCTCATTCAAGGACATGTTACCGATTGCAAGGGAACTAACGGTCAATTATGGGCAGTATTTGACGGGAAAAAAAAATCTGTTCTCGTGATGGTTTGGTCCTAACCATCGTGAGGAAGTAATGGTCATTCCTCTTCTCTTGAAAATGACAGCATACCAGGCGCAATAACTTCACAGGATGCTTGCTTCTATTATTTAACTTACAACTTAGTAGGATATTTCATATTTTGGCAGTTTCATTTTTGAATGTTTGCAAATGATGTCATTATCCTTTACCTATTTAAGAAAATACATAATCATTTCATCAATCATAAAAGCCAACTTAAACATAAAGATTATAAACGTCAATCGTTAGCTCAAGAACCTAAAGTTATTTCAAATCTGGTGTTGCAGTCACCTGATGCACATTGGCTCTCCTTGTTGTTCATCATTCCAATGTACAAGCTTGTTTTCTCATTCTAATCCCGTCTTGACTTCATCAGAGATTTACCTGGAGATCCAGTTTGATAACCGCATCTTTGAGGCGACAGCGCTCATGCACCCCACCACCTACCTCAATAAGATTCTTGTGGGAAGCAGACAGGGTACCATGCAGATCTGGAATATTAAATCCAAGTAAGTAAAGCCGTGTCTGAATCTCATATGGCTATGGCTGGAATAACACCCGCACCTATGGAAGCCACTGGCTAGCGGCTACCGCTACTACCCATAGACTCGTGTGTTCTTGCTGGCCGTACTAGAGAGGTATGCCTTGAGTAACATTTCATGACGCTAGTTGAGGATTAAAAGTACAGAACTCAAAACTGAATGTGGGAAATTCCCAAGATCTGGATAAAGGCCAAGAGGCACAAACAACGGGGATAAAACGAGGTGCTAGTCTGAGGAATTTGGAATAAATTTTTATTTGATGAGATTTGGTCAGGATGTACATTGTACAACGTTGCGAAAAGAAGTATTATGCCAACCCGGAAGAACATCATTGACTCTAACTGTCCAGATGTATTTTTACTGGGTGCCTTTCCCAATCCTCAAACTGCACCACCATTCTATAGACGTTTATCATGCTGCCACCATTTCAGTCATGCTCCCCGTATCCAATAACAGTACTGAATGATAATGTTCTTAATGCAAAAAAGGAACCAGACTATTTTTCCTTCCAGTCTCGCTTTGGTTACGTTGATTTGAACGGGAAGAAAATCAAGATGGCCGCAACGTGATAATGGTCTATAAACCAGTATCACACTCCATGTATTTCTAGTTGGAATTACCTCCTATAGTTATACTATGAATAGCGTACCTAAATGCATAATAATAATAATAATAATAATAATAATGTAACATGTAAATGAAAGAGCAGGTGTTTTCTTTCAAAGAAAAAAAATAACTGCGATCTTTTTTTTCCTTTTTTTTTTCCCTCGTTTAACAGTTGTACTTTCAAAATGCATTAACTGCTATATGTTATGTAAAAGTGAGAGAACATTTTTTTTTATTAAAAAAATACTATTTAATGCATTTTGTGTATTTTCCGTCTTTCTTTAGTAAGCTAGTGTACAGCTTTTCTGGCTGGGGTTCTCCCATCACAGCCATTGAGCAGGTAAGATGAGTCATTGTCTTATCACTTTCCTCTTTTGGGATAATAAATAATTAACTTTAAGTAATGTTTTTTACGTTCTGGACAATTTATTTAAAATAAATACAATTAACTTGTAGTCTGTATTCTAAGTCATTCTTCAACTCTGAATCAACATTGGTTTTACAAAATTCTGCACTTTTATGTTATTCGAATAAATAATATATTAATAATCTAAGTAATTTTATTATAATCACCGAAAATTGTACCATAGGTGGACATTCTCGTGGATTTATACACAAACAAAAAACCTCCCGTAGTCCCCTTTCTAAAAACTTTCCCCATCAAAACTTTTCAGTTATACTATTCTCGACCTAAGGAATCCTTTTAAGCAATTTTCGACATTAAAATTTCTTTTAGAAATGGTAGTGAAAGCATTGAGGAGACACTCTGATGTCTCGCTAACGCAGAGTGTCTCCCGAATGTTAAATAATTTACTAGAAAGTGTCTACGTAAGGTATCATTTGGTGATACATTTAATACATTCTTACCTATCACGGTAAAATCGTGTCAACGCAGCTTGTGAAATATTGTCCAATTACATGATATACAAATGGACGCAGAACACGCAAAACAAAACTTTACGTATGCAATTCCATGGAGTTGTCTAAGGGGCGTGACTAACTCGCAAACAAGTGCTCAACATTTTGGTTTTAAGATGGATATTTCCTTATTGTGTCTCGTTGCCATAGGCCCCAGCAGTTGACGTGGTGGCCGTGGGACTCGAAGATGGCAGAATCGTCGTTCACAACTTGAAATATGATGAGACCATCGTCACGTTCACACAGGAGTGGGGTCCTGTAACTGCTATCTCATTCAGGACAGGTAAGGAGGATTACACCTGGGGACTAAGTGATGTATGCTCAGGTAGAGTTTAAAGGGAACCTTGACTTGGATTGGTCCTAGCAGAAATCAGCCCAGTTGTTAGATTTTTGTGAATTTGATGCACAATTACCCCCTGACTAAGTTACAATGAGGTAGTTAACAGGAGAGACTTGAATGTATATCCATTGTGTGGCCAGCACCCACCTGAGGATGATGTGGGTTGCAGAATAAAATGAATCGTACATACTTTGTGTCATACTTGTGCAAACCTGAACACACCCACATGTATCTCTCCCGCGGAAGATTGGGCCATGGTGCCCCTTTCTCTGTTCATGGATGGGTCGGTGAGGTTTAAAAGAATGATTCTGAGGGATGGAATTTTACAAATGTCTATCTCGGCTCACTGCTGCACATCTTAGATGGTCACCCAATCATGGCTACCGGCAGCCCCGTGGGCCACATCGCCCTCTGGAACCTGGAGGAGAAGTGTCTTCAAGCTCAGATGAGAGACGCACACAAGTCGGGCATTGCTGGCATGAGGTTCCTCTCATCAGAACCTGTCCTAGTCACCAACTCGGCTGATAATTCTCTCAAGGTATTCCCTAATTTTTTTTGGGTAACCCTCCTTTCCTAAGCTAAAATCTAGATGGCCCTTCCTTCACCCGATAAAAACAATTTTAGATTGGGAATTTCTGCAAAGGCTTGAACAGTAGACTTGAAAGGATCTATTGCCCTACCGTAATTTCAAAACAAAAAAAAGGTTTCCCAAATGTTGCCTTTTATATTAGTAAATATTTTTTCAAAGAATAACTTTGTTTTTCATTTACCAAAGAAATTACATTTTCCAAATGAATTAAAATTAGAAAACTTTTTGGCAAATCAGGTCGTTGAAATTGGGTTCTTTTCATTGAAAGTGATGCCACCTCTACCCCCTCCAAGAAATAGGTTGAATTCAGTTGTCACCAAAGTGTTAGCTACAAGAATTGGGAAAAGTTTCCAAGCTTCAACAGACCTTTTTGCGTTCACCTGTCGTGTTTGAGGTTATGTGTAATTTTGATTCAGGAATAATGGATGCATATACCCTAAGCAAGGCCAAAATAGAAGTGGAAATCAAAACCCGATAGCTGAATGTGCCGAGTTTTTTGGTTCTATTTTTTCCAACCAGATGTGGATATTTGACCAGCCGGATGGCAGTGGACGTCTACTTCGCGTCCGTGCGGGTCACAGCCTACCCCCAGCAAAGATACGGTTCTACGGTGATCAGGGACAGAATATTCTCAGTGCTGGTGAGGTTTCCTTTCATGTTTCTCTTTCTTCCTAAGTTTTTGCTCACTTACACAGTTGAAGATTAAGGTTTGAAAGCACACGATTAATCCAACTTGACAAATACTAATCTTTATTTTTGGCATCTGTTTCGAAATAAAATTGACAATTTTAGTCTAACATTCCAAACTCTATGAAAAAACTTTCTGTTTTTTTGCAATCACAATATCTAAACTCAAATTTTATTTAATAGGTCAGGACAGTACCCTGAAATCCTTCTCCACCCTGCATGAGAAGCACAACAAGGACCTGGGCCAGGCAAATCTGAAGAAGACGTTGGGCAACAAGAAAGGAGTACTGAAACAGAGATTCAAGATGGCTGCCATCACCCACTTTGCCGCAGGTTTGTTAGTTTGATCTAATTGGTCACTGTGCATTGTCAAGCCCCGCCCACCTTTGGTTTGTGTACATTTCTCACAGTGCTTATGGCCAAATTTAACTGAACTGTTGTGGTCATGTGACCACAAGTCTTTGATCTAATTGGTCACTGCACTGTCAAGCCCCGCCCACCTTTGGTTTGTGTACATTTCTCACAGTGCTTGTGACTGAGTTAAACTAAACTGTCATGGTCATGTGACCACAAGTCTTTGATCTAATTGGTCACTGCACTGTCAAGCCCCGCCCACCTTTGGTTTGTGTACATTTCTCACAGTGCTTGTGACCGAGTTTAACAACTGTTGTTGTCACCTGACCACAAGTCTGTGATCTAATTGGTCGACATGCACTGTTGGCTTGACAGAAAATCCTTTGCTGACAATTGTCCATAAATGAAGAATTTGTGTCCAAAATGTGATATATCCATATGGCAAAAGTGATACAATTGCATGGTTATGCAACAAGATTTGGAGGTTTTTGGCGATTATTTTGTCGACAGAAAAAAGTCGGGAGAGCGAGTGGGACAGCATTGCAGCCTGTCACCAAGGCACTGCCATGGTAACCACATGGAACTACCAGCGAAGCACTATGGGTAAACATAAGCTGACGTGCCTGCATGCTTCCCAAGCTACAGATGTGGAGGCTACGGTGAGTAGTGATTTCTTTGACTGATTAGATGTATGACCTGTTTCTACTTCATCAGTGCTACACAGTGGGGACAATAGACCTAAGTACCATCGATATCAGAATGTTCAATAATTGATATATCGGAAATCCAACGACGAGAATATTGATTATCCCATGTAAAAGATCATAAAGATGACACTTTGATTAAAAAAAACCCAAAACCCACCACAAGTTTGAATTTTCCATGGCTTTCTCTGGAGCATATTGCTCAAACTTGTTAAAACAAATCTCAGCACTGACAGTTTGTCCTGAACGGGCGGTTTCTTTTGCAGTTTTACTTCGGGGGAGGCCGCGAATTCCAGCGAACGCTTGGCATTTTGCTACGTTTTTATTTTGAGTCACAAGCACAAGTTGCCGCCAAGTTTTATTTCATTATACAGCAAACGTTAAACACAAGTAAAAACACAAACGGGAGATTTGTTTTGACGCATTTTCGATATCATTCCTCAGTATCGCAAAATTTTGATATTCGATATGATAAAAAAATTGCTATCGGCGATATCGACATCAAAATAATATCAAATAATAAATTTTGATATATCGATGGTGCTTAAATAGACCCCACAAGTCTGTCTGTATTGGAAGTCTATCTGTCCCATAGGGAAAATGCGATGGTGTGTGAGAGAAGAAATGAAGAAACAGTGGTCTTCCCCGCAAATATATTTATATAATGCTGATCTGGTACACGGTACCCTGTGGAGACATGTGCACAATAGGGAACAAAAGATTGTATACGTCTCCACAGAGCAATTTCTATAGATGAACACGTCTCCACAAGGTTATCACGAAATGGATATATGGATTTTACTCAAAAAATAGGAATTTCCTAGTTTCAAATTGAAGCATTTTATGTAAGGGATATTAGGCCAAAAAAAAAAAAAGTCGGTCTCTGGTCAGCGCGCGCGTCGATTTTAAGCATGCGCGTCGATCTTTTTTTTTTCCAAAATGTTCCGCGGTAGCTCCAACAGCGCCCTCTATTTCCGCACCTCCTCAATTTTTTTTACCAAAGAGCACCAAGGAATGGGAAATTACACCAAGGCAAATGATCGAAAGCACCAAGGCAAATTATGGAGGCCACCAATGTACATGAGGACACAAAAAAAGCAAAATAGTACCCACCTTGTCTGTACAATCCAAGCTGAAGAAAAAAAAAAAAAAAAAAAAGCCGCGTGGCCGCGTCAATTCCGGAACTTTGGTCTGACCAGAGACCGAATATTTTTTTTTTTTGGCCTTAAGTTCGAATTTCAGCCCAGGAAATTCACTCTGGTTAAAATAGGAGCATTTCGAATGTGCACTTTCAAACTTGAAAACTTTAGTACAGAAGAACAAAGAAATGACGCCACAAGGATATAAATTCCAGTATGCTTGTGTGAATGTATGCGTGTATTCATTTGTAAATCTGCTTTTTTCTTTGTGAGTGTCTGCATTGACACGTTCATCAAAGCAGAAATTCCCGTGCGTTCACCAGTTATTGTTGAGTACGTTTACCTTAAATATTTTTAACCTTTATAATACTTTTTTATATATTTTTAAAGGCAATTGACATTTCCTCCTGTGGGAACTTTGTCCTGGTTGGCTGGAGCACTGGTCATGTGGACACCTACAACATCCAATCAGGGATTCACAGGGGTTCCTACGGCAATCCAAAAGGTAGACTATCCAATCAAATATTGGCTCCAATTAATTATTTGATGGAATTTGTAAACAAGCAAAAAAACATTCAACACGGCCTGCAGTGAAAGTAACACATTTTGCTATTTATGATTTCCTCTACTCACGGAATGTTATTAACAACCAGAAAAGGATTTAAAATAAATAGGAACGAAATAACTCGGGTCATTATTGCTGATTTTTCTTTCTAGACAGGATGAAACAGGTCAAAAAGAACTCATGCAGCCTGAAGTGAAACTGCACAGGCTTACTGCTGATAATTTTTAATTGGATGTAATTTTTGTGAGCAAAAGTAAAAGGCTGAATTGAAATTGAACAAGTTCATATTAATAAGGTACCTACATGTAATTACTCCAATTCCCAAGTCATTTTTTGGCTTGATTTTTTTTATTTTTTCTACCACTGAATATAACAGTATCTAGATATTATTTGTATCTATGCCTTAAGCCAAATGCTAATTTACGTATGCCACTAATACATTTTTTTTAAAAATGGGATTTTAAGCATAAATCTAAATTTTCATAAATTTTAAGCATTCCAAAATTAAGACAAGATAAGTTTGCGGTAGCACCGTGTGAATAAATCTCTTTTGTGAGTATGTGTGGTTCTGCATCCTTCTCACGCCTCACAGCACCCATCCTTATAACATCGCATCATCGTTGGAATCCCTCATTCTCCTGACGACGGGCAGAGCATACTGTTCGAAACGTTGAGTCCCTCAGGTTCTTTTCAGAACATACTCACAAAAGAGATTTATTCACATGGTGCTACCGCAAACTTATCTTGTCTTAGTATCTTTCCACCATGCAAACATTCCAAAATTGGAAGAAAAAAAAATCAGCCATGCACTAAATTGCTTTTGTCTACCTTTTTTTCCCACCAGCACACGATGGCGCTATTCGAGGTCTTGTCATCGACGGTCTCAATCAGGTGGTCATCACAGGATCGCTAGATTCCAAGTTAAAGTTCTGGAAATTCAAATTGCGGAAAGAGTTGGACAGTTTGGCACTGGACGCACCCGTCAACCAACTCTTGCTACACAGAGACAGGTACAGATTGGATTGGCTTTGTGTGTTATCCATAGAGGGCGCTATTTAGGGTACTCATAACAGACTAATGAGAGGGAACAAACCATGATATATATTTGATGATTCAGAAATATGATCCTAAACTCAATCTCCTTGACCCTTACTAGATGATGGATGTATAAGATTTGAGGGTATATTTACTGAGCTCTTAAAAGTGTTGCCATGGGCGTTACACAACGCTGGAATTCCCATTACACAGATTGATCCAAAAAGTGCTACAGAGTGATTATTGTTTGCCATTTGTGCCAAAACAAGGTTAGGCATGCCTAGTCCAGCTGGACCCAGAAGTCTCGGGGAGTCAGTCAGTGCACCAGGCGGGGGAGAAAGACAGTCAGTCACTTAGTGACTCAGTTAGTTAGTTATTAAGCGAATCGGTCAATTACTCGGGGAGTTCGTCAGTGACTCAGTAAGTCAGTCAGACAGTTGACAGAGGAAATTGGTCAGCTTTCTTATCCCAACTTGGCATAAATAAGTCTCCCTGAAAATGTTATTTCAGTCAACAGAACTATCTTTTTGTAAGGAAATTTTCTACACACAAGCAATTGTCATTTCTGGCCCCTGACATGCAGTCCTATTTATTGGTTTGTTTGGCAGTTCCATGCTTGCAATCAGCATGGACAACTTTGTGGTTGTAATTGTGGACGCGGATCTGCGCAGGATTGTACGAAGGTTCAAAGGTCATCTGAACAGAATTACGGATATGGTGAGTTGAACTGCTGCAATAAATGTAAAGAATCTCCAAATGTGACCCAACTCTACAAAATGAGTCTCAAGTCACCAATGCTACTTTGTAAAAACTACTTAGTGAAAGATTGTCTTGAGATCAAATTACAAATCGATTGTTCAGTTACCATCAACCTTCACCTAGGGAAGGTGTACTTTGTTAAAATTTGTCAATTTGGTTTACCATAGTTTTGAGAAGAATCTGTTATTATTATACAAACTGTTTGTTGATTCAATTTCTTTTTAAACTTAAGTAACAATACGCATATGAGATAGGCAAGCAGCCCATTCATAAATATGCATGAGCTGATAAATATTCATATTGTTGACAACAGGCATTCAGTCAGGATGCTAGATGGCTTGTGACCTCATCAATGGACTCTACCATTAGGACGTGGGATCTTCCCTCAAGCAGGTTTGTCATTGTACATTTTTCATTACTAAATTCTTTTGACACAATTTAAAGGCATAGAATCATTTGCTTTTCATGCATTTTTTTTGTTTTCAATAATAACACCACTCAAAATCCAAAAAAGAATATTCAAAACCAAATTTTCAGCTCAGGGAATTGTATTTTTATGAGAAAACAGTGCAAAATCAACCTTTTGATCACGAAACACGATTTCATCAATAGTGCTCTTTATTCCAAATATCAGTCAATTGACTGATCGTTGGAAATCACCTAAATTTCTTGAAATTTCTTCTAAATGACAGCAAGCCAGACGGAATAATTTCACGTGGTGATTAGTACCAGTAGGATCTTTAATCCAAGTGAGCTTTTTGATGATAATTTGGTCGGTTATTTTTGGGGTACATGCAAATGTTTCATGTGCCTTTAAGCCGAGTGGTATCACAAATCATAATTTTTTTCCTCTGTTTGTTTCTCTTTCTCAGACTTATTGATAGTTTTCTTGTCGAGGACGCAGCAACGAGCTTAACGCTATCCCCAACCGGGGACTTTCTGGCCACAACACATGTAGACGATCTCGGTGTCTATTTATGGTAAGTGCTTTTCCTAATATTGTCATATAAAATCAATATTTAATCTCAAAATTGTAGACTACAAAGCTGGGTCCTGCCAAAAATTTTAACTGCACAATTTCAACACAAATGTAGTTTTTTTCAAATTCTTTTTTTTCGTGCTCTTATTAAGATTTTCCTTGTAGTCTGCGAACTATTGTGCAAGAGAAACCTGGTCTTCAAGCTTTTGATCAGAAATGTTATTTTGTTTGTTCTCTTTAGGTCCAATAAAACCCTGTATGCCCACGTGCCCATCCGCCCCCTTCCAGACACCTTCGAGCCGAGCACAGTGGCTCTACCAGGTACCCACCTCCAACCACAAGGTGAGTGCTTCTTAATTGAAGGAGCGTCGCTAGACCACACTTTGAGAACTGAATAGTCGGGCTGCATATGATTCACATTTGCAATGTAATTACAAAATCTTGGGTGGAATTTGGTGGGGGTTTTATTACGTCGCATTCTAAAAGTGAATAACTTTTGAAACTGGCTCAGAGAGTGCATCTATAACCCTAACCCTGTCAGATGCAACACAGTGCATCAGGTGTAACAGTCTGTGGGGCCTTGCTGCATTGAGCCATCAACACCAGTGCATAAACAGCCAATTCTGAAAAAAATGAGAGCTAGTCCCATTGAACAATGCCACAGTTGTATCGTGCTGCGGTTGGTAACCCTAGACTCTGAGCACGATTTGGCGTTTGGCGATACTTGACCTAGTGGGTCTTGTTACACTAGGCAGGTTTTATAACTTGTTGACTGTCGTATGTTGTTGTATTGCCAAGGTTTCTAGCCACATGTCCGGAAGGGTTTGAGTTAAAAGGCCCATTGAATAGTTTTCTTTAATAACAGAAACCTGAAAAGGCACCTTTGAGACCTGTTTACCCTTGTTTATTTCCTTGAAAAAGCCATTCTAAGTGTGTTTTATGAATTGTTGGTTTTTATGCTGATATAATATTTACTTAAAAATACATGAGCAAACATCTGATACAGGGTCATGCCCAAATCATGTGGCTACGGCTATCGGTATATAACACACATGTCTGTGGGAAGTGGCTTCAAGTGGCTCCATAGACACACGTGTAATTGGAAGCCATAGCCATGTCATTTAGACATGGCTTTAATCTGTTTTTGGAACTATTAAACACAATATCTTGTATTCTTGACAGATATTCATGAGATTGATTCGGACGAGGACCAGACAGTTGACCTCAGAGCTAGTGACCTCGTGTCAGAGTTCAAGTCACCACAGCAAATCTCAGCCGAACTGGTGACACTGTCCCTTCTGCCCAACTCCAGATGGAAAAGTCTGACCAATTTAGAACTCATCAAGGTAGGATCCTGCTCTTCTCTGTGTTTAACAGTGTTTCCTTCGTTTGGCCCGAAAAAAGCTCACAAGGTGACATATCTAAATGTAAATTGTCAATTTTGCAATTGTTAATTGTACATTTTCTCTCAATTTTTTTTAAAGCAACGGAATAAACCCAAAGAGCCCCCCAAAGTGCCCAAGTCAGCTCCGTTCTTTCTTCCGACGATAGCTGGCTTGACTCCAAAGTTTGCAGCACTGCAAGATGACGATGATAAAGATAAGGTATGAGAAGAAAGAAGTTGTTAATATTTCATGCATAAATGGAAAAGTGTTTCGATGATGAGAAACATGTGCTTCTTCTGGGACTATGAAGTTGTAGACCCTGGTTAGATTTAATAATAATGCGTATTTATAAAGTACACATATAAACGAGTATTGGTGCTCAAGGCACTACATTATTTTTTATTTTATTACACTTCGCCACTGGCTGATATAAAAAATATTTCAAGATATACAGAATCATACATTGAAAAATACAGAGAATTTACAGTTTCAATAAATTGTTAAAAAAGAGTTTATGCCAGATCACGGATTAAGCCAGTGAATGGCAAGATGGAACAGGTGACTAGCACCTCTACAGAGCCATCCTACCACAGGAAAACCAGATCTTATTAAAAATTATTGAGATCCTATTGAGATCCACACTGGCAGCGCTACAGGGGGGGGGGGGGGATTTGCCTTCCTCCCTCCCCCCCCCCCCGACCCCGCCAAAGGGCACTCGTACCATAACCCCAGGCTGGACTCAAACCAACATTATGGGTTCATCGGCTGGTAAATCAAATTAGCTTCTGCCCTTCGCCGACGTATAAACACTGTATACTCCATCTCATGAATAGTTAATGCGGTACCCGCTGCTATGTACATCAGACTCGAGCCAACCGTTCCTGTTAGCTCAGTGGTCGAGTGGTTAGACATCTGTACTAGAAAGCAGGAGGTCGTGGCTTCCAGTCCCAGCCGAGTGACTTTCACTTGGGAGGTAACACACTGAGTATACAGTGTTTATACGTCGGCAAAGGGCAAAATTTGATTTACCTCACCCTGACGCACAAATTCCATCTCATGAATAATATTAACGTATTTCGATTTGATTTGGATATGAATGGCTTCTAAAGCCAGCGATAGAGACAAAGCCAGAAGTTTCAAGAAGCGCCATATAATTAGTGGTTTGTTTCACCTACGCAAACAATGCTGACATATGCCAACATTGAAAACGATGTGTGTGTTCCACTTTAATACGCAAAAAATGCTGACATATGCCAACATTGAAAACAGTGTGTGTGTTCCACTAATTAATACGCAAAAAATGCTGACGTTTGCCAACATTGAAAACGATGTGTGTGTTCCACTTACGCAAAAAATGCTGACATTTGCCAACATTGAAAACGATTGCCCAAGTTGTTGTCGTTGTATATTGGCTACTCGATAACAAGTGGCTGGAGAGGGCGCTATCACCACGAACTGCTATCACCCAGGAAAACACTATCACAACTGCATCATGGGAATCTTGTAGCGGTTGTATCACGTTTGCACCTGTGTCATGCGCACGCACCTGTTTGGCCTAATATTTTCAGTGCGCATTCAAAACCTTTCAGATAAGTACTTGGTACTTGGTACTTGGTGGTTATCCTCTTCAGAACTCCCGAACCAAACTCTTAAATTTCATCCAGGAGCATTGAAGATGCAACAAGACTTGTGTGCAATTGCAAGAACCATAATTGCCTGAAGAAGTAGCGCATGCGCACTAGTTTCCCCCATTTTTCGTGGGGAGATTTGACAAGATTCCCAAGACGTTGCTGGCGGTTTGTGGGTGACGGCGGTTCATCTTGATCCAAGACTACCAACGTTGGCGAATGTTAGCAACAAAGGCCAAAGGTCTTCCTGAGTCCTTAATTACGTTTTTTTCTGTCAGGAATGAAATTTTCCATTTTCAACCTCCCAAGTGAGTGCATATATTACTGGAAAAAAATCATATCCAGTCACAGTTTTTCCAGGATTTTAACTCTTTCAGTGCCCGCGAAATTTGAAAAGTTTAACCCTAAAGTGCCCAACTTCGAGCGTTTTTGTTCATTGTTCAAAATTCTGTAAAAAAAAAAGGAAATAAGTTTTACTCACTAAATTTTATTGTTGTTGCTCTCTGATCCTTGGTATATTGGAAAGTCAAAAGTAGTCACATACATAGTGATACACCCTGAAACACTGTCCTGCACACAGGGGAATTCCGCACATTTTGCAGAAAATACAGGTTTTAGTGCGGCACCCTCTCGCAAGAACTCAAATAAAAAAAAATACAGGTCGTACATGCATGAAAATGGTACCATTAGAAAGAGCGAGAGCGCCCTCTTTTGATAACATGTTTACTCTACCTTGTAAATGTACGAGGTTTGGCGATTTTAATCATGAACATTACCTCGTATATGTACGAGATTGGCGCTTTTGGACGAACAAATATACCTCGTACATGTACGAGTTTGGCACTGAAAGAGTTAACTAGTGCTTTCCAAACAGTGACTCTTGACGGTTTGGCATTCAGGACGCGGCATTTTGAAACTTGTTTTAAGGCAGAAATTCATCGGTCGCTCCACAAAGTGACTTACCAGGTTTAAAACAAATCCATAAACAATCCATCAAATTGTATCTATTGTATCCTTTAATACTTGGCAGAGCACCAAAACAAATTGTAAAATGCAGTTCTGTTTCTGGTTAAGATACTGTACTTTTTTTCCCTTCCAGAAACCACTTTAATTCATACGACTCAATTATATTGGCATGACGTAGATTTTCTCTGTTTTGTAGGGAAAAGTGAAATCAATGAGTCTTCCAAGTTTTGGACAACAGTCTCGACTTTCTTCGGCTCTTGAACGGAGCGTAGAATCTCAACAATGTGAGTTTTCATAAAGTTTGTTTTTCGCTTTTAACAAATCCTCATTGACTTGACTTGTTGCTTAGTTTTAGGGCTTTGTTGCCTAGTTACGGCTTTGTTTACACTGTATGAATAGCTGAATTCCCCCCCCCCCAGATATTTAAATTCAGCTTTAGTCCTGTCCAAATTCTAGATTTATTTGCCCAAAAAAGTTGTATAATTTATAAAAAAAAAAATGATTTAAAACATGTAGCCCTTTTAAGAAAACATTCCAAAAATTCAGCTTTTATAATGATCAAACCGTTTTTCAGGGTCATCACAAAATTTGAAAATAAAATCATTCCTGAAAGTAATAAATTCATCACCTCTTTTATAATAAAGGCTTTTGGGATTTGTTCCTATTTGTGGGGGCATATGTAATGAATGATATCCAATGTAATGCTGGCAAATTATATTTAGTTGTGTTGAATGTTTTTTTTTTAAATTTCTGCTACTCCTTTCAACAGTCAATTTCCTGCACAGACATTTAATAACATTTTCTAAAGTTATTTTGGGGAAGTTTTGTATTGTGCTACATTTTATCTGAGAGAGTTTGAAGCGTTTCGTATTCAGGCTTTTGGCGAAAATATGTAATTCATCAAAAAGTTTTTAAAAAATTGTTCAAACATTAAGCAATTTGACCTTTTTTACAGTTGACCCGATTCTTGGCCTTTTGAAGTCCTGGTCACCGTCAGAGATTGACGTGGAGTTGCGTAGTCTTTCGCAGCTAGGGGGTGGCTCAACTGACGCTCTTCAACAATTCCTCCGTTTCCTTGGCAAAAGTCTTCAGGATAACTTAGATTTTGAACTCCTACAAGCCTACATGACCATCTTTCTTAAGGTTAGTTGATCAATTACTAGTAATTACTGGAATTACCTTGGGAGTGTGGCCTAGTAATAAGGGTTCATGACGCATGATAAGGGGGTCAGGGGTTAGAATCCAGCTGCTGGCCATATGTTGTGTCCTTGGGCAAGCCACTTTACCCCCACTCCCTTCTCTCCACCCAGGAGTATAAATGGGTACCGGCATTAGCTGGGGAGTAACCTGCGATGGACTAGCATCCCATCCAGGGGGAGTAGAAATATTCTCAGTCGTTTCATGCTACTGAAACCGGAGATAAACGCTGGCCTGATATTGGCTCGCGGCAGACTTTACTTTTTCTTTGAACCTGAACTTTAACCACCAGTCATCACCATTATACTATAAAGGGGAAAAGGAACGTGTATTTTTATGGTGTAAATCGAGGACACACATGTGAAACATCGGTGTGTGATTGAGGACAGGAGTGAAATCGGGGACGTCCTCGATTTGAAAACGTGTACAAAACCAATGGGAGCTGTTGCAAAAAAGTTTGAACAAAAGATTGATGAGGAACAATAGGAAATGCTTGATTTACACCACAAACAAACATGTGTTTGTGATGGTGGTGGTGGGGGGGGGAATGCTTACTTTACATACACTCCGAGGACAGACAGACAAAGGGAGAACGACAGATTCTTTGTTGTCCTCGAACGTTCATCTTTTGTTGAAAACGGTCCTCGGTCGTGCCTTTGTGTGCTTCAACTATGGGAGAGTGTTATATCACAGGGACCGAGGGAGAAACAATGCCTTGTCCTCGAACGTAATGTTGAGGTATGACTGTGTGTGTGTAGATGAGTGTGTACACACAGTCTTGTTCTGTAGTTGTGGGGACATACACTCGTCTGTACGAGGTATTTCTTATTGATTTAGTGAACAGTGGTTGTTAGTGATTATTAATTTTATTCTGTTTTATTTTATTTTATTACTACAGTAGCCAACACCTGGTCTCATGTTAAAAAAGTTTAATGTATTACTTTTAAATTATAATAATAATGATAATTGCAAATTGTTTACTTCAGTATTTTATCCTGACGTTCAGACACTGTTATTTTATTATTAACGTTCTAGATAATGCAGATCTTGGATGTATTTGCCGAATATTTTAATCAAAGTCCTACCGCACTGTTTTTATTGTCCTTTTTCTTTCTTTTTTTTTGGGGGGGGGGGGGGTGAAGGATAAAATTTGCCCTTTTCTATGGCAATGCCCTTTTTCACCAGAAGTTCCCCCCCCCCAATATTTTGTTACACAAGTGCCCTTTTTTAACAAGTGCCCTTTTTAAAATTTCATCGGAACGTCAGCATTTGTGCCACCCTGGAAAGCGCCACCTATTGTCTGATAGTGGCCATAATTGTCCAGTTTGAACAGTCCACCCATAGAACGGTGGTAAACCCCCCCCCCCCCCCCCCTTCCTACTTTTGGATATGGAGGCCAAGTAACCGGTGAAAAAACCCGTCTACCTTTCAGCACGGATTGGCGAGTGCCCTTTTAACCGTGACGTCTTCCCCCCCCCCCCCCTAATTGACCTTGCTACGCCACTGCCTACCAGTATGTATTATTGACTGATGGGTTGCCACGGCGACCTTCCCTCCATGCACAAATAACGTATAGTATGACAGTGTCACCCCTTCCATATTGAACAGAAAAATGTGCTGAGCATTAATCTCTTCCAAGCAGTTATTTTCAATTAGGCCCAGATAGAAGTGACATAGTCTAAATTAACTCCTATTGTTTGATCATTCAAACAACAGACGTTTAAATCATTTTCCCTACTTTCCTTTCTATGCATAATTATACAGACTATTAAAAAAACCAGTCAGATCTCATTCATGTAAACACTGTGACTAGTCAAAAGACATAAGAGGTAACTGGTAGGTACAGCCGACATATAATCACTTCCATTCAAAGCATGGCTATCTCAAATTCACAAGGGAATTCTTAACTGTTAACTCTTAACTGTTAACTCTTAACTGTCAACTGTTAACTCTTAACTCTTAACTGTTAACTCTTAACTCTTAACTCTTAACTCTTAACTCTTAACTGTTAACAGTCATGTATTATTATCAGTGTTATTATTCATTTATGGTAATGAACCAAGGAATCTTCACAAGTGCCATAGGCACTGTAGCTCACAAGCCTGAAGAAACCTGTAGAGAGAAGACAATGAGAAGAAATTACAGTTTTAGAGGTGGGAGGAAAACCCCAGAAGAATTTATTTTCTGGGGAAAAGCCACAGAATCAGGCAGGAACTGAAAACCCAATCCACATGTTGGTCCAGGGTCACAGCGGTGGAAGGCGAGGAAATACCACTACGCCAACCTGACTCCCCTAAAATGATTGATTTTTCATGCTGTGATGGCATAGCTGAATTCGTTAGCCAGAGTGGGCAATTAAAATCCTGTTAAAGCTATAGTCCATCATTTGCAGCCATCCGAAAAGTAACTGGCGTAATTATTGTTGAAAAACAAACTTGGTTGAAAGATAGTAAGGGAACTAAACTCCCTGTGAAATTATTCTTTCTGGGAAGCTGTCATTTTTAAGTACTCAACGAAAGAAGGCATTTCCAACTGTGATTCTTAAGAAGCACCGTAGGAAAATTTAAATTAGTAGTTCGTTTTGTTATTCAGCGCAGCGCGCACAAGTATTGGAACGACGCACACGCGTGCGCCATTGTTATAATTCGTCGGATCACGGTGCGCTACGTCGCGTATAGCTGCAATTCAAAACAATTCAAAACATGATTCAGTAACTTTTGATTTGAAATTGAGATCTTAGAATGCTGTTTTTCTAGGAATGTACAGCTGAAGCTTAGCTGAAACTTCATCAGGTTAGATGCTCAGTATCCTTCATTAGATTTTGAACTCTTTTGTTGCTTCAAACAAACAAAATGCACAAATTACAAATGATGGACTGTAGCTTTAATGAGCAGGCTCACTACACTAGCCATACATACTCTACAAAATGTAATGTACAAAAACGATCATTATTTCAACATACGGTATCTCATTATCAGCTCAACATGCAAGTACATTTGTCACATTCTGGCCTTCAATTTTTGACATTTAACCTTGTTTTGCATCATTAGACAAATGTGTTTTTGACATTTAATATTGATATTTAACTTTGTTATCATCAGACAAATATCATCGTTTCAGCTGGAGGAGGTTTTACACAATTTTTCACGTTGCTATAGCAAACCTACGTCCTGGTTATTTAAAGTAGGGAATTTGTCGGCAAAATATTTGCAAAAATCTCACTGTAAAAATATTGTTTGTTCTGATACTAAACATATTGTTATCCACTTGATAAGTACAATCACATTTTTAAATTTGGGATATGTTTACTGATGGTAAATTTCAAGAAAGTGTAATTTCAATCAAATAAGCAGTTTGAAAATATTACCATTTATTTGAAAATGTTTGCTTGCTTTTTCCATCAGTTTTGTCTGTGCACAAAAATGTTATTTGTTATCCTGTTCATGTCAATGACATAAACATGAAGGCCCTTTTGTCGTTGTAATCAGCCTGGTGTATCTACGCAACGCTAATGGCCAGGTGTGGTGCAGAATTTTATTATCATTTATTATTCATGCTTGCTTGGAACACAATCAATGGTAATGAGTTAAATGAGGCGAGACCAAGTGGCCAATGATAGGTTGTCATGCCAATGCAGCACCAGTATTATTTCTGTGATGGATTTTTGGTTTGGTTCTGTTTGTTGGTCAGTCTGTCCATCTAGATTTTTGCTGGTCTACGGGTGCCAGCCTGTAGTCTTCTTAACTTTTCTACTGAATGACTGACTGACTCCCCGACTACCTCCCCCCCCCCCCAACTCCTCCTGAGATTCTGTAACACTGATCATGAAAATCAGTCTTAACAAAAACTCATCAAATTTATTATAATCTGACAAAATTGCCATAATCGAATAAGGCCCCAAAAAAGTCTTCGGTTTCTGGTATGGAGCTTGCCCCAAAAGTGGCTTAGGATTTTGTTAATTAAGATAATGCTTCATACCATTCCGTCAGGGCTACGTTAATCGCCAGTCAACCGTGTTTTCTCCCATTCTTTTCAATTGCAGCTCCATGGCAACGAGATTGCCAACGAACCGGTTTTGGCAGAGGAGGTACGCCAGCTGGCAGCGGTACAGCAGTCGTCATGGCAACGGATACAAGCACAGTTCAACAAGTGCCTTTGCTTGATAGCCTACATGAAGAACCCTGCCGTGTAAAGGGAGTCGAGAGGCCGTGTGAATTGCCAGATAGGGTGAAACACATGGTGGGGGACATGAGAACCCTGCCGTGTGAAGGGAATTGCCTGGCTGTGTTAAGTGAAAGATATGGTGAGACACAGGGTGGGGGACAGGGAGGGGGCGTAGTGCATCCGTACCCACTGAGAAATTCCAAATTCTTTGGGATAGAGGATTTTAAGTGACAAATATCCCATGCCAATGCAAGAGATATTTCCAATTCTTGGAAATAAGGGACAAAATTTCTGTCCTAATTTCTCTCTTCCTTCACTTCAGTGTCCAAGGTTCCAATCCAACTCAAGGATAAAGTTTTCAGTCTGTTTGACTGCTTCGTGTTTATGTTTGTGTTATGTATTCTCTGGTCACTCACTTTTAACACCCCCCCCCCCCCAAACAATATAATGATTTTTTTTAAGTGGTTTTATCCATCTAGAAGAGAATGGTAGAAAAGGCTTTGGAAAACGGCTCAATACGGAACATAACCACCAAAGCTTCGCTCCACCCCCAGGCTGAAATGGAACGGTCTAGACATGACCATTGATCAATTGCTAACACTTTTAATCATCGCCTTCCAAGAAAACATACAAACAACTGTCAACAAAAACAACAAATAAACTGAATAAAGATTGATACTTCGATGCCTTTTGTGACCGTGTGTACTGAACACCCTGCAGTAGGCCTTTTGTGACTGTTTTTACTGTTTTTACGTTTTAAAGCACATAGTCGTGTAATTGTGTTCTTCAAAGATGGCGGCCTCCATACACCAAGGGAAAATTAATTTCCCAGCCGCCATTAAACCATCGGCCGTGGGCGCATAATTGCATTATTGATTCCCGGCCCATGGATAGAAAATGTCTGGTAGTATCACAGAGAAAGGCCAAAATCACTCCGAAAGTGGAGAAGGGTTTCTGCCTGATGCTTGACAACGCCTTTAATCACCCCTGACAAGGAGAAAGTGCGAAGCAAGACATCGATTGGTGTGCTTTCATATCCTGTTTTGTTGGGAATCAAATCTGGAAATGTTCATAAAAACAAGGACGAGCTATACTCCCGTGTGCGAAGCGACAGCGTTGGCATTGCTATGTTGGTGTGGTTAAAAGGGGCATATGTAAAATGTTGTTTTGTCTGGATTTCAAAAGAACTCGTGACCTCAGTTGTAAAAATTTCTTGACATTTTGATTAAATTGTGAAAAGTACCTCGAGACCTCGAGTGTTACAATTTGTAATATTTCAATTTGATTTACCCCCTTCGTCAAAGAAAAGGATCACCGATTGCGTAATGTTGTCTGTGCAGGTTGAATAATTATTGACCACAAATTGTTGTATTATTTTTTTTTTAAGAGAGGACCTCGGATTTTTTTTCCAGGTTCCAATACGTAACGACAGAAATATATAGAATTGTGGCAAGTCCATGGTGACCCAATATGGAGACAGAAAACGGAACAACAAATAGGTTACTGCTTGCAATGATGGTGACTGTCAGTGACAGTGACTGAGGGGGGGGGGGGGCGCGCTTGCCCCCGCCCCCCTTACAAAACGGGGGGGGGGGGGAAGGAAAAAGAGGTGCAAAGCCATATTGCTGTTAATTAGAAGGGGGTAGGGCAAATGCTCCCCTGCTCACGCTCGGAAAAATGATAAATTGAGAATATAATGAAAAAGTTAATACATTTTGGGGAAGAATTTGCTTTGGCCCTCCCCCCGGAAAAATCCTGGCGACGCCCATAGTGACTGTGTGTGTATATGTCAAGGCACAATAGACACCGTGTAACCAAGGGTAACGACCAGAAGATAATGAACGACCTGAAAATGATTTGGAGCTGTTTGTTGGATGTCTCTGAACTAATGGTCGAATTATGAGTGGTCGTGGGTGTTTGTTTTGTTGCCACTTTTCTGTTTGCTTTATACATGTATAATGGAACGCCTACGTTTCACGCCGAACTCCCTGACAAAACCAGATTAACAAACGAAATGGATTCACAAATCACCAAAAAAATGAACAAATTTGCGATTTCAGCTTCATTCACAAATATCGTCTTGTATTTTCGACCAAGCGTGGTTCAGTATAATGAATTAGTGTTGAATTCGTAACCACTTAATTTAGTGAAGAATGTGACAAATACGTATGATGCATAAGAAAATAATTGGTATATAATCTATATATTTAAAATTGAAAGGAACTATTAATTCATAAAGAGACGAATTCATTGGTAAGGATTATAATGTTAGGTGTATACCAGTACAACCCGGTAAATCGTGATGAGGTTTTTTCTTGCTTGATTTGATATTTTTTCATTATTCCAAATATTAACAGCGAGGCTTTAATTTAAAAGCCGTACATTTATACCAATTTGAAACATGAAAACCTCTTATTTAGATTACCGAACCCCCGTGGATAAAGAAACAACAGTATTTTGTATTTATTTTAAGCCATGCCATGACAGATTTGTCGGACCATTTGTTCCCTTCATATTACAATGGAGTATTGTTTGGTGGAGCGCTTTTTAAATATTGATAGCTGCGCGTGTAGTGTGTAATGGCCGCCTAGCCGATGGTTGCACCGCTGGTAACCTTGGTATATTGATTGGTGATACTGCCTACCAACCCCCCCCCCCCCCCATCATACACGGCCATAGGAAAAATAATAATAAAAAAGACAATAAACAGGCTGCTTGGTTACGTTACCATGGAGACTACAGGCATAAAAATTGGTAACCAAAGACTGCATCGCCACTTTGCTCACTGGTAGCGGACGAAGTGGTGGTAGTGTTTTGTGGTATTTGGTATATATCTTAAAGCGCGCAAAAGCAACAATTTGCTTTTTAGGAGTAGTGAGTAAAAGGCGTTGCTTTTTATAAGGAAAAATATAATCCTTCGAGGGGGAGAAAAGAAAATGGATCGTGCGACTCGCAGAAAGTTACTGGAGTCCAAGAAAGAGGAGTTGAGCGAAGCGATCGACGCGGAGAAAGTTGCCCGGGAGCTGTTGGCTCGAGACGGTATCAGCGAAGACATCCGAGATCTGATTCTGAAACAACGTAGCAACAAAGACAAGACGAGCAAGCTGGTTGACGTGATGAAGATTGCTAAGAACAGCAAGTACGAGATGTTCTGTGAGGTCTTGAGGGAGCATGGACACGACAAACTGGCCCAGCAACTGATGAAACAAGAGGAGCGGTCTACGGCTAAACGCAAGACCAAAACAGGAGGTGGGTAGTTTCTTTCAAGGCCCGTCGGAAGATGGCCAATTACCCGGAAAATCCACAATAAAAGATTTAACAAGAAAATCTTTGCTCAAAGCGAAGATGGGACTGGTACCAAATACATCATGAAATATTATTATAAGGCCTGAAATTGTATAATTCGGAGAAAAATAATTGATGGTTTAAGAAATTGATCACGGGCATAGTTGTTCTACGTGTGTTTTCAATGGAATCAAGTTACGAGACCTCATTCATACGATTTCTGTGTTTTCTCAAAACGTTTAGGTTCAACTGAGCTGAAATTTCATCCAATTGGTTGCCTATTTTGAGCAGCTGCTTAAAACGAACAAAATGCACAAAAAAAGCAAACGATTGTTTACCTGTAATGCTCCTGCTCAAAAGGGCACCAAAAACAAATAAAATATGCAAACGGATAACGAAAACAATACTGCAAGACCAAGACCCACTAGACAAGTAAATCTGGTCCAAAGGTGCACAAACTTCCATTCAGTCAATTCAGAGTGGCTAATCGTGTCCAGTTTTTTTCAGGGCCGATTACTGGGTATGTCTAAGGTGGGACTTTCAGTCTGCCTCAAGATCTCAGACGTGTGCCATTCTAAAAAAAATAAATAGGCAATATTGGGTAAAATCGTACTCTTTATGGCAGTAACAAGGGAACATGGTCGTTATGAGGGTAAACTTGACACGGCTTCTGTTGAGTCAAATTTTAATCCTGCACTGTGTAACCATTTTACGCAGAAAAGACGTTAACTTTTACTCAAAAAAACATGTTTAAAAAAAGTACACCCAAAATGAGTAATATTTTCGTTTACCCATCATGTTGATTAAGCCTTGCCCACTCCATATGGAGTAAAGCTTCAAACATTATGTTGCGTTACATTTTACTCAAATGTTTCTCAAAAAATGTGCAAAACAATATTTTTCCCTTTTATTGTTTATGTTTTTTTCGCTGCTATTTCTAATTTTGCCGAGGGACAAAAAAAGATTTTGACGTCGTGGGGATTGGCAGAACTCGTCCCCATTTTTGAAGGAAAGTTTGAACTTCGAGAGTTTTAGCTCACGACATGCAGCCTTCTACATATCGTAGACTATTCTGGTGTGGTAAACCTGTGACCATCATGTATTTTTCATGCTATAAATTACCCATGTTTTCATTTTCATTGCATGCTCTTGTCCATGCTCTCACAGAGTCGGTCTGTCGGTACTGTGCATAATGCAACACGGGTACCGAAGGCATCCAACGCGTACAGCGAAACCGTTGTGTTGTGGAGTCGCGCTGTTATACCCTTCTGTTTGCAAAGACTAAAGCCAGTTTATTGCCGCAGGCCCTATAGATTTGTTTTGCACACAAAATTTGATTGATGAATGGTTAAATAATTTTTATACGCGTGACTCCGTCCACAACATAACACAACGGTTTCGCTGCACGTGTACGACGTTGAACCTTCGGTACGTGCGTTACATACATATAATGCACACACACACGTGCGCACCCCGACTCTGTGAGAGCATGGACTTCAGAAGAAAATGAAAACCGTAATGAGCATGATGATCGCACGTTTACCACACCAAAATAGTCTACGATGTGTAGAAGGCTGCATGTCGTGAGCTAAAACTCTCGTAGTTCAAACTTTCCTTCAAAATGGGGACGAGTTCTGCCAATCCTCACGACGTCAATGTTTCGCGTACGTCCTCCATCTTGAACAATCCGCGCGCGTCTACAATGCGATGTATTCATGTTTACCTCACACATTGTAGTAAACTTCTGCCCAACTCCTAGTAAACAATCAACTTTTCGGAGTAAGATTCACAGGCTACGCATTATTGAGCAAAGTTTACCGTGTGGAAGGGTAAAACCCGTATTTTGTTATTACACAAGTGATGCGTAATAATGTTTTGGGGTTTAAATCAATAATTGTTAAAAAATGTACTAAATTATTTTACCCAACAACTTTACTCAACAAAAAATTACACTTTGTTTTTAGAGACAATTGGGTTTAATTGGTCGTGACCAATTAAACCCGATTGTGGGCAGTTAACATATGTACCAGTGATACCGTGCAAGTGTGGAAACTGAACGAACACAATACTGCATGTCGAAGAAAGTTGCATAATAGCACTGTCTTGAATTGAATAGAAGATGCTTGACTGGGAACCGTGGGAAGTTCATTCCAGTCTGTAATTGCCCTTGAGAAGAAACTACCTGTACATGTATGTACATGTGTTGGTAAACTTGAGTGCGGCATGGTATAGGGGAGCACGTAGTTTTATATAGCACTGGTCATGTCAGCTCTGGAAGTCTAATTCACAAGTGACCTGTCAATCAGTCGGGTACAAAGAGGGCTCCCCTCTGGGAACAGCCTACCCCCCCCTAAAAAAGGACAACATAAAGGGAAGTACCAAACCAGGATCAAGTCTTTCCATTAATACCGTATAGCGGTATCTAGAGTTTAAGGAACTGGGCTAAGCTTCCCCCTTTTTCAATTGGTCTCAAGAGCGATTAACAGAATCCAAAATATATTTGGGAGGTTCGGCATTTAAGATCAATTGCATTTAGGCCTATCCCACCGAAGTAACCTCGCGAATTCATAGGCGTAGCCAGCGGGGCGGGCGGGATGGGGATGGGGATGGGGATGACCGAAATCCAAAAGAATACCCGGCTCTGGAAATTCCAAAAGCCGGGGGGGGGGGGGGGGGCTGGAAACCAAGTTACACTAAGGGGCCCTCTATCTGTATAATAATTTGTAGTCGCGCGCTTACATCAAACCGGCGCATTTTAAAACTTTTTTTTAACTTTGTTTCTCCACCTTTCAGTGCAATTGAATACATAGGCTAATAATTGTTGGGTTGTTCACAAAACACCTCGAAATCCGCATATCTTTTTTTCATCACGAAAAAGTGTGGGGGGAATGATTCAATAGCCCACCCCCCCACCCCAAGGTCAAAAAGTGGGGGGAATATACACCCCCATTTTCCCCAACGTTTTGTATTTCTTAACCAATTATTGTTTTTATCACAAATTGGTCATTTTACCCTACGCTGGTTACATTTTGATAAATTTAACCAGCGTTTGTCAAATGACTTATTTTAACCAACTGTTGTTTACCGGGTAAACAACCCAATACATGTAGTTGGTTTAAAAAAAAAAAAAAACCTTGTGCAAAATGTGCCCAACGTTGAATAAAGGTTGGGCAAAATTGGAAAATTTTACACGATCTGGTCAAATTTTAACCAATTTTTTTAACCAACCAAATTTTAACCAGCGTTTTGAAAGTGTATACTGTACTAAACACCCTGCAGTAGGCCTATTATAATGTGCAATTATTCCGAAATAATAAGAAAATATAAAATAGCCTCATTCATGTCTTAAGATTTCCGAACATTCTTTCGCTCTGACGTACGAACATACCTTGGCCGGGTTCAGGTACTAGGTATGGTTGCACATGTTGCTTAACGAAACTAGAAGGTTCTACGCCTTACGGCATCGAGATAGCCTATATAGGCTTATGCAACGACGCCATTTTCTCTGTACCGACATCAGAATAATCCAGTTTAGGCCTATTGAAAGCAATTCGGAATTCACTTAAATTAAGACTTTTTGAATTCACTTAAATTAAGACTTTTTGTATTACCGCCGACCCTGTCTTGAGCCCAAGTACGACATGAAAAGGAAGACAATTAATATTAAATTCAGGGTCTGTGTTATTTGACAAGCTATTGAAAACGAATATCAGATTTTTTACGCGAATTTTAGTAACTTCACTTTTAATCAACAAAATTAAAGATGATAATGAATAAAGCTGCTTGCAAAATGCTGACTGACTTGATTGTCCTGAAATAAACAAATCAACAAAATTAGAACGCATCAAACATTTCTTTGCGATTCCTAAGCAGGGCTACTGTAGGGCTACCACTGGCAAAAGGCAAAATGACAGTGTGGTATGCCTATGCAGAACTTAAAGATCGTAAGGCCCCCCCCCAAAAAAGTCTCCGGTTTCTGGTATGCGCGCGCGTCGCCGTAGCCATGCGCGTCGGCAAAATGAAAAAGTTTTTTTTTCAATGAAAAATGATAAACTCACTGGTTTGACTGGAATCCTGCTGCTGCACAATTTTAACGTGTTTTTAGATTGGGTTATGGTCGAGAATAAGCTTTATGTGGCCTCTCTGGACTCCCATATATTTGCACTAAGTTTAGTCGGGCACCATTTGCAGTCATCGGCCGACATTTGAAGCAAAAAAAATCAGGTTAAAAAAAAAAAAAGCCGCGTCGCCGCACCACTTTTTGGGCAAGCTCCATACCAGAAACCGGAGACTTTTTTGTTTGGCCTAAAAGGTATTTTTTTTTTCGTTTGAGCGGTGTGTAAAACTTACATCCATATCCATCGAATCGCATCGGTTTATTCCTTCCAAATTTAGTCGCTACACGCAGTGCCCACATTCCCTCAAGAAAGACTTGAAGGAATTAAAACAAATATCCCTTGCGTCATGTCGATTATCAACTCCAATTTAGTGGCAATGACGATTACATTGGTTTAGGGCATCCCTTTTTATTTATCTTGTTTCTTATTTCCTACCCGGGCCCTATTTCCGGGTGGTCTGATGACTATAAGATTGACTATAAGCCAGAAGAAAGACTCTGTCTATAAGTATAGAGGGTGAGTAAAAAAAACAAAAAACGAAACCCAAATGTTGGGACTATTGTTTTAGTGAAATCAAAATCTAGGGCATGATATGAAAGCCCAAAGCTTCTTTTTAGAACAAGAATCATTCAAATCACTCATGTACTTTTCAAGTTACAGAATTTTAAACACAACCACCGTTTTATAGTTCTATCCATGGATCACAAAAAAGATGTGCGTTCTTTCAGCATAACGAAAACAATTCACACATATCCCTATGTGATTTGTTTTCGTTTTGCTGAAAGAACTCTGAACTTTTTTGGTCATGCATCCGTGGACGGAACCTTAAAACGGTGGTTGTGTTTAAAATTCTGTAATTTGAAAAGTGCATAAGTGATTTGAATGATTCTTGTACTAAAAGAAAGCTTATGAATTGGGCATTCATGTCCTAGATTTTGAAAGTGCTACATGCAGAACTTCAATAAATCAATAGTCCCGACATTTGGGTTTCGGGTTTTTTTTTACTCACCCTGTACACTGTAGACCTGTGGACATTTGTAATCGAATAGAGCCAAATTTAGGGGTGGGGGCCTTTAATGCATTTGACGCTATGTAGGGTGCTTTTTTCCACCCTTTCTTGTCTCTTTTAACTCGTTTTTCCACAGATCCGAGGGGGAAAATGGATGAGTATAGCATTCATAAAACAGACGTCTGCGCGGCTCTTCTGATTAAATTATAGGTTTTCCCGGCCAATTTCGCAAAAAGAGCATTCAAAATCATCTTGATGGGGAACAATAATTTGAAGCGAATTAGCTCCCTCCTGTAATTCCCGTGGTTCGTTTTAGTTTTCAGACATTCAAATTAATTGTCAGACCTAACATTTTCACGTTTAACATGTTTAAGATGAAGTTATGTCATCCAGTTTAAATGATCATTCAATTAATAGCAGTCTGGTCAAGGGTTATTTGCATAAGAATCTTACTTTCGATTTCATTCCACGCATTCTATTTAGTACTGTCTGCATTCAAAGTAAAGGGAAACGAAGGCAAGATACGAGGGTTAATCACTTCCCTTTGGGGGGGTATTCTAGTTTCGTCATGTTCAAAGTATCTGTTATATGTCTTTAATCTAAAAATAAAAAAACCCCTGAAATGTTAACTTATACCAGACAATTAAACATGATATTGAAAGTTGACATAATTTTTAAACAATAAACGAAGGCAACATCCGAGTTAGGAGTTCCTTTGTTTACATACATAAAACACAGTATTATTGTTATACATTCTTAATTAAACCTTTTGCTCTTTTATCTTCAAGTTATAAACTGCGGTCTTGGTTTTCTTATATCTCTAACGTTTTTTCTCAATTAGTTTTATGTTAAACATGCTTCATATCAATAACATTTGCTTTCTTTTTATGCAAAAATTTTTCACTTTTTATGCAAATATGATCACTTCTAGTCTTTTTTGATTAAAAAGAAACCATATCATGGTTATTTTGAGGCTTCCGCTTTGTGGCCGAATCTTTTAAAAACAAATTTGTATTTTCAAATTGAAACAAAGGCACTTTGTTGAAATTTGACGAACAAATGAATTACATGAACCGATTTCCAATTCCTTTGCTCACATTTCAAAAATGCTTGCTAACTAATCGCGAATTCAAATTAAACTGACACCTCGTAAAGCTCCAATGAATTTGAATGACCCAATATGACATTTCAATTTGTCTTCATTTTGTAATTTGAATCGTTGAATCACACATATCCCAAAGATCGCTTGATAACATTATCATATCTCGATCCTGCAAAGCTTGACATATTCCTTAAGGCCTTGGAAAAAATAGTAAACTAACCCCCCCCCCTCCCCCTTGGAAAATGTTGGATCCTCCACTGAATTGATAACAACTGTGTTGACAAAACAGTTATGTCGAAACGCGTTTTGTTGGTTTTCTTTATTGCAGCTGGAGAGGCAAAACGCAAATCCTCAAGCACCAAAGCAGACAGCTACGCGGACGTCTTCAAGAGCTGTCGCAACTGCTTCATCAGTGACGTAGCCGCCGATCCTAACCGTCTTGTTCAACAGCTGGAAACAGGCGCAGGCAAAGGGGTGGCCCTGTCTAGCGCCACCAAGCGACAGGTGGAGCTTGAGGCCGAAGCCGAAGCTAAAGCTGAGATTCTCTTCGAGGCCATTCTACCGCAGATCAACGAGTATGGTCCCTTCTTCGAGATGGTGCAGATTCTACGTGAGCCGTATCAGCATCTGTCCAACCAACTCTGGGAACAACTCAAAAACATCGTCGTGCCGCCACCCAAAAGTACGTCGTTCCCACCACCCCTCCCCCAAAAAGAAAACAACAATAACAACAACACCAGCAACAACAGCACCAACAACAGCAACACCAACAACACCAACACCAACAACACCAACACCAACAACACCACCACCACCAACAACAACAACAACAACAACAACACCAACAACAGCAGCAGCAGCAGCAGCAGCAGCAGCAGCACCAGCACCAGCAGCACCAACAACACCAACAACAACAGCACCAACAGCAACACCAGCAACACCATCAACAGCAACAACAGCAACAACAGCAACAACAACAGCAACAACAGCAACAACAGCAACAACAGCAACAACAGCAACACCAGCAACACCAGCAGCAACAACAACACCACCAACAACACCAACAACACCAACGACAGCAACGACAGCAACGACAGCAACGACAGCAACGACAGCAACGACAGCAACACCAGCAGCACCAACAACACCAACAACACCAACACCACCAACAACAGCAACACCAGCAACACCACCAACACCACCAACAGCAACAACAGCAACAACAACAACAACAGCAACAACAACAACAACAACAACAACCATTTCTGCACTTCTCCGCGGTTCAAGACCTTTTTTTAACTATAAAGTCTGACACTGTAAACTTTGTAAGGAATAAGTGGACCAGTTTTCCGCCCCCCCCCCCCCCCCAAAAAAATCAATGTAACGTTCATTTCTCTTTTTGTAAATAGAGGGGCCAACAGTCAAATGCTGCTTCTATTTTCTTCACAGTTTTTTACACTTTAAGAAATTGCAGCTTATACAATTATTATGCGTGATTGATAATCTGGTCCTGAGATGATTTGATACAGACATGTCCAACAAACAAACAGCAACGATCACAGAATTATAATTTATTGGCATAATTAAGGCCAACGGAGTTAAGAAACCACAAACAGTTGATTAAAGAAGACTACTCACCACATTACTCGATAAATCTTTTCTTCTTTCCAGGTGGTGCCAATGTGAATCGTAATAAGCAGAGCGCTGGGAGCTCACACTCATCATTGCCAGCATCACCCGGAAGTCTGCGAAGCGCGCCGCAATCAGCCGGCAAAGGGCCCTCTAACGACATCATGAAATCCCTCACTAATCTTCAATCGGATCTGACAGAATCACAGAGCGACAGTCTGAAACAGTCCCTTCAGTTGGAGAGGTGCATTCAGACCACAGCAGAGGCCAATAATTCTATTAAGAAGCTGAAGGTTCAGTTACGATTGTCTGAGGAGGAGCGCGATGCGGCTGCCTCACAGGCTGACGCAGCCCGTCAACAGGCCGCCGAAGCCCGTCAACTGCTGGAGACGGGGCTTGCAGAGGCAGACGCAGAGCGCAAGAAACTCGAAGACCAGCATCGCAAGTGGGAAGGCCAGATACGAAGACGCATGTCCATTCTGGAGCAGAAGGAGACGTACCTGGCCTCCAAGGAGGTAGAGCTGAGACGGCGTGAAGAGGAGCAGAAGCAACGCAACCAGCTCCAAAGGAGACAGCATGAATCATTGGAGAAGAAGGGCTTAGATATGTCGAATCGTGGAGAAAGGCAAGACATGCGAAGTGCCGAGTATCACGTCCGACAAGACAGGATGAAAGAAAGAGAAAATAACCTGGAGATGAATGAATCGCAGCTGTCTGAACGGGAAGAAGAGGTTGCCCGAAAGGAGAGCATCTTGAAGAAGAAGGATATTGATTTACGCCGCAAAGAGATTGAGACCATTCGTCTGGAGGAACAGATCAAAATGATGCAGGCATCGCAGCGTAAGATGGCAACCCAACTGAAACAGAAAGAGCAGTCTGTTGCTCAGGCAGAGGAGGACGTCAAAATCATCGGTGATAACCTTCAACAGCGGGAGGAAAGTCTGAGAGAGAAGGAGAGACGTCTCAATATGAAGATGCTTCAAGTCAAAGAGACAGAGGAGGACTTGGAACAGCTGAAAAGCCGGGTCGAGAAGAAAGAGAGACAGGTTCAGGAGGCGGAGGCCGAGATGCGAGAATGGGAGGCCGAGCTTGAGAACAAATCTCAGGAGCTGAGCAACATGACTTCTGGAGCAGAAATCAAAGAAGAAGAGCTTCGCCAGAAAGAAGAGGAGGTCAACTTCAAGAAGAAGGAACTGGACAGCCTTCAAGATGTCTTAGACTGCCGTCTGCAAGCGCAGGAGAGAATGGAACGTGCCCTGAGGATGATCGAGGTTGAGCAGATACGTCGGGACAAGGAGATACTTAACCGGGAAGCCGAGTACTTTCACTTCAATTTCCCCTCTCAAAAGAAACTGGAGGAGATGGCGGGTCGGATGGAGGAGCTGGACAAGAAAGACGGAGAGCTGAAGAAACGTGAGGAGCTCCTGAGCTGGATCGAAGTAGAGCAGCAGCGCCGGGAGGTGGAGTTAAAGAAACAGCAGCTGTTAGCCGAGAGAGCTCGCCGAGAGGCAGAAGCTGTTGATGATGAGGAAGCTGTCGGTGATAACGACGACCAGCGCACCGAGGTCGACTCGGTGCCTCTGAGTGACGCCATCAGCCTCCCACTCGAAGCTGACCCGGAGCCCGAGATGTTCGGCTACGAGGTGATGCTCAAGGGAGCCCGTTACGCCAAACGCGGCAGCAAGTCGTCTTTCGAGATGAAGGTTGCTGGGATACAGACTGTGGCAGCTTTCAAAAACATCTTGGAGACTGAGGAAGGAGTACCAGCAACCTGGCAGAGCGTGTACCTGAATGGGCAGCACCTTGACGATAGCATGACACTACCAAGCAGCGGTACCCCAGGAGGTTTACAGAAGATTGAACTGAAACTTAATACACCTCAGCTGAAGGAACGAGACATTATCAAACTCAAGGTATAAAACTTCCTCAAAATACTTTCTTTTTTTAGTCCAAATGGTCCCCCAGAAAGAAAAAAATCAGATGCAAAATCTGCCAAAATCTACATTCGCATTACTTCCCGCAATAGATATCAATTTATATAAACATGAAGAAGACTGTTAAATAATTTTTCCCATTTGATGTTTCCAGATACCATGATAAACTAGAGTGTACAATAAAAATGAGTTGCAAAGGTCCGTGCACAAGTATTGATAAGTTTACTTTTTTTCAAACCAGGTACGGAGCTGCAACGGCCCAACCCACACTATTGAGTTCTCGCAAGACGACACCGTAGCTTTGGCCAAGGCTCGCATCTACAAGTACACGGCCATCCCGCCCCATCAGCAGCTCCTGTCTTACAAGGAGGTGCTCCTGGAGAACCACGCCCCTCTCCAGCTCTACTCGATCCGTAAGAATGCAACAATGGACCTGAGGCTTCGGTTCAGCGTGATTGCAGAGATGTCTAGCAGCCAACAGATGACGATCACAGCTGATGAGATCAACACCATCGCAAACATCAAAGCTAACATCTTCGAGAAGACCAAACTACCGCTTGATAACCTGAAGGTATGAGCAAGATGTATCGAGAGGCAGCCTTGGCAAGAAAAGACCTGGTGAATCGATTCTTTCGAAATGCCTTGGCAACCTACACAAAATGACGACGTGAAAGTGTCGTGTTTTTTCGTCTTTTCGAAAATGCGTTCTTGCTTTTCTTCCCAACTGGCGATTCGTATATCTAATCACTGTAATATCAGAGGTCCTTTAACGATGTCAAGAAGGGACTGACAATCCATGTTATGTAGGCGGGAATCGAACCGGGTCATTAAAGGTTTAAGGCGAGAAAAGGCTTAAATTACTGGAGTAAAACATAAACTTGCCGAGGCATCTATATTACATTGCAATAATTAACTGCAAGAGAGCGGAGTTGTTGTAAATTCACAATAATTTATGTCACTCTTTCACCCATGTTACTTTGTGACCTGACTTGATTTAACTAGTGATTGACTTTTCAACTCTGTTTAACTGTCATTCACCAACGTTGATTTAGTCTTAGGACTAGCAGAGGCATGTCTCCTCGCTCAGTGAACACTGTCCCTCGTCAGAACTCTCATAAAATGTCGAGAGATTTTACCTGTTGCTCTTTCGTGGGATTTTATACAGATTTCGTACCGAGGCAAGCAGCTGGAGGATCACCGCACCCTGGCCCATTACAACATCGAAGAGGGCGCTGTTCTGCATGTCAGCTGCGCCCTCAACGTCAAGATGCACGCCACAAACACCGACATCAACCTGGATGTTGAGCCTGGTGCCACGGTGCAGCAGCTCAAGCAGATCCTGTCTCGACGCAAGAACATCAACGCCGATCGCATGTACATCGTGACTGGCGACCAGATCCTGAACGACGATCAAGATGTGACGGAGGTGGTGCGTCATGGGAAGGACCTCGGCATGCACGTGGGTAACGTGCTGGTCATGTCATCCTCGGGCCAGATCATGCGAAACGGCGGTGACAACGAAGGGCAGCAGACAGGGAACCAGACTGACCGATCACTGGATCTAAGCGTGTCGGGATCGCTCAACCTGTCTCAGATAGCGCGCTAGGGGTACATACTTGAGGCATGAAGGTGTGCTATTCAAACAGCTGAAATTGCGCCCCCCCCCCCCCAAAAGGAATGGCTTGCTTTGATGAATTCAAAACATATCCTGATAAGCAAAAGTTTTGTGCGAAAGTATAACTGCTTCGCAGGCGCGGATCCAGGCGGGGGATAAAAAAACCCGCCAGTTCTGTCATTTTTTGTTTTCATAGAAATTCTTTCAAAATAATGCCCCCCCCCCTGCTCTGACACCCCAAAAAATGAAACTGGTAATAATTTCGGCCTGTGCCCAAAATACGGACGGAGCGAGCTTGGTTAGGGGGTATTTGTATACTATTCTGTAACAATCGTCCGATTTGAACAGCGCTCCCATTAATGGTACCGGCCACTTTATTGATTTTCGGAGGCCAAGTGTCCGGAGAAAAAAACCTGTCTACATTTCAAAATGTTTTGCTGATGAACTCCCATCCCCCCCCCCCCACCCCCGGCGAAAATTCCTGGATCCGCCCCTGGCTTCGTCACATTCCTGATGTCGTGATCCCCCGTCGTGTCAATTTAGCAATGCAGTATTCTTCTGTGTCTTTTTCCTCATGCGCACTGTGATTGTAGAAATTAATACTGTGAAATCACAGCAGTTTCTAAATTCACAGTTGATTTTCTTTTTGTGAAAAGTAAATTTCCATGCTTTCAAATATATCACTTTATATCTCAGATTTCCTGTAGTAAATATTAAACGAGTTTTTCATAAATTCTTTTATCGTGATGTTTGAGATTTTACCGAAAAGTTTATAAAATTCACTAATGTGCAGATTTGAATTTATCTATTTAAAAGACGTTTCTAATGAAATAAATGAAAAATCCCAAATTATTCATAAATACCTTAGACAGTTTAGCCATTCCTATTGGTCGAGAGCCCGTCACGTGGCCGGTCTTAAACGGATGATAAAGACATGGCTAGCTGGTCTTAAACACTTTTCCAGTGTCACATAAAATGTGGACTCCTAAAAATCCAGTGCCTCTTGCCGTTTTATTGGTTGAACGTTCACAGTCCTCACGTAGGCATGCGCAACACTACCAGTGAGTCAGAATTTTATAGTTCTAAATTCAAAACGCAACGCCCCACGCGCGCGTCAATCTCCATCAAAGGGTTGTTTACATCTTCAAAAAGCATGAAGTGAACTTGTTGAACAAAATCGGGATTTTTTGACCGAAATATTATATTTTTTTGACCGAAAAGGTATTTATGAATGGGAATAAATGTGTGCTCGGTCGGTATTAATCACTCTGTTTAAGACCGCTTAGAGTCTGGGTGCTGATAATTACCCTCGCCTCCGGCTCGGGTAATTATCAGCACCTAGACTCTAAGCGGTCTTAAACAGAGTGATTAAAACCTCTCGAGCACACATTTATTCCCTTAATAATAATTTTGTAAATAAACATAACCTGACATATAAATATAAAGAGGAAAAAAAATTAAGAACAAATTCTTTTATTTTCAAAATTATATTAAAAATGTATCTTACTAAAGAATTGTTGAAGTAATATCGGTATTGAATGCTTTTCCATAACGTGTTGTTCACAAGTACTTTGACACGTGCTTCTCGTGATAAAGACCACCAATAGAATTTCGCTTAAGTATACTTTGAGCACGTGCCACGCGGTAGATACGCGATAATACAGCCGTGTGGTTGTGAAGGACAATTTCTTAAAAGGTTACGTAACACTTTTATTTTCAAGTTGAATGCAACAACATCCTCACTGAGATGTTCACGTTGGCGGGCGAAATCTTTGAAAATTAATTTCTCTTGTTTGGAAGACGGTATCTTCGTGCAACTTTCAGGGTTTGTTTCCATTATAATGATCCAATAATGTGCTAAAAATCGTTTAATATGTTCAGTACTTTTAGTCGTTGAAATTGGAAAAATAGGCCTGTTGGCTACGTGCATTTTTAAAAGTTGTAACTCTGGTGTTTGCAATATCTGTCAATCTTTTCAAGCCTCACGAATATTAATAAGGTTCTTATCCATTATGGTGTGCTGTAAAAAATTGCAGAATAGCCTCCTTCACGAGTCATTAATAAATTAATATCACCCTTTTTGCCGGCTTCCATTGGTTGATACCGAGACCCACGCGAAGTCACGCCGAATGACGCTAATGAATATGCTAATACGCGCTTCGTCATTGCTGCCTCAAAATCAGCCAACCTGAGAACCCTGCACGTGAGTTATTAACTTGGTCTGCTAAAAAACCTCGTCGAAATTAACCTTGGAGATAGTTTAAGGTATAACACAAGCGTTTGCAACAACAGATTAAGCTGAAATTCGAAATATACTTTGATGATATAAGTGCTCAACTACTCGTGAAATAACAACTTGAGGGGATTCCTAGGAATTGAGATAAATACATGTAGATTTGGGAACGTTTTGGAACGATTTTGTCCCGACTTTAAGGTCAGCTATACCAGTAACCAGTATTGACGTTTCGGCATCGATGACGGCGATTTTTGTTACTGACGTGAAGTTTAGAATTTCTTCTTCCGTTATAATTGAACATTTTAATCATACTGGGCATATTTTCTGAGAAACACAACGTTCAAAAGTCCATGTTTTTTGGGGGGTGCATGAATTTCACTGCTCTGTTATAGCGTCGGATTTCATCGGATTAACTTTGTGCAACAAAGGCGACACTAAGGCCTTCGCAACCACACGGCTGGCACGTGTGTGGTCGCGTGGTCGACACACGAGGAGCGCTATTAATAGGCTTCTCTGAAATAATAATAATATAGGTTTTCCCGGCGAATTTCCGGTTTCTTCTAATCAGTTTCATTATCAGCCATTCAATTTCGCGCGAGTTTTGCACGTGGTCAATCAAATTGGGGTTTCTTTTTCATTTTGGGTTCATTCAATTTCATCATGAGGCAGCCAAGATTTTGCTCTGAATGTTCGTGTTCGTTTTCGGGCAGCCTATTTCGTTTTGGTGCATTCAAGACATAACTTGTAGCAGTCTTAAATTAAGTCTTTGCAACCTTTTGACGGATGACGCATTCAAATTAGTGAACATCTGTGCGCTTTTAACGTATAACCGTGCTTTTCGTTTCTTTTTCGTTTATGGGCAATCGCTGTCATCGTATGTTTATTCAAATTAATAAGATGTTTTAATCGATATTTTTTCTTATTTTCCTCCGAGGTTCATTCCCCCCCCCAAAAAAAAAAACTTGATGACTGTAAAATTTACAATGTTACGTATTAACTGATATGAGGGAAACAAGATGTAACGAAATAATTAATTGAAAGTGACTAAGATAATTTACTTTTCACTGTTGATATTGTCTACTTGTTTAAACGTTTGATCAAGGGGTATCTTTACGTTTATTTTTTGACGTGCAAGACATCGGGACACGTATGTTTGGCAACCATCGGGAACACTTCTCTTGCGTTATTTATGTTTTCTTGCGTATGTCTGTCCAATCACTTACCGTATTCAAAGGGCCCATGCAAAAGTAAGTTTTCAACGCAAACCTTGAAAATACATCTTTGTGTAACATTTAACCTTAATCGCAAGTTTTTCCATTTTGAAGGGTGGTTGTTTTTTTGGTGCCCTCTCCATTTTTATGCTAATGCATGATTAGAAAACCTGTGATGGCATTCCGGGCATGAGTAATGTAATACCCCCGTCACACCGGAGGTGCGGTGCCACTGCGGTGCTTGTACGGCATAAACCGCAGTGGCACCGCCATGATCGCCGTGGTTCCGCAGTGGTTCCGTCATTGATCGCCGTAGCACCGCGGAAAACTGTCAAAACCGCGGACCTTCGCGGTGGCACGGCGTAAACTTTGAACATGTTCAAAACTTCCGCAGTGCCACCGCGGGTTGGGCCAATCCGCAGTGGGATCGCCGCGGCATGCACCGCCATGACCGCCGTGGCACCGTACAAGGACCGCAGTAGGACCTCTATCACCGCCGTGCCTCCGCAGTACAACCGCCGTGCACTCGCGAAGGTCCGCGGTTTTGACAGTTTTCCGCGGTGCTACGGCGATCAATGACGGAACCACTGCGGACCCACGGCGATCATGGCGGTGCCACTGCGGTTTATGCCGTACAAGCACCGCAGTGGCACCGCACCTCCGGTGTGACGGGGGTATTGACGGGTAGGGGAAACTATGCAAAACTACTGCCGGTGTCACTACGGTGATGGCGGTTTTGACCAAAAACCGTAGTGGCACCGCGCCTCCGGTGTGACGGGGGTATTTCAGCACAAAACGTTGCTAGAATTTTCGAGCAACACAATCAACCAATCAATCTTTGATAGAACGGCTAGGAATCTGTGGAAATATTCCAGAATAAGTCAATTTTCCGCATTACAACTTCGCACGTTTGCTCCAAGATTTCACGATTACAATTTAGGATAAGCACAGCAACGAGAGGGCAATAGTAATCGAGAGTGCAGTCCGCATTGGTTTCAAGCCTTCAAAAGTAATATATTTTTCTTATTCGTACTAGTTAGTAACATTGTAATTGTTGTTTACCCCAAACAGGTGTGTGAAAGACACTTCAGAGATCAAATATTAGATCCCCCCCCCCCCGGAAGATTAAAAGGTTTCAGGCAGATACTCTTGTTTTGCACGCTATTAATGATCACCTCGTTTAATAGTCCGAGAGCCCAGTGAGGTTTGATTAGAATATCGCGCACAAAAGGTTTGATGGTGGCAGCGAGTAGGTGGGGGTGTCCAACCTTCGAAACCGTCATTCTTAAGTGTCACACCCCGTGCGTTTGGGAGGGGGCACAGCCTAAAGACCCCCCCCCCCCATTTTTTTTTTTAAAAATTGGACTTTTAATTAGAATATCGCGCACAAACTCGGTTCCAACGCAAAAAGATTAACTTATCAATGACCAATAACTTAAGAATGAGAAATCCCGTGCATTCCATGCTTAAGAATGGCCTAATTAGTGCTAATTATTTACCTTTAATTATAATTAACGTGACCAAAATGCGAGATCCACAACTTAAGAATGGATTTTCCCGTGTGCATTTTGTGCTTAAGAACGAGTTAAAGTTCAATAATTAGCCGCCCGCTAAGGAATTATTTTTGTATGTGTTTAATTAGAACGTTGAGCACAACGATCATTCCAACACCAAACGATAGTGTATGAGTCAGCGTTTGCAGAATTTCAACTAAAGAATAAAAAATCTCGTGCAAAATCTACTTAAGAACGATTGTATGGTACGGAGGCCGATTTCTGCACGGCTTAAAAAGTAAAAACATACTGCCATAGCGAAATATTTCGCAATGCACATGCTAAATAGCTTAACAAAATAACGCAAAAGCATCGCTGCACACGTACTGCATTATAAAATAACCCCCCAGAATTGTAAAATGCTGCAATATACTATTATATGCAATAATATTACGCCGACCTAAGTGTTCGAAATAGTAATGCTTTTTCGAATTACGCAATAATGCCACCATCAAACCTTTTGTGCGCGATATTCTAATTAAGCCTCGCTGGGCTCTCGGACTATAATTCATGAACCATGCAGGTAGAAAAATATGATTTGTGAAAATTTCAAAAGTGAAAACAAATAATGAAATGAAAAATAAAGCTTTGATAGACGAATTAAGAATGATCTGTCCAAATTGTCAGAATAAGTCATTTTATTTTGGCATTCTAACGTCGCATGCTTACGTCGTTTAACCATGGAACATTTGGTGTGTCAGAAAAAAACAGTTTTTAATTAAAAATCTGACAGTTAGGCCCAAAAAAAAATATTCGGTCTCTGGTCAGACCAAAGTTCCGGAATTGACGCGGCCACGCGGCTTTTTTTTTTTTTTTTTTTTTTTTTTTTTCTTCAAGCTTGGATTGTACAGACAAGGTGGGGTATTTTTTTGCTTTTTTGGTGTCCTCATGTACATTGGTGTCCTCCATAATTTGCCTTGGTGCTTTCGATCATTTGCCTTGGTGCAATTTCCCATTCCTTGGTGCTTTTTGGTAAAAAAAAATTGAGGAGGTGCGGAAATAGAGGGCGCTGTTGGAGCTACCGCGGAACATTTTGGAAAAAAAAAAGATCGACGCGCATGATTAAAATCGACGCGCGCGCTGACCAGAGACCGACTTATTTTTTTTTTGGCCTTATAAAAAGATTTTAAAAATGACCCAATACCACTTCCAAAAAAAATACCACCTATTAGTAAATTCTGCAGCCCCTAAGTATAAAGGGGTTGTTGGTCGTTAGAAACAAAAAAGGGCAAATCTACCCAACTTTTTTTACCCTTTTTTAGTCAATGCTCTCCCGAGGAGTCCAGGCCTTCATTCAAACTAATGAGCTCGTGTAGCTTTCCGAAGTCTGTACGATTGTTTAATTAAAAATCTAACAGTTTTAAACAGAAAAAAATGTCGCAATACTACTTAAAATAATGTAGTATTAAAATGTGATAAAATGAACAGGAGATGACGGAGATGACATGTTCAGACCAATACTTGGACAAAGTTAGTACCACTGGAAATAGGCAAACAAAATACAACAGCAAACGACTCACAAAAACAAACATACAAGCAAAACAATCAAACAAACAAACAAACCAATAAATCAAAGAAACAAACAAAGAAACAAACAAAAACAAACACCCCAACAGACAGACAGGCGGACCAAACTAGAGATAGCCCGACAGACAGACAGCCAGACGGACCGACAGACAGATAGACAAACCGACAGGCAAACAGACAGCACGAGACACCCAGATAGACAGACAGACAGACTACAAACATACAAACACCTCAACACCCCCAAAAAACATACGAACTAGGAAAAAGCCATACATTTTATAAAATACATTGAAAAGTTTAAAATGAACAGAAATGAAACAGCCAATATAAGAATTTACAAACACGAAAAAACAGAGCACCCCCCCCCTCCACAAATTCATAAAACATTGGCAATAACCAAGTATGATGTTGAGAAAAAATACAGGACAAACTACAATAAAGATAACTCCTCCCTTAAGTGTGAACGAAACGAACCCACACCTTCCACAATCAAACTGTTTCTGGTTTCAGCTGAGAGTTCTGACGGTACATGTATATGTTAGGAAAATGAACACTGGCAGTGAATTAATATGCCTCAGATCTAGGGTTTAAGTGATGGAACGTAAGCGTATCTGTGTGTCTGTTATTAACCTGAAGTAAATTGATAAAATCAGCCAAAAATACACATTGGTAGACATCATAAGTTTGGCAATAAAACTAACATTCAGAAATTCTCTTCTATTACAAAGAGACATAAGCCCCAAACTCTGCAGTCTGTCCTGATAAGATTGTTCCATATAATTCTGTTGTAATATCATCCGACTTATACGCTGGATGGATTCAATGGAGTCAGTATGTTTTTTCTTGTGGATCCACCACACAGGCGAGTAGTAGTCTAAGATCGGCTGGGCCCAATTTCACGGCGCTGCTAAGCACACAATTTTCTGATAACAGAGCCTCCGTCTATTTCATGGAGACCGCAAGCATAAGCACAGCAAAAGGCACGCTTACTCCAGAGGAAAAATTTGCCTAACTTGGTGACGTAACAATAGAAATATCCATGCACGCGCGACTGTTAGCACACACGCCGTGAAATAGTGCTTAGAGTTAGCAATTTTTTCTGCTATGCTAAACACAACTTTTCTGCTAACTGTAAAGCAGCGCTGTGAAATTGGGCCCGACAGGTGGAGTGACACACCAGAAGGGCAGTTACTAGATATGAGGCGAATCAAGCCAATTAGTCGTTTACACTTCGACGCATTATCTTGAACCTGCAAGTCCAAAGACAGGTTGCTCTGGAATGAGCAACCCAGAATTCTGAGGGAACCAACACATTCCAAAGGAGAACCGTCAAGATTCTAGGTTGGCTTGGGTAATCGGAGCCATGTCAAACGCATGGCTTTGCATTTGCCGACGTTCAGACGCAGGCAGTTGGACTTTGCCCAGTCCGGTACGGTGTCCAGGTCTTTTTGAAATTCTGCATCATGATGATCGGTGAAAACATTTCTGAATAGAAATGTGACGTCGGCATACTGCACCAGGCTAGATGACAGCTGAAGCTGTATCGTTAACGTACAGCACAAAAAGTAGAGAAAGTATTGGTCGTTAGAAACAAAAAAAGGAAAAAATCTACACGACCTAGGCCTTTTTTTACTCGATGCTCTCCCGAGGAGTCCCAGGCCATCATTAAAACTGATGAGCTCGTTGTAGCTTTTCGAAGCTCCACATTCTCAATGACAGACATTATACAACGTCTCTACCTACCTGCATAGGTATCTGGTACAATGTTGAAAATAATGAAGTCTAAGCACCGCCCCATTTGGCTAGATTTATTTAAGGCTGCTGTGAACTAGGAAAGGCACAGATTTGAAGAGTTGGTCAAGCAGTCCGGTTGATAAACGAAGAGCAAATCCTTTGCGATAACTTCTGCCAAACCACTCCAACTTCACATCTCTTGACGAATCCACGTAGCGCCACAGCAACACCACACCGACTACTCCAAACAGCCCTCGAGTTGTGACTTAACGGCGGCCAGGATGAAAAACCAAGTCAAAGAATCAGTCTCCTACCGCCTGGTCGTCATGGGCCCCTCACGGGTCGGTAAGACGGCCCTTATCTCCATGTTCCTCCGCGGCCAAGTCAGCCCGATCTACTACCCGACCGTTGAAAACTGCCACACGTGGCAGATGTCTCAAGGAGGTCGGCAGTGCCATCTTGACATCATAGACACCTCCGGCAGCAAAGACTTCCCGGCCATGTACAAGCTCTACATCTCCACAGCCCAGATCTTCGTCTTGGTACACTCCTTAGAAGACCCCCAGTCCTTCGAAGAGGTGCTTCGCATCCTGGAGGAGATCAACCGAGAGCGACCCGGAGAGCAGATCCCAATCTTTGTGATCGGGAACAAGTCGGACCGACCGCGCCCTATCGGGATGTGCAGCGCAGAGGCGGAGCTCCTCTTAATCGACTACATGGACGTGGTCAGGTACACCGAGTGCAACTCTCGTAACCGGTACAGCGTGGACAGCGTCTTTGCTCAGATCACCGATGTCGTCTTTGGCTCATTCCGATGTGTCAACGGTCAGAGAGAGGACCTCATGAGCACCTCGAGCGACAAGAAGTGTAAAGGAGGACTTCTCAAGAAGTGGAAAAGCCTTCGTCGTCGTTAAGAGAAAAAACTCAAACTCAGAAACAGTTTATTTGGCTCATACCTCGAGATATGTTGGCTGTAATAAACACTGGACGAGCTGTAACTGCGCACGGCTTGAGAACTGTTACCAGACTTTAAATTGATTACACAAAATGGTGTACATTTAGGCCACAACTATTGCCCCCCCCCCCTTCATTTTATTAATGTATCCACTGTAAAAAAAAAAAAAAAAAAACGGGGAATGGGTCATTTGGGAGACATTCCCATAGATTTGTGCACAAAATTTTTCCAACTTAAATGTGCCTTAACCAAATATTCCCTGGTCCTTTTCCCACGAATTTCGGTATTTTTACTAATTAGACCACGAGCAACAAATATAACCTAATTGAGACGGTAAAATTTTGCCTCTAAAGGGGGGCTGTGCCATTAGGGAGACGGGTATGTGTCTCCCTAACAGCCGGTGTCTCCCTATTATCGAAGAAATTACGATAACGTGTCTCTCTAATAGTATATTTGTAGGAATAATTTACAGTGGATTATTGTGGTATTTCACCCACTTCGCGTGGTGTTTTTATTGGATAGGTGGTTCAGAATTAATAATAACCACTCATTTAATAGTCCCTCAATTTTAAAAGTCTTGTTTCACAAACATCCAGGCTCTGAGAAAAACTGGATAAACTATGGTCCCCATGGAAACATCACACAGCTGGTTTCTCAGTATGATTGTACTTTTCTGTGTTTAATTATATTGAAATTGGTCTCGTGCGGTTGATGTATTGTGTCAACAGTTTGAAACTAGTGACTTAGTTTTATCTTTTTGATGTGTTATCCAGAAAAATGTTGTATAAAGTTACATAATGAACGAAAATGTAAATAAATTCACAAGAAATTAAGCTAGATGTATTTATTTCGCTATACGTGTTCATGATCCGAGGTCTTTTGACGTACAAAATGTATATGACTTGCTGCTATTTTACCTTGTGGCACATTGCCTTAAAGAAACTGGCGCATGGAAATGATTCTAATATAATTTGTTTTGTTTGTTACCATTAAACGAGACTCAAGGGTGCAGACCAGTAAATAGGCCCGAAATTGCCTACGCCGGCCAAATCACGATTTGCATGCCCTAAAATTCTTCCATATTAGAGCATTTTGTGGGCCATGAACTTGAGGGTTTGTAAAAAAAGAAGGGTGGATGCCGTGCACAGGGCTGTGAGCTTGTATTTCTGTGAAATTTGGATGAAATTTGGCCCTGAAAGCGCTCTATTTTGCAATGGAGTGTAGGCATCGTTTTTTAAAATGGCGATGGGCTTCAGGACTTTTTTAAGGGGTGATCATCTTTGGATGGAAATTTCTCCCAAAAGTCACTGGATTCCCCCCCCCCCCCCAAAAAAAAAAAATTGAAAAGAAAATGAAAGATGACGAAATAAGCTTTAATTTGTGTGTCTCGAACACCTGAGAGAGTTGTGAGTATTTTCCCTGAATTTCTGAAGTGGGAGAATTTATCATTGGGGTCTATGGCAGTTTATTTACTGGTCTGCAACCTCAAGTACAGATCCATGAGGTCATCATGTTGACCTGACCTGACCTGACCTGACCTGACCTAACCTGACCTGATCTGATCTGATCTGATCTGACATGACATGACATGACCCGATCTGACCTGACCTGACCTGCCGTTACCTGACTCCATTTGACCCGAGCAGGCTCAAACACATTCCCTTTTCACCCAAACCGTCTCGATTTAGCTGGATATAACCCAAATCGTCCTCGGCACGGGCCCATCTATTAACCCGCTTCAACTCTCCGCGATGTGACCTGATCTAGGACCAACACTTCCCTATTTAATCTAATGAATAATCTAGTCCTTTCAACAATTCTCGCTTCCCTTAAGAAAAAAGTTGGCACATGAAATGATAGTGCAGCGGGAATTCACCTTATAACCTTCTTGGTGTATTTAAATTAAAAGAAGGTCCTTGGTAAGAGTGGCCAAACTTTAAACTTAAAGACTCAAACATTCGCCCGATTAACATGTTTTATTTTATGTACACCATAAGTCATTCACCTTTTAAACAATAATTGTTCACAATTGTACCTTTGAATTTGATAATACGAACGAAATTTAAGGGCAAACTTGTATAGAACCCTGTGATGAAGACACCCCCACCCGCCCAGGATAACCCCGCCACGCCCCTTCACCAAGCAAAATCTGAGTCCCTCATAGGTCCTACTTGAGCATCAATATTTTCATCGTTGGTAGAACAGCCTGATCCTTGATGGTCGAAAGCTCCCTGAGCCTCACGTCGAATCGCAAATTCTTCACAATACCCGAACGGCTAAGGATCACCTCCACGCAGCGGAAACACACGGGGCAGTCCCGCTTGGTCGATAGGGTGATGTCCCCCGTGGGAACTCCGCGTCGCGCGCGGTGCGCACGCGCGCGCGCACTCAGCGTGACCTCCCCCGCGACGTAGGTCTCGTACACCATAAAGAACTTTCTTTTTTTCAGCTTAGCAACAGGGGAGGCAGGGTCCACGCAGCAACCCAAAAGTTTCCGTGGGTCAACCCTCCGGGTCCTGACGTTGTAGATGCCCAGTTTCAACTCGGTCTGGCGTCCGCCTTTCCGGGATGACTTATCACCACCGACTGGCTGCTGGAAACACCGTGAGATTTGCAGGAATTCGAAGCTATCGGGACCGCTTAGTGGGCATGTTTCCTCTAGAATTGCGATCTCATCTGTGGGTACTGAGTGTAGGCCACGCCCACTAAAAGATTGTCTGTCGGTTGTTAGGAAAAGAATTTAGAAAGAAAAAAAGTCGGGAGTAGTTTTTTTTTTCTTTTTTCTTTTTTCTAAAATGGTGGTGGGGAGTTGTTAGGTAAAGATAAAACTGTCACTGTTCAAAAAGCTGGCACTGCGCCTACCGTCACGAAAGTCACGTGACAAAATGCTTGCCTGCAAGTTGTCAAAAGTATTCCAAACTTTACCTTATCGCCCGAAGGGCATTTCTGATTGGTCCGAATTTTCTGTCATGTGCAGTGGGGATCAGCCTTGCTTGAGTCGGTTCCAGTTTAAGAAGAGATCCCGAGTTTAATGATTTGCCGTCGGCGAAGACCTTTACATTTTGAGGGGAAAAGATACCAAATGTCAAATGTATATTTACAACAACAGTTTTTAAGATGAATTTTTGTTTTTAATGTTGAACACAGAGAGTCTGATCAAGTTTAATAGGCTTTGTTCACGAGTCGGCCATATTAAATTAAAAGCGAGGTAAAATGTTCATTTGTGGAACTTGCGAATAGAAACGAAAGCAATGAAATGTAAATTAAAATAACAATGCAGTTAATACCAGTCTAATCTGATGAATAATTTAAAATTTGTGATTAAACGTATTCTAATGTTTTAAGCCACATTTAAAATAAAAATTATGAAATTGAGGCTTAGAACGCATTAATAGTCTGGCACCATCCCATTCAACAGTGTATAATTTATAAAATATATTCAGGGAACACGATCAAAACTTCCTCGTGAATTAAGGTGTAGAGACATCTCTACGCTTGGTTGGCAAACTGCACATTTTATTTTTGCCAACCACAGGTTGCAAAAACTGTGGAAGGTCAAACACTGCAAAAATGATGAAGAGTTATTACAGATCACCAGAGTATTATTTCATCGTTGGAAATACAACATCGTCAACAAAGCTACAACACAATTCCTACACATGCCTTTTTACTATGTATTGAGGGCGTTATGAGGACTTTTGTTGGAAAAATATGTTGCCAACCACGGCTTCAATTTATGCGCATACGGCTGCCCATATAAAATGGCACCAATCTTGAAGGTCTATACGCTAAACGCAACGCATTTCGAGTGGAAAATCCAACTTGGGACACCATACCCTTCGATTTTTGTTCTAGATGCGTCAGGAGACAAGACAACTTCTTCAGCTATGGTCAGAACGAGGTTCCAATTGTTCTTAATCCTTTTTCCCCCAAACGTTCAATTTCTTATTTTTTTTTAAAGATTTTAATTCAAAATGTTATCATAAAGAAGTACTGTCGACCGGAATGTGCCGTTTTGGGCTCTCCCACCTAACGATAGAAGTTGTAAATTCGTTTCAAATAATATAAACGTGTACACAAGTATACCCTGCATACAGTTCTCGTGAAATTATTGCGCGATGCAATTACGTGATACAAAATGTTAGAGCTTTCATTGCACGGCCCTTATTGTCAGTAAATTGTCCCTTGCCAGCCTGATAATGTATTATTGTATGCGGCGCTGGTCTGACTATGACAACAGCCTTACCTCTTAATTCGATAGCTATAATCACTGATGGAAATTGCCTACGTATGTGGATTTTGTGAACCAGATATGTTAAATAATTATGGTTATAGTAAAATAAATTAAAAGAACTAAATTTCGGCGATTTGCGGGCGAATGTGTACCATAAATTTCCATAAATCCTTTATCGGCATTGGATTATTTTTTAAAATGTTATTAGCCTATAGGCCTACGTACATGTACATGTAGGCCTACGATTTGATTTTCTGACATGTCTATTCTGTTTGTCGAGCTAAGGTCCTTTTTCTGTCTTGGAGAGACCAGGACCGAATTTCTCTCAAGTTTTGAGTTACCTGAAGGGGCAGACATTCCCCGCCGTTCTCTCTCAACATAAGTACCGGCGAGTAGGCGGGGTGGCCCCCACACATTTCGCCAACAACGCCCACGGCCAATCGACTCCAGACTTCAGGATGATCTAAAAGATCATGCATGGCCGCCAGATTCTGGCTTCATGGACGACATCTCTGGCAATGGATAATATATAATGAGACCAGTTCATAAGAAGATGCATGTCGGGGCTGCATCGTATTCGGTGTTCAATGTGTTTGTGTCTTCAATTTGTTTGGTGTCCACAGCTACTCTGTGACGTCACTGATAGTCTCTGTGTGACGTCATTAATAGCCTTTTCGTGGCTGGGTTCGAGCGCGTATTAATTTGCGTTCCTTATCAGCTGCAGGCTGAACATAGTCGCGCAGACCCAAAAATTAAGGAACGTCCTGGGTTGAAGTTACGATTTAATTTGAAACACGTGACTAAAAGCATCCGTACCATTGACTTCTAGCATCCCATCAATGGACGGCTGGTGGCGCTGTTTGATGGAAATTTGATACACGGTATACTTCCTTTGTTGATTTGCACTGTAGAATATTTCAAGGGATCCCATGACTTTTGTTTTAAATTCTTTTCTACTTTGTTTGCTTTTGCAGGCACAACCAGTTTTTTTGTGAGTTTCATCCATGTTTCAAAAGGGGATGACATTTCGCTTAAACACTTGTGCCCCGTGCGCTTCAAAAATGTTGGGTTTTTTTTTTAACGAATTTCCAATTTGCATGTTGTGTTTCAACGAAAATGAAAACCCATACTTTTTTCCCGATTTTGGGCGTCTGCAACCCTCTAAATTCGCTCGTAACCCCCCCCCCCCCCCGCCCTGCAAACGGGACGCTGGGAAGGGCCGACGAATTCACGCTCTGATTGGATAGATTTTGCGTGACCTGTGACCTGCAAGTCATCACTGCCACGACCCTGCAAGGTTTCAAACGGCTGTTAAGACTGAGCCATCACTCTTTTATGCCCATTTATAAATGCATTTTTTTTTCGTTCAAAAGCGTAACAAAAATCTGTAAACTTATCTGTTTTGTAAATGTTCAATCCCGTCACTTGCTCAGGCTCCGTTTCGAATTCACGAAGGGTCAATGATTGCATTATGCGACGCTCAAAATTTGCCGGATAGTCCGCAATGAAAAAGAAATCACATCCGGTATGGAATGTGTGCATTTCTATGAGAAGTTTTATTTGCGCGCACTGTGTAACTGTGGTCTTAAACAGCTACAGGCAGATGCTTTATATACAGGTCAAAGGTCACTTCCTTCACAAGATTCTGTGAAGCTCATCAGCCCTTCCCAGCGCCCTGTTTGCAGGGCGGTGGGTACGAGCGAACGAACCTGCAAGGTTTTAAACGGCCGTTAAGACTGAGCCATCACTCTTTTATGCCCATTCATGATGAGGGTTTTTTTCGTTGAAAAGCGTAATAATGTAGAAAAATCTGTAAAACGTATTATATATCTGTGTTGTAAATTTTCAATCCCCGTCACTTGCTCAGGCTCCGTTTTGCCGTTTTCAGAATTCGCAAAGGGTCAACTTGCATATCATGCGACTCTCAAATTCTGTCCAGATGGTCCGCAATGAAAAAGAAATCACATCATCCGGTATGGAATGTGTGCATTTCTATGAGAAAGTTTCCGGATAGCATTTGGGCGCATTTGCTAACTGCGGTCTTAAACAGCTGCAGCCAGATGCTTTATACATAGGTCATAAAAGGTACCCAGAGTGCCATCCCCACTTCCTTCATACGATTCTGTGAAGCTCATCAGCCCTTCACAGCCCCCTGCGAACCCTCTAAAAAGAGGACTTTCATTTTGCGTACCAATGAGGGCGCACTGCGAGACCCGAATTATTGTCGGGCAGCAAATATATTTTAATTAAAAAAAAATATTTAATAATTAAGGGTCAGTGTTTTTTTTTGTTTCGTTCGATGTCTCATTATAAAGTGAATAACTTTATGTTAGTAGAAAATAGCAAATGAAAAAAAACACTCGGGTGAAATTCCATATAGCACGGAGAGCATCTTCAAATTTTGATACAGGCTGTTTGTGTTTTTTTTTTGGTTTTTGTTATATTTTATTTGTTTGATTTTGTTTTGGTAGTTTTTCTTTCTTTCTTTCTTTATTTTTTGGGTGGCACAGTTGCTCCGTATACCCCTTGTCCTTAATTTTATTCGCCCCAGTTCTTACTCTCAATCCATAGCGACGATAAATACCTTGTTGATCTTGAACAAAACGTCCGTATACGAAACAAATACTACGAGATAGACGTACCCTGGCACGGACTAATCCGTATTCAAACTGGTTTCAGCGTTATCATTGACGGTAGTACAAAGTCCCGCCAGTACCAAGGCCCCTCCCAATACCAGATGCTTATGCACGAAAACTGGACTTCGGGCCCAGTGCACTAAATTCATTATCAAAACCCTGAGCAGAAATTGTAGTCAAACAGACTCTCACGTACACTGCAGGCTTTGCGCAAAACTAACCGGGTTTCAAGTCATTTATACGCAGTGTTAGAACGACCAGCACCAGATTCACCTTGTTTTGTTTCAAATTATAAAGTGACGGGTGTTTAGGCTAAACTCTGTCAGCGAAACGTTCGTGTGTTAGTAGCTTATTGAGAATTTGTGTCGTATCAAACATCCATCCTGATCCGACTGTGAACACCAACATGAAGAGCTTACTACTGCTTGTACTGTCTACCATTCTGCTGTGTCAGAATGCCCACGGCCAGAGTAAGTTTTTACGCACATTTGCATGGTTGGCCAAGAGTACCTTTTCCTTCTGAATAATTTCTTTTGGTCAAATATCACACCGATATGTCCGTTGGAAATTGAACTGCGTGGTTAATGTTTCCAGTGGTGAAGTTATTGCTGTATATAATGCTCTCTGCGGCCTGTCGGTAGAGTCGGCGCAGAGCTTTAGAGAGAGGTTTTGCGTTCCCAACCTGAACTTCCGACATTGTTAAGCCGTTTTATTCCTTTATTACAAGGTGGTTTAACTGTAAGTTCTTAACTTGATAACATTGAGGTGAACACTTATTTGTTTCCGCCCTTATCCCCCCGGACCGGATTGAAGACCTACCAAAATGTCCTTCTGTTTAGAATTCTAATTTTGTCACTAACGATTGTTTTGACCTCGTACACTATCCAACGAATTTTTTTTTTTTTTTATGGTACACGATGAGGTTTTATTAGTGTTTCATGTCTAAAGGGCAAGTCAAAAAGAAAGTGACCTGAATTAATGATTTTATTTTCTTAAAAAAACACACTATCAAATTACACCAATGTACGTCTTAAAAGAGCATGTTCCACCACTCGTCTGAAAAAAAAAAATTACTGAAAATGATCCATGTTATCAGAGGTTATGAATGTTTTACTAAAAGAACATGTTTTTCTAGCTCATTGGAAGCTATTGAGCTGAGTGAAAATTACAGATTACATACAGCCATTCAAATACAAGTACGATTTGAATCATTTGAATCAAGACAGAAACATTTCTTTTACTGTCAGATTTTGTGTTTTGAATATTAGGAACAAGTCCACGTTTTTTCTCGGAAATATTGTTGGGGATTTTGTCTGTTTTCCTTTGCAAGTTTTCGTTCATTCGTGGAGTTGGGAAAACGTCCATGTTTCATTGCATTTAATGGGTATTCGTCAGATCGTAGAACGATAAATGATCAGTGGTGGACAGCTGAATTTTGTGATCTTTTTATTAAAATATACATAATTTGGAATAGAGTATGCAAATTACGTGAAAATTTCACAGTTACAAGTCATGTTCTTTATCCGTGTTATATTTATGAAATGGAGAAAGCCACATATTATTACTTTTTTAATTTTTCATTTGGTCACTTTCTTTTTGACTCACCCTGTACATTTTTCGGAATTTCTCTCAAGCAATGCTTTTCGATAATAAATTTGTCATATCCTCCACAAAAATCGACCGCAAACTTTTCCAGTATTAAAGTTTATTTGTTAAAATGCCCGACGAGACTGCCTTATAATTTCGGTTGTGGGAACAAAGGGTAAAAAGACGAATTACTCTTAAAAAATGGCCGGAAAAGTAGGGGAATCGCTATCCCTGAATTCGCCTTTGCACCAGAAAATGACAAATGCACACTTTGTTTCCAAAATTTATTACGTGACTAATATTGTGGCTAATATAATGTGCTGAAACTATTATTATAAAGGCCATGTCACCAATATTTGCATTTAGATAAAACTCAGCGCGAACTGATAACAGCAATATTGCGTACCGTCATTATCGTGCAGTAACGTGTGTGTTTGAGTAAAGGTCGATTTGGTAGATTGATGTCAAAACGTACTGAGGGCCCTACTTCGTTCAGTCTGCAAATCAGAGAGTGTTCAAATAACAACCAAGGATTTTAAACTGATTATCATCATTATATGTACTTAGTTGGTAGATGCATCCATAATGGCCGGGGGGGGGGGGGGAGGGGCTCCGTTAGCCCGTCTTAGCTCCCTTCTGCCGTCTGCAACAAAAAGTGCTTCCAGAATGATGACTTACATTGACTTTCAGCCTCCCCCTGCGTTTTTGTATTTTATTTTCCCCTGGCAATGTCCTCTCTTCTCACAGAAAATGTGAATGGCTGGTTTCTCTTCCTCGCTAGCAAGGGCATTCTTACGTCGTAAGACGCCCTCGGGGAAAACCAAGTCTGAATCTTTTCTAATTTGAGACTCATCGTGAGCAATTCAGTTCTCTCCGTAGACATCGTGACGTTTTCATACGCACTGAAGTCAGCTACAGGATAGAGGAATAGAATTACAGCGTCAACTTTGTTAGCCAATACGAGAGCGTTTTTTCAGGACGGCACAGCGTGCTGCCATTTCATTTGGTATCCGGTTCGTTATAGTAAAAACGTCATACACGCGCGCGCACCACTGATTACTAGCGCCCATTGGATAAATACTCAAGTTGCGTTAGCTTCCGGTTCCAATGGTTCCAACCACTGATCTTGATATAGAGATCAGTGGTTCCAACGCTACTTAATGGCAAGTGGGCGTGGTTTAAACTGAACCGACGTCACGCTAACGAACCGGATACAGGAATTCAATTCTGGATCCGTTTTGTAAACAGCGATTGGTCGAGAGTTATGTCAGTCCATATTTGGAAGTGTTCATGAATAATTATCTCACGAGGTCAATATAATTATGCCCGATGATGTTGGTTTGCATGGGCACCGTCTCACGACGTACGTGAGTTAAACCACCCTGGCTATAGCGAGGATGGTATTTCAACGTGTAGGCAATGTTAAAGTGTTACAATCACGAATCCTCATCATGCCACAATCCATCCAAAACTGTTTTTCAGAACCAATTTTGAAAATCTGAAAAAATTATTGCAATCTTAAACTGTAATCCATTTCTTGAACGAACGGTTTTTCTCCCTAATTTGTTCAACAATTGTGAACTTTTTTTCATGGTAAATACTAGAGGCATTTTAATATAAAAACAAAATGAAAACATGATTTCAACATGGGTTAAAAAATTTAACATTTTAAAACGGGGGTGCAGAGAACCCAAAAGTATTCACTATTTAGAGATGATAACAAACCAACTTCATATTAACAGCGGCAACACCTGCTCCGAAGCAGCTGTTACTTCCACCGCCTCCACCCCCTCCGCCAAATAACCCACCGAGCTTCCGCCAAGCTGATGCCACGACCATGCCGCCGATCATCGACCCACTGGAACCCATACAGGAGCTCATCGACACGGGGGGAGTTGCACTCATAGTTGACATTGAATTCACAGCGGTAATATAAGTTTTGATTTTGCTGCCCGTAAATTCTTACGCATTCACGAACACTTCATTTGTTTTCTCGATTTTTTGAAGTTTATGTTTACCGAGTATAATTATTTGCGGAGTATATTCCGACTCTGTTTTGAGCCGATTTTTTTCCGAAGTATATGTGTCTTTAATATTATATGTTTTTAAAATCATATATGTTTTTTTAAATTCTTTCTTTTTGGTGATTTATTCGCGAAAACAAGTTTCACAAAACATATGTTTTATGAATCTAATCTATACGATTTTCCAATAATGTTTTGGATAATAAAACAAGATTTGCAAAACGTTTGACATCATTCGTTAATCTATTTCCTACAACAGCTGTGTTACTATTTGCGTTTCAGGAAAGGGTGACATAAATTATATGTCCTTAGCATCGCTGGATATAAAATAAAGAAAATAAATTGTACTCACTACCTTGTTTTTCCCTCCGCGTATCAACAGTTTGGGTCGGTAAGGGAGACTACATTCAAAACGACAATGAGTGAGGCGTCCAACAGGTACTGCGTTACCAAGGCCAACTGCGCAGGCGACTACAAGGAAACAGAGTACGTCCGGGGCACTTTGCTCGTTTGTTCGTCTGTCTTTTCACTTTCTTCAGTGGCAAAATGTCCCTTGGAGAAGGTATCGAAAACAAACGATGGTAACATTCTTCCTCGGGAACTCTTCCAGCCAAAATTAGGGAATCGGAAGGTTGAACGCTTTGATTTTCAGTGGACGAGTTTCGTTAGTTGTCTCCTTGTTTGTCGTTGCGGGTAGTGGCGTATCTAGCGGAAGGAGCTGGTGCAACTTTTAAGAAACTGAACGACCAAAAAGTTGCCCGTTTGCTGGCCAACCCAAAACCTCGATACGCTACTGGAGTGGGGTGGTGTGGGTGGGGGTAGGGATGGGGGTGGTGTTGGGTTTGGGATGGGGGTGGGGGTGTTGGTGTTGTTGGGGCGGGGACAAGAGCGGATCCAGAACAAAATTTTTTGGGGGGCCAAAAAATTTTGGTCCCCCAAAATAGTGGGTCAAAAAAATTACGGCGTGGGGTTCGGGGCCCGCTTAAGGGCCCCGAATTTTTTTTGGATTCTAGATGCTCTGTGGTGCGATCTGAGGCAATTTCTGACCACTTAACCAATGTTTTTTTGAGAAAAAGATGGTGGTGTACTCATTGCCTACCTTTATTGCGATGTCACATTAAAAAAAAAAAAAAAATTGGTTTCGTTTTTTTTGGGGGGGGGGGCATGACCCCCTTTGCCCCCCCCCCCCCTGGATCCGCCCTTGGGCGGGGATGGTTATCCGCATTTGGGTGGTAGTCCCATTTTCGAATCATAGGCCTATCTTATTAAAGATACGTCTGGTGGCAAGATTTAGCAAGGATTAGTACTAAATGCAATTCATATCTGGAGATAAAAACCTTCATGTTGTGAGGCAACCCCTCATGCTGTCTTTCATCCCCTGATATTATTATTTAAATTCATGTTTTCCCCTTTTTATCAACAGTATGGATGACGTCATAGTCTATAACAGAATAGCATCCACCAAACCCCAACGAACGGTGGTATCTTTCTACATCAAGAATCCGTATGCTATGACACAGCTTACCATGACAAGCGGGCAGCTTCAAATGATGTTCAAGGCAGAGCGAAAATTTATCGAAAATGAACTTGGATACAAGTAAAGTATCATTTAATAAGTAAACCGTTTAAACTATTCTTTTTATGAAAGTCTGATAATGGTAAAGTTGAATATTTAACAAAAGGGCCAATTTCATTGAGCTGCAAAATAGTATGCAAGAGCTGTGGTAACTATTGTAGCAAAATTACATCATCTTCAGGCGTTATTTTTCGCGGCAGTTGCAGGTGCATGGACTGTAATATCGTTTGGTATCTGTTAGAAAACGTTTGGTAACTTTTATCAAACGGTCAGTAACTTTTATTAAACGTTTGATAACTTTTGGTGAACACGTTATGTTTCGCAGCAGTTGAACGTGCATGGACCTTAATATCGTTTGGTATCTGTTAGAAAACGTTTGGTAACTTTTATTAAACGTTTGATAACCTTTAGTGAACGGTTGGCAACTTTTAGCAAAATTAGCGAGAACATTGTTGCACGCGGTCTCGGAGAAATTGACAAAAGCTCTCAAAAAATCGAAGGCCTGGCAGCAACAAATTGTGGCCCTGAAAAAAGGAAATTTTAGTGGGCATGTATTCTCATATTACGCACTTGGATCTTTTGTTTAATGACCTGTATATGATAACCTTCTGTATTTTGATTTCATCTATTTTTGCAGGCTTGATTTGGGCGACTTAGAGTTTGTACCATTCAGTAATGGGCTGCTTCTGGACACTTGGCTGATCGCATTGCTCTGTGTGATTGGTTTGTTCATACTCGTCGGCATATTTGTTGGATTCATATACTACCGGAACAAAAAAACGTAAGGGGTTTTTTTGTCACAAAATGTCTCCAAAATTCGTGGTTGACAAAAAATATATTCCAAATTAACATTAATTTGAACAAACTTAATTAATTAGCAAATTAAAAATAAAGTTGCCCGAAGTATGTAAAATCAGTTTGCGTAATCTAAATTTCAGAGATCAGAGAACAGAGATCGGCATTTTAATGTTACTATCTAACATCAATCGTTCACAATTTGCAACTCAAAAGGAATTATGCATGTAGGCATATCGTGTTCGATTGGAGTGCAGATTGAGAGGACGCTTTAGAAATCTGAGATAAAAAAAAAATAGATTACAAAACTCCCCCTTCTAAAATCAATGTTCATCCAGGGACACCAAGATGACTTTTGAAGACATCGAGATGCGTCATCAGGAAAACGATGACAGAAAGAGCCAGAAAGTTCTTCCCTCGGGACCCGTGGTTCCCACCAGTTCCTTGAAGAAAGTCAAAGTAGACGCCAGTACCAACGTCTATCAAGCCGAGATCTTATCTGAGACTAAAAGTGTCTTCATGAATCCCTCCATGGTAAAAACGCGAATAGACATTGACGATGACAATGTACTGTACGCCGTGGTACATAAAGAGGTAGTTTTAGTTCGGTTTGGTTACTCTTTCATCAAATGGCCGGCTATATAAGCAAAATTCATTCCGCTTGCTTCACGCTTGGAACCGTCCAGTTGTCACGCTATAGACGATTTTTTGTCGTCTAACATTGAGCGCCATTTTGTATGGATGGGTTGCCATTTGAGCTGTGGCCTGCATCAGATTATAAGGAACAAAATGCTTTTAATACACCTCGTCATGTAAGAAAGAGGCACTTTTATTATTTCTGTGATATACCTTATCGTTTGAAAAATAGTTTGTATTTTCAACAACCCATGATTATGATTCTTTATTTTTGCAACGTTGATGCTAGTAGTTTGCCGACCCGTGGTTGGCAAAAAGAACCATGGATTGGCAAATAAAGGTCTATATACGTTCATAACTTCATACCACCGCAATGTATGGCTTTGTCTCTTCGAAGAATAAACAAGCTTGCATTAGAATTCTGTTCGGTCTTAAAAAGGGGTAAAAATAAATCAACATCTGACCGTTGCACTCTTCTAGAATTAATAAACGAAGACGCATCAAATAAACCTCAATGACAAACAATCAATATGTTTACATAGAGACCAGTTTAGCCCAAATTGGGTTGCAATGCTTTACTCTACCAAGTACCAAATACCACCGGATACCTCATGACATCGCGCCGATTTACGGTTTTCTCGTCAACGCTGATTCATATTCCACTTCAGACAGCTCATTTGTTGAAGGTCCTAATGTAACAGAATCATGGTGACATTTCGCATACACACAAAGTTGAAATCCTGGCAAAAAAGCAGCAGCCAAGGCGTGATTCTTAACGAAACAAAATCGGTCTGTGGATTTTTATCCATTTTTTATTTTGTTACACCTACGTCTTTCTGCAGTACTAGGCCTACTCTATGATGTTTGTGCTAGTGTTCGATCCAACCATATATCATGATATTTTACCGTCCGCGCGTTTGTACGCAATGTTCCACTACCTTATATTATAATACAATTACACAAAAGTTGTTCCCAAAAATAACGGTACAAGTGGTAGTCTGTGCTCGTCTTGACATTATTGAGTCGTTGCTTTTAACTTTGAAGTTTATCAGTGCAATTATGGTCCATTTTCATCATTGCAACCTCAGACCACGATGGAGAAAAAAATTACATTATTTACTTCGAAATTCACATCCCGTTCAAATTGAAACTGCGGCATTGCTTGCACTTGCCATTACATTGCTTTGATATGTATTAAAATCAATTATGCTAATTGCAAGCTTCTGAAGAAATGAATTCACTTTTTAAGTTCTTGAATCTGTATTGTTACTGTCAACAGAATAGGCCTAAGCAAGAAGAAAACTTGCAAGAAAGTAGCGAACCGCCGGCCTCCCCCAACTCTATCGTTGTGACAGCTGATGTTTCTTCTTCTAACGAAGGCAGCTCGCATTCTGGTGACGATCTAGAACCACCAGCCTACGAACAGGCTACTAGTAAGATCCGGATCCTTCTTAGCTACGTGCCATATCTAAACAAAAGCCTCGCATTTTCACGGGAAATACAGAACTGCCCAGCATATTTTCTCTCCGCTCTATTGCTAACGTTTTCTCCCAAAAACTCAACGCCACTATACAACATCAAATTTACCTAGATGGTAAATAAATCATTTATCATTAAAATAGGCAAATCAACGTCATAAAAAGTCTTTTAAAAGAGCGCTATATATATCAAAGTATCAGTAACAAAGAAGTAATGCTCAGTTTTGCTGTACCAACCTCGATTCGAGCCTCGTTTTTGCATTATAGTCTAATTCATTTTGCTTAACTTCCAACATCCCTTACTTTTTTCGTAAAATAGAAGAAGAGACTAAAGTGATAGAAGGTCCCGGTGGTGAGGAGGCAGGTCCCTCTGGTGAGGTTTCTGGTGAGGTTTCCGGTGAGGTTACATCAGCTGCAGATGAGGATTTACCCCCTCCCCCACCTCCAGCTGAAGAGACCAAGTCTGCATCCAGTGCCTCGTTGGACCTCCCGCCTCCCCCACCACCTCAAGATGACCAAACCTCGGGAACCTCATCCAGGAAGGAGTCATCCGCATCCTCAAGTCCTTCTGAGGATTCCAAAGCCTCCGACAAAGAGGCTGCAACCTCTGAGAAAGATGCACCAGTTGCTACTCCTCCTAGGAAAGACTCCGGAGCCTCTCAGAAAGATGCATCACCCGCTACTCCTCCTAGGAAGCATTCCGGGGCCTCTGAGAAAGACACCCCATCTGCTTCTCCTCCAAGAAAAGATTCTGGAGCCTCATCAACCCGCTCCTCAGCCAAGGCATCCTCCTCGGGAGGGAAAGAGGCAGAGGAGGTCGTTGGGGAGTTGGAGAACCTCATCGCTGATCAGTCAAAGTGAGTGCCTCCTTCCTCCATAAACCTCAGATAGTGTTGTAGAAGAGTCCCCAGCAATTCTTACACAATTTCATCACAAGTCCATCTCAAGTCTGACCTAGAGTAAATCACAAGTTCTTTCCCATGTCAAATCACAATTTAAGTAAGGGGATAAAAAAAAGACAAAGGAATATAATTCTTTGTCACAGTTTAATTAACTTGTGACTTGACTTGAGACTGGAAGACTTTTGATGGACTTGTGACAGTTTGGACAAATGGCTTCATGTTTAGACAATGCATGGATGTGGGCTTTTTCTTTTCTAGGCATTTAAAAATTGCAACAGTTCTCATGATTTGCAATGACTAGCATCCCTCCCCCCTTAAAAAAACATACCGGTGGGTCACTAATCCTTAACTATGACAAGTATCCATTAAACAAAATCCCGAAGCCTTGGTCCTCTTTTCCGTTCACACTGACATTTCTTCTTCTTCTTTATCTGCATTCACAGGGAGATAACAGCGAAGCAGGGTGTAGACAATGCTGGATTCGAGACGGAGACCATTGTGAATGAAGACGGGGAACCAATGACTGAGCTGTGAACTAAAAACAGAGATTTCGATTTCTACATTTCATCTTGAAAAATGGTTTTTATCTTCAATTTGTAGATAGCATAAATGACAAATTTTGACTGCCAAATTCTGGATCACCATTTTGTCGGCAAACTTATCAGAGAAATACAATGTATGAAGAATACTAATTGATTATTTTGTTCAGTGATTTCTTGTGGATGTAAGGCCCAACTTCAGAAATTTCTGTTTATTTTAAAAGGCCCATGTAATTATTTTAATGCAATCCTTGAAAATGCACCTTTGTGTCCCATTTAACCTTATTTTTTTTCATTTGGCCATTTGTAAGGGTATTTTGATGCTGTTTTTTATGCTAATGCGAATTTGCATATTCATGAGTAAAGGTGCGATGTTAACTCAGGCAGAAACCTCAATGTTACAGTTATTTCAGCTTCAAAATTGCAACAATTTCAGATATTTTGCTTTCGTAAATGTTCCTTTCTTTGGTGATTCCTTGTTGTTTTGATATTAGGCCAGTGAGCAAAGTTTTCCCACAAAATAATGTTTCCAATGAGCAACTAAGGGATTCACTTTTTAAGGGAAAACCCTTCACTGAACAGTGGCTTCCTGAAATTTCATAGCAACAGCAGTACCCTCATTTGGCAAGAAAGGCATGGATTATTTTAAATGTTTTAAAAAAAAGCGCGCTTTTCAATCAAAGATTACCGAAAAGGGATGTCAAATAGTTTTCATACTTTTAAGAGGAGCAGAAAGTTGCACAAAATATGATTCCAAGTAAAATTCATGTGATGTGAATGTTTATACACGGCTGAGTTTAATGTAATGTTTCCTCTTTGTACAGCAAGTCAAGTTTTAAAAAAATCCAAAATATAAAATGCATTAGTTAAGTTAGCCAATTAACCCTATAAAAAGGGACCTTGACTTCTGACGAAAAATATATTGTAGAATGTCAAAGAAATTCGTGTGACAAGGTTTAAAATTGCTTTGCAAAAATTTGTCCTGTTCAATTAGCACAATGCATTTTGAACGGTTCATTGAATATCAGTGTTAATTGAACATCATATATATCTAGTTTTTGCAGCGTGACCGAGAGGCTTAATTTGAGGAGGATAAGAGGCCTAACAACGTCAATTTGCTGTGCTAAGGTTTATTTTGAGTTACGTTTAGGACTTTTTTTTATTGCACTGTGTTAATTTCTATATTTTTCTCATTATTGGGAAAAACGCATTTAGTTCACTAGTCATAATATGAACAGTGAAATACATAAAACGTAAAGAAAACTGAACACATTCAAACAGATAAACTATATTAATGAGTTTTAATTTCTGCAGACCAGAAACTGGGAATCTACATACATATGTAGAGGTTAATGTCATTTCATTTGTAATATTGTTATTATGTGTCATGAGAAATTTAAATACGTCCCAATTTGTTTTCAGGATTTGTTGAATTTGTCTTAAAAATAAATAAAACGGTTGGACATTTCTGTTTCAATCTCAACAGTATGCTACATTTCATCAATTGAAGTGCTTTGGAAGCCCCTAATATATGACCCAGGAAATGTGCGTCAACTAATAGCAAAAATGAACAGAAATTTATTCAACTTAAGTACGATTTGAGGCTTTGCATGGTGGAGTTAATAATGAACGAAAGGCTTGCGGAAACACCATGTGGGAATAATTTCTCAAACTAAGAGAATGGTTCTGAAAAGAACCAGAGGTATAATAAACTTTTGTCGAAGCTTGTAGATGCAGACTGACCTTATTTTCAAAGGATCACATTTTCGCTGTTATTTCGGTTGTGTAAAAATCAAACGGTTGGGTACTATATGAACCTAGCAACCCGTTGTGTAAACTGTTGTTTACACAACTTGTGTAAAATATTACACAACTTGTTTAATTTTTTTTACACAACTTATAGGTTCATATAGTACACAACCGAAATAACAGTGTTCTAAAAAAAAAGTATATTGTTATCCTTTTTCTGTATATAAAGCTCTTGAAGACTAGTTATATTGAACATCAGATCATTAATAGCTGGCCATTAGGCCCAAACCTTGGAAGCCTCTAAACACCATGGGCCTATTTCGTGTTAAGATGCTGCTGAGTAACCTTGTGCCTCTTTTAATTATACATTACGTAAAACATGTCTTCGACCTTTTTTATATAATTTATTGCTATTTATGGCACACCAAAGATTCCACACTCGCAGAAACACTGCCCTCACATGAATACCCGAATAGAATCATTTTGTTTCTGGAAACAGTTTGTCTTTGAATATACAAACTATTTATGCATTTATTTTACAATGATTGCTGGTCAACTAGAACACCTTAACACAACTGATGCCTACTCTTGGCTATTTTGTTTCATTCCAATGAAACCCAACAAACGATAAACTTTTCAAATTGTTCATTTTGATAAATGCATATATTTGCAGCGGTATACAGTAGTGCTTTGTGTATTATGCAAAACCCTTGAATGTGTGTTTTATTTAATGAATTCAAAATTGTATGTTCTTTACGATGACGAAATTGGCCCAATGATAAATTAATTGATCAATAATTGAAACTGATCGAGTATATTAGCGTCAAGAATCAAAATCACGGTGACTCTGTTACGGCGGCTGCTTTCAACAAAGTTTTGAGGAGAGCAGCATGAATTGTGGGCGGGGCAAGTCTGATTGAAAGGGAGTTGCCGGTATATTAAGTGACCGGACAAAATCCAGCACTGAAAAACTCCTGGCCACGCCACGGGGTACATCGTCTCCCTCCCATGTCAGATCCCCGTTTAGATAACAGAGAAGCAGGTTTGGACAATACTGGATTAGAAACCACGCACTGTGAACAAATACGGTGAACCAAAGACAGTGTTGTGAATTGAAATAATGTAGATGTAATTTCCAAAAAAATTAAAAGTGACTTTTTTACCTTCAAATTTTACCATTCATAATCCCCACCTAAAAAATGATAACAGAAAAATGTAACACATGTAAACAGGATCGCATATTATTTTTTCCTTGTTGCTGACCTTGACAGAGAACATAAAAGAACTTGGACTTACTAATTTTGAGAGGAAAAATGTACGGAATATTTGGTGGTTTTAGGCGCCAATAAAATATTGTTCTTTTTTTTTATTTCTCTGATTTCTCTTCATGGTTGATTTTTAAATTTCACATTCAGCTATGATTCCCAAGAGTTCATTGATAAAATGAGGAAGAAAATGTTTGATATTTAATTAAGAGATGTATTTCTATGTTTCTTTTTTTCTGAAACTCAAGTAAAACGTGACCTTGGAACAATCAACATAACAAAGGTTTACTAACCCGGATGAGCATAACAAAAAAGGACTTCTGATTACAGATCCTACTGTGTACAAACATTAGGATCTGCAGAAAACACGGTGTTAAATTCACATAATCTGCTATTATTTTTTGTAATAGGATTGTTCAATACGGATAGAACCAAAAAAGAGGTTTTGCACTTTTGCGCAGCTTTAAAATTCGAGGCGCCAAGTAATAATAGAAATTGTTGTGCGCATGATTAAGACGTTTTTAATTGCTGTTTTCATTTATATTTTTTTCTCATTATTGGGAAAAAGTTTAAATCTAGTCATAAATTACGACCAGTGGAGTACATAACCCTTAATGAAACGCAACACATTCAAACAGATGAATCATTCTGAAACTGAAGTTTTTATTTCTGCAGACCAGAAGCTGGGAATCTACATACATCTGTAGAAATTAATTTATTTTATTTGCAATATTGTAATTATGTCATAAGAAATTGAAACTTGTCCCAACATTTTTAAGGATTCGTTGAACTTGTCTAAAAATAAAATTATAACAATTCCCATAACTTTCTGTTTCAGTCTCAACAGTATTATTGCATATTTTGATTATGTGCCGTGCTTTTGAAGCCCCTAATAAATAACCCAAGTCCCAAGAAATGAGCATAAAAACTGATAGCAAAAATGAACTGGATTTTATTGAACTTTTTTCGAAGCTATAGTAGATACAGACTGGGCCACATCTTCTAATATTGTCCTTTTTCTGTATGTAAAGCTCTTGAAGACTTACATTGTACCTCAGGAAATTTAAAGCTGATCATTTTTTTTTATAAGCCAAGAAATGAGCGTTAAAAACAGAAAGCAAACAAGAAACATGATTTTAATGACCTGATTTTCAAAGGGGTCACATTTAACTGTTATCCTTTTTTCTGTATGATAATAAAGCTCGTGAAGACTTACATTGAACCTTAGGTCTTGCAGCTGCGGCAACCGCAATCAGTCCTTCACATTGGTCTTCTACGGTGGCCCACAACTGTCACGGCAAAAGCAAAAGCGCCACGGCAAGCGCAAAAGCGCTGCGGCAAGCGCAACAGCGCCGCGGCAAGCGCAACAACGCCACGGCAAGCGCAAAAGCGCCACGGCAAAAGAAAAAGCGCCACGGCAAAAGAAAAAGCGCCGCGGCAAAAGAAAAAGCGCCACGGCAAAACAAAAAGCGCCGCGGCAAGCGCAAAAGCGCCACGGCAAGCGCAAAAGCGCCACGGCAAGCGCAAAAGCGCCACGGCGAAAGCAAAAGCGCCACGGCGAAAGCAAAAGCGCCACGGCGAAAGCAAAAGCGCCACGGGTTTATTGGGAAGGGGCGTAATCATACATGCCGCTACTACATCAAAAAAATAAAATGGGAAGGAGAATGGCCGCCACCAGGAATTCTTATTAAGCACAGAATTTAATTCTTTGAGAAGTGATTTTATGGCTGAGAAAATAGCAAGGAAAACCGGTCAGTGCAAGCAACGTTCAGCGAAAGTTTTGAAATTCCCGCTCTCTGGGAATTTCTAACCTAATGGGCCCGAGGGCGAGTTACGTGTTGACAAGCCTTATTCACCCACTGCCGCAGCCCTGCAGGAGAGCCTTAATCGACTTCCTAGATGTGTATGATATACTGAAAAAGAAAAAAAATTAACTCATACACTCTGGGCAGCTCACTTGCGTGCCTACACTGGTATACACACCTGTGAAAAAAGGCTCAAATTAACGGAACTCTTCTCTGCATGCTAGTCGGAAGGGAAAAAATTGTCTTCAAAAATGCATCAGCTCACAGAGCCTCCCGTCCTCGTAATTGTTTGCATCCCAAGAAATGAGGAACGGCCCTGATGGTGCTGATATAGCGAGTCCTACTTTCCCTCTCCTTTATAAACTCTGATTCACGGCAGGAACTCTCTTGGAATAATCTTGGAATCATCCTACAACAAATTAATATCGACGATTTATCAGTCCCTGAACGTTGCTTCACTGACCGGTTTTCCTTACTATTTTCTCAGCCATAAAATCACTTCTCAAAGAATTAAATTCTGTGCTTAATAAGAATTCCTGGTGGCGGCCATTCTCCTTCCCATTTTATTTTTTGATGTAGTAGCGGCATGTATGATTACGCCCCTTCCCAATAAACCCGCGGCGCTTTTGCTTTCGCCGTGGCGCTTTTGCTTTCGCCGTGGCGCTTTTGCGCTTGCACGGTGGCGCTTTTGCGCTTGCCGTGGCGCTTTTGCGCTTGCCGCGGCGCTTTTTCTTTTGCCGTGACGCTTTTTGTTTTGCCGTGGCGCTTTTTGTTTTGCCGCGGCGCTTTTTGTTTTGCCGCGGCGCTTTTTGTTTTGCCGCGGCGCTGTTGCGCTTGCCGCGGCGCTGTTGCGCTTGCCGCGGCGCTGTTGCGCTTGCCGCGGCGCTTTTGCTTTTGCCGTGACAGTTGTGGGCCACCGTAGTCTTCGGCCACCTGGTCTTGTCGTGGGCGAGTTGCTGTAGGCAATGCAGTTGTTTTTTTTTTATAATGGAGAGGTTTTTATAGCCGACCATTAAGCCAGAAGCTTAGACGCCCGCTTGGCCCACTTCATGTAAACATGCTGCTCCGTAACCTTGTTCCTCTTTTTCCGAGGGGGGGGGGGGGGGAATTGGGGGCAAGGAAATCATTTGGGGGGCAGTCAAAAATAACCTCAAGCCTGTGTAGCGCGCGTACCATTGTCAATGGTCCTGAAATATGCCACTAGAGGAACTTAGAGGTGTAGTCGTATTTATGAAAGAGAAATGTATCAAACCGCAGAATGGCGTATAACAAATGTATCACAAATGTACAAAGACGTTGGCTGCACAATCTACGACGGTATAAAATGGCGTGTTTTGTCCCAAGTACCAATGTTTTAATGCTTTCATTGGCCCCAAATTTGTAACTGTAACCCCACCCCCAACATACTGTTTGAAAATTATTTTCAATGAAAGCCTACAAATATTGATTGCAAATTGTTCATTGTGACAGCTGCATATAGTTCCAGCAGTACAATAGTGCCTCAGGGTCCGCTCATAAGTCCGACGCCTCATAGGTCCGACGCCTCATAGCTCCGACGCCTCATAGCTCCGACGCTTGTAAGTCCGACAAATTAAATGCCTCGTTTTTCCGTTGTCAGACTTATGAGGCGTCGAACTTATGAGGCGTCGGACCGATGAGGCGGAATAAATAAATGTTATGCCTCATAAGTCCGACGCCTCATAAGTCCGAAATTTCGGACTTATGAGGCGTCGGACCTATGAGGCGTCGGACTTATGATACGGCCCCAAGTATTATGCCAAAATCTTAAATGTGTGTATCCCCAAACTCATGAGCTGTCGTACTTGGGTTGGAACCCTGACAGGGAACATGGTACTTGTGTTCTTGGGCAAGACACTTTACTACAATTGCCTCTCTCCACCCAGGAGTATAAATGGGTACCTGGGAGGGTAAAGACCAGAGACCTGATCTCGAGCTGCTGCAAAAACTGGTCTCATGGCCTGATGAACAGGGGTAATAACTGTGAAGCGAGACCTTTGGTATCAAGTGCTATATATGCACCACATTACTTCATTACCATTAAAGGGAAAATACAACATTTGCAAGCATCGAAAAACAAAACTACCAAGTTTTTACGAAATACCTTACATGATGTTGGTAAATGGCAGTCTAAAGCATCCTGTAAAATTATGGCACCTGATGTGAGGTCATTTTCAAGTAAGTGGTATTTTTTGTATACATTTCCAACGGTGGTCGGCCGATCACCGTTGGAAAAACCTAACTACTTTTCAACTGCTGCTCCAAATTTACCTTTTTTTCAGTCCAAATTTTGTTTGCTATTGGTTGCATGTTCATGAATGGGGGCCAGGCCAGCTAGACTGGTTCCCTTACCGTACAATTTTCCGTCATCTATAAATTGATCCATTTCATTTTCAGTGGAGTCAGGGAACCAGACTACTTGGACATTTTTGTTTTCCTTGGTTTTTCCAGCATTTTCGAACACAAAACTTCAAACATGTCAGTGTAACAATAATTTGATCAATAATACTAACCCCTCAAATAGTTCATTTCTGAAAATTAAAGCAAAAGCCAATGATGTACACTCCCTTTAAATGTGTGTTCTGTAATGAATTCAAAACTGAATGCTCTTAAAAATGACAAAATTGACCAGATAATAAAATAATTAAAAAAAAACCCAAACAACTTGAATTAACATGGTGAATGGTAATCATGGTGATTGTGTGACAGTGGCTGCTTTGAACAAAATTTTGACCAGAGCAGCATGATTTGTGGGCGGGGCAAGTCTGATTGAATGGGAGTCATCGCTATCGTCAATGTTCCTGCCACGTCCCGTCTCGTCTCCCTCACTCGTCAGATCTCTGCTCAGCAACTTCTCTTGTATCTTAGAAACTGAAACAACAAATATTTCAACAATCAAACATGTTACACTTACAGTAATAACACTAATTTTACATAAACAGATTTTCTTCCAATTTTAATCAACAAAACTTTTGAATCCATTGTTACCAAGTTCTCCAGTTCTTTCCACCTCTTTCTGCAAGTCCTCTGATGAACATTTCTCCAAGTTGGCATCAACTCTCTCCAAAGCTCCTGCAAGGGCCTGCAAGTACAACAAATAATTGGTTGAAAATAACCTTTTATAAAATGGTCAAGAGAGGGCGCTATACAATAAGGCTGGTACCATAGATCAAGTTTTGATGGGGACTATGGTTAACCGTACTTGTACCAACTTTACTCAAACGTAGTATGGTTAGTCTACTCTAGTCGACTACTTAGGCCAAGTTCGCGCAAGGACTATAGTTGACCAATGGTTAACTAACGTTTGCCCAAACTCTATCTAGTCAACGGTGGTTGACTACGCTAGTAGACTATTTGGAACCAGCCTACTTGGGTTGGTTGCTTCGCTGGTAACCAATAGCTGCGCGCATTCATAATGCTAGCAGAGAGCCAGGATCCAGAAGTTTTGCGATGACATTTTGACCAGCGTTTGACTAGAGACGTTCGCACGTTGCTATCAGTGCGCAGGCGTAAGGTACGTCACAAATCAACCACTAGTCGACTAATGGTCCTTGCCCGAACTTGGCCATATTTGGAACTGGAGCGTGGTTCCATTGCTAACGTTAGTTGCCAATAGCTGTGCTCATCATTACGTACAGCAGGGAGCAAGAATCAAGAAGTTTTGTGACGGCGTTTTGACCATCGTTTGAGTAGAGACATTCGCATGTTGTATTACTTCACAGGTGGAAGTGAAGTCACAAGTCAACCACTAGATAGCTAATGGTCAGCACAGAACCTGCTCATAGACTGAATTGGTTGCTATGTATCTTGGCCAATCTGCCTTCTCTGGTTTGTCTGATTGGTCAAGTTTTGAAGTCCGTGCACATGCGGAATAGAGTGCCTATTGGTCCACTCTCAATATGCTAATTTGATGACCCCATGTCAGAGGTCCCGAGGTCATTATACACAATTTCTGATCTCTAACTCCACATCGGAGTGAGATGTTGACAAACTGTTCATACTACATCGTCTTGGTCTTCTTCTATGTACATACCTAAAATATCGGGGTTTTTTTATCAATGAACAGTGCTACCAAGCTTTAGATGATACTTAGCCCATTTTTGGGGCGAAACACCTCCCCTTAGGAAAGCCTTTCTGATTAAACGCTCACGTATAATGGTCACTGTTCATTTTTGTGAACGTTTGCTAGCTAACCTTGTACTGCTCACACTGTTGCTTGGTAACGGACAACGATCGACTTAAGGCAAACAACCTTGCTCTGAGAGCTGCGTATCTGTAAAAGAAGACGATTGGATTAAGATTGTTTAGATGTTTTGTATTGACATAAAATTTAAGCTGATCATTAGTAAAGTTCAGTTGAATTTTAATTGAATTAATATTTTATTCCAAAGCGCTTATCCTTAAACTTTGTAAAAAATTTAAGTGGCCTGACGTTTGGATCTTAACAAGATCTGCTTCTAAGGAAAGATTTAAAGTAGGAGTACCTGAGGTCTTGCACACGCCCTGACCAATGTATGCGACAACCAAAATATGGTGTTTGTACGTGGCTGAACAGATACAGATACAGAGTGTCAATTTATATATATTTCATAAATACACCTTTTTTTCCCAATTGATTAATTTCATAAATATACCTTTTTAAATTGTATGTTTACCTTTCTGTCATTTGCTCATTTTCTTCCTCCACACTGCCGGGCCATTCGCTAGGATATGAAGAGATGATCCTAGAATATGTTAACAGAAAAATTAACCTCGTTATTGTGCTGCTTTGTTAGAATTCTTAGCCCCTTAAAGACAGGGTTCACGTGGATTGGGTTTTTAAGTCTCTACCTGATTCTTTGGGTTTTCCTTAGAAAACTCTTCAGGGGTTTCCTCCCACTTCAAATTTGTACTTTCTTTACTGTCTTCTTTCAACAGGTTTCTTCAGGCTTGTTAGCTACAGTGCCTGAGGAGCTTTTGAGGAATCTTTGGTTTGAATACCAGATATAAATAATAATAACTCTCCCCCCCCTTTGATTTCACACGGGATAGAGTCTCACTCTTGCAGGCTTGCTTGAGCCTTGATGCCCATTCCCAGGTTGTTCTGCTTCTGTTCCTGGGCATCTTTACGTAGGTCATCTAGGCTCATCAGGGTGTTGCGTTGTTGCTGCCTGCCCAGCAATCCCTGGTAGACATCATCCATGTGGACATTGACTGAAACGAGAACAAGGGAAAGTAGAGGATTCTGACATTTTTGAAGAAAAATTAAGCTTAACAAGGTTAGTTTATGGTGCCAATATGTGGCCTGAAATTTAATGCCAGTTGGCAAAACGTTAAAATTGCAATTTTTTTTTTTCGAAATGTGTCCTTTACTTCTCTGTTTCTGTACCCCTATCACTTTGTCTTTGACAAAGATTCTGTTAACTAGCATCGACATGTTAGACTATCTAATTTTTTTATTTGTATAGTTCAGGTCTGCCAGTCAGCAAGCAGTTGGCAGCAATTTTATTCATTTTCAAATAAGTTTTTAGGGAAAATGGGAATTTACTTTTGGACACAATTCTGTCTATGACATTTGCTGGGATGTCTGGAGGTTCTACATCATGAGCTGACGACTGCTGCCCTGCGGAAGAAAACACACACAAATAAAATAAATTCATGAAAAATGTATCATAATATACAATACAACATAACAATGTCTTAAATGAGACTTTCAGATCAACAAGGCAAGCTGAGTCTGGTTAATGTACCCGTGCAAGTAACTGGTCAAAGAGGTGACAAATATTGCAATTGGTTGAATGTGATCCCTGACCTTTCCATATTTGCATCCAGCTCCTAGGTCCAGACTCGAGGACAAACGGTGTGGATATAACTCGGACCTGGTTACCGATGAACTCCTTATCTGCCATGTGGGCTTCAACCTCCCCACTAGCCATGACAGCGCTGCCTTCAGGGCCAAAGAGAAACAAAAATCAATAAATTCTGAAATGAGAACATTAAATATCAAATGAAAAAGCTTCTTACATTTGACTTATCAATCGTACCCTTCTTATTGTTTTCTGTTTCCTTTAGAAGTACTTTAAAAAATATTGACTTGATTCCCCAATTTTTTTAAAAAAAATCTAAAATTGCTGTGCCCAGCTGATGTCGAATTGTATTCCTCAAAAGGATGGCAAACATATTTGGACAATGGTTTTACCATGCAAAACAAATGTGGTTGGTTTAAGTTGAAGTGGCAACTATTGCCGTAAGACATAATGACATCACGCTTTGCTTACATGTGCGCTTTCCTATGGGAGCCAGCTGGGGACGAGAGCCTGGCTCCCATAGGAAAGCGCACATTGAACAAAGAATACCTTTCTTTTTGGTTCTTTTCTCCTTTCTTGTTGACATCCCAGTATCTCGAGAAGGAATCTCCTGGGAAGGACCTGCAGTCTCCTCATCACTCATTCCACCTCGTCCTCCTCTGGGTGAGACTTCTTTTGCTCCTCCCTTACTACTACTGCTTTGTCTAGTGTCCAAATCAGACCGCCGTTTCTTTGTGACACTTGGAACCTCAGTAATTTCATTTGACTGCGGTGCTGACTCTTTGCTGTTGAAAAATATTAAAATGAAAACAAATTGTTCACAACAACCTCCATTTAAGCGGTCTGTTTGTGCACACTACTTCTGTGCTTGAAAGTGTTACCAGTGAGATTTTTCCCTTGAATGTCAATCTTTGCTGTGAAATACATGATAAAGTTTTTACTACTTCTAGATGAAGCTTTAACAAAAATTTTCAGGAATTCTTAAAGTTTATCAAGCAGGCAGTCAAGTTCCTGGCAAATCCCAGCAAGTCCATCACAAGTTCTCCAGTCCCAATTCAATTTGCAAGCTATTCAAATGAGCTTTGACAAAGGCAATTTTTGTTAGTGTTCATCCACTGTTACTTGCGACAGGACTTGCGATGGACTAGTGATGGACTCGACTACATCCATGGCATCAAGTCAGAGAGACATCAGAGATGACCTGCTTATGCCAGGATTCCAGAATGTAAAACTTACCAATGATCTGAATCATCAGCTGATCCCTCAAATGAAGAATGAGAACTACCTCCTCCCTCTTCAGGTTTCCTGTTTCTTTTCGCTCTACCATTTGTCTTACTAGTAGACTGTTTTGCCTGCGTTGTATCGTCCGACTCGCTGCTAGCTGATGGCCCTGAAGCTGATAACCCTGACTTGTTCTTAGGAAATCGGGTCGGACTTTGGAACACTTTACTGGACCCTCTATCTGGGGAAAACAGCTTGTCAATTTGGACTACTTTCTGACCCAGCGACTTTCTTTTGGAAGTCTTTTTCTGCGGTGCTCTCTTTCCGGTTGCTGCAGAAGCAGCCGATGTTTCAAGCCTGTCGTCGGCAGTGCTTACGTCAGATGCCGCAGGGTTGCGGGTGCTGAAACGTTTCTTCATTCTATCTACGAGGCTAACCTCAATCTCAGGGGTAGCCACTGTAGTGTGCTGGGTTGCTTCAAGACTGTCATCCCCTAGGGAAGGAGGCTGTGATTTCTTCTTCTTTGACGAGTATGCCATTTTGCGAGAAAAAAAAAATCACTAGGAATGTCCACCACACCCAGGTGTCTAGCAGCTAGGTTTACCTGTAAAAATAGATCAATTTTAAACTCTCATCTTTACTATGATTTTTTTCTCTTGCATTTGATGCTCCATTTTTAGGCCTAAATGTATAACAATTTACAAAAAATAGTATGAACATGATCAAGTTATTCTAATTCTTTCAGCTTGTGCATTTAGGTGTTAATTTTTGTGACCATCTTCTACTTGGATAATTGACAGTGCATCCACACAATTGGATATCCTGTCTGTCGATTTGTTTACAAATTAATAGGTAGGCTCATCTATAAAGAATTTAAATAAATACTTCGTTCTAAAACTAGAACTAGAAGAAGGCAGATGGGTGTTAAATACTGAACTAAACCAAGGGCGGATCCAGGGGGCCAACAGGGGCCATGCCCCCCCCCCCCACAAAAAAAAAACGAATCCATATTTTTTTAAAAGTAATAAGTGACGTACGTACGTCGCAATAAAATAAAGACAGACACTGGGTACACCACCATCTTTTCCTAAAAACAATGGTCAAAGTGATCAGAAATCGCCTCATCAGATCACACCATAGAGCATCTGAACCCCACGCCTTACTATTTTTGCCCCCCCTCGCCCCCCCCCCGGCCCCCCCCCCCCCCCCCCCCCAAAAAAATTAAAAATTGTGTTCTGCCTAGCCCCATAAATGTGGCCTATTTACTGGACTGCCTCCGTAAACATAGGCCACACATCCACATGTACAAAAATCGTGTCGACGGAGCCAAATTTTGATTTTCACATTTAGGCTTAGTTTGTAGGGTTTTTTTGCTTTAGAAGCATACTCACCCTCTTTACAGGCTAATCAGAAAGTGCTGCCTTTTTCAGATGTCTAATTTTTGTGAAATTTCATGTTGAAATTTTGATACGCAAACGTGTAAAAATGAATCTGGAAATTTCACGAAAAATATACATCTGAAAAAGGCAGCACTTTCTGATTAGCCTATAAAGAGGGTGAGTATGCTTCTAAAGCAAAAAAAACCTACAAACTAAGCCTAAATGTGAAAATCAAAATTTGGCTCCGTCGACACGATTTTTGTACATGTGGATGTGTGGCCTATGTTTACGGAGGCAGTCCAGTAAATAGGCCACATTTATGGGGCTATGTTCTGCCTAGCTCCATCTAGTCAACTCATCTTCACGTCATCAGAATCAGCAGAGACTAGACTGTTTTTACGATCGAATTAAATTTTAGGCCGATCGAACGATATCACTGACATGGTAATACCCTGAAATTTCGACCGTTTCTTTTAAATCCTTATTAACTTACGGGAGTTTCTCTTCTCAGAGATAAACACACAGACAAGCAATCATCCCACCCACACCAGTTTGTGTACAATAACAAAATAGCAATTTCCCGCGTAACTGAGCTCGAGAGGGCGCTATCACTATTTGTAATTAGTCAGGGACCTTGGACTGAGGTTGAACTTTCACCAAAAACACATAAAGTGAGGTTGGTTTCCATGACCATATCGACTGAACGTATTTTCTGACGCATTCTCTCAATTTTGTGCAATGTTTTGTTTAATTAGCACATTCCATCACCCATGGAGTCACCATAAATGCGTGAAATAGAGCGTGCATGGCTATCGCAAATACTTGGAATGTTTTCTGCGGTTTTGTTTTGAGAACGATGCGAATAAGGCTTAAAGTTAACGGAGAGAAATTAGACTGGTGAACGATAATTGAACCAATTTCGTGAAAAGATATTACCACGTACAACTTGCAAAACACTGTCACTACAGCCATGACAGCAACAGAGCGCAGTGCCATATCACATAGTCCATGTTCATGTAAGTATTCGCTGCTGCAGCTTGGAGAGAATGCAGGGAAAGAATGTAGTTTCAGACGCCACTTCTTTGGTTGTGTACAAAGTCTATGGGAGTATGGAGAGTCGAGTGCATTTTCAAAGTATTTTCTAACAAATAACAGTCCAAGATTCATGTATTTTCAACATGTCTGCAACTGAGATAATATATGATGAAAAAAGTGGCGTCAAGATGCATCATTCTTTCTTGCATTCCTCGTGCTATTGTCAGGTTTCAGCCAGAAAAATGTATTCCTTTTCTAAGGCCAAATAAAAAAATATAAGGTTTCTCATCCCCACTTTTTTTTTTCGAAAACCTATTTTTATTGTATTACTTGCCCAAAATTGCTGTTAATGTTGCAAAGAAAATTATTCACTTTTGAATGAGATATAGAATTGGCCCATGTTTGGTTATGGAATTATATCTTTACAATTTTGAACAATTGGCTGCCAGACAGTATTCCGTTCTCGGGAGAAAGCCTATGGACTGGGATTCAGTCTGCCCGTACAGCGGATCTATTTGGTGCCCAAAACAAAAGCTTGCTTAAATGGGTTGCAGACATCCAACAAAAGGAAAGAAAGGGGGTTTTTGGGTTGGAGTATTAATAATAGGCCAAGTGGAAAATTTAACAGAAAAAAAAATTAAGAACACAGGAAATGCAACTTAAACCTCTTTTATTGTATGGACATTAACTTTGTAACATTGTCTTTTGGGAAAAATGACTTTTGCCATTCAAGGAACTTTTTCACACAAAATATTGTAGTTTACAGAAAACATTTTGTGATGAAACTCTGGTCAAAGTGCCTGTTTGCCACAGTTTTCTTTAGCTACAATCTAGAAAGTTAAAAAAAATCTAGAAGGTAAAAAAAAAGACAAATTCAACACAGAGGATTTAAAGTGGAAAGTAAAAATAAAAACAACTGATGAACAAATAAAAAAACACACATTTATGATTTTTTGTAATGTGATAAAAACATGGGTCAAAATTGTGTTTTTCATTTCTAATTACCAGCTGTTAGAGTCTCACTATTCATGATGTATTCATGAGTCACAAATTCATTCAATTAAAATATGCGCAAGGTCATGCTTATGGTGTAGGTTTATTGTCATATCTAATGTTTGTATTTAGCATCTGGTGTGCAATATGGCTCTGTCACCAAAATGTACAAATGAGAAAGCAACAAAATATATGCTTCCCTATTATCATGAGCAACATTTATGGATATTGTGAAAAGTAAAAAAAACCCTCGTTTTCCCTATTTAAAGCAAAAAGTTCTGATAATTTTAAGTTGTGCTATATACACATGCTGTGTAAACTTCACTCAGAAAACCTTTTCACATGCCCCCAAAAGTTCTGGTATGGATTTGAATTTCAAAGACAGTTTTTACAAAGCATTGTGCGCTGTTTGAGTGATTCAGTGGATATCAAAGGGTAAAATGGAAAATTTTAATAAAAAAATGGATTGTCAGGTGAGGTCAACTGCAAAAACAGAGTTCTATAATCTATATTTTATTCCAGGTTCTGTGATTCGAACTACCAATAGTTTATCAATTTTCTCCAAATATTTGAAGAGGATATTTAATGTATTCCATCAACCAAAGTTCAACAAGAAAGTTACAGCCGAAAAAATATAGGGCCAGTCGTAATAGGTTGGAAGTGCACCAAAAAACGGGTGTTGAATAGACCTATTGAACTGTATCAAAGGTGACGTACCCTACATGTGTTTGTGCCCTGTATTTTATGGCTGATAAAAGAAACGAGAATTTGCAACAGGTCAGTTATTGTGTTAGTGTGAAAACACCACAACAATACACTGAGGATTCAGTTTGTGGTTTGGGAGTTTTTGCAATTCCATTCTCCACACGTGTTTCTGTTTGTTACACCCTCTGTACAGACGTCAGCGCTGCATTCGTGGACAGGGTTGATTGAAAACGACCATTTTTCTGGGTACTCAGATTTCAAAGATTACATTTTTGAGGGGAAGATTTAGAGAACAGTCAACAAACATTAAAACTGTACCTAGAGGCATCAGGTGTAATGTACAGTGTAGTTTTATCATACGTACATACCGGTATCAGCGTGTTGTCAACATTTCATACTTTTTAATACTTTTGACTAAAAAGACATTTGTTTTTGCAGAAGCCAGAATTGAACTCATCACACAAGTCCACACATCCCAGTGCAGTTGACAAGATTGGTGCCAGCATGCAAGGGGTTGCATTGGTAAGTGGTAAGTACTAATAAAGTCACACTTTGTTTACGTGTGCACTTTCCTATGGAGCCAGTGGGGGCCCACGGTCCACTGAGCACCATAGGAAAGCACACACGTAAACAAAGTGTGACGTCATCAGTACAGAGGCTAATTGGGCCATTAATTTCCATTTTAGAGAAGTGTCTTTTCAATTTGGGGGATCAGGTTGGTTTAGTGGTACTTTCCTCGCCTTCCACCGCTGTGACCTGGGTTCGAATCTCACCTGGACCAATATGTGTAATTGGTTTTCAGTCCCTCCCTGATTCCGTGGGTTTTCCTTAAAATATCATCCTGCCTGGTGTTTTCCTCCCACCATTAAAACTGTAATTTCCTTCCACATCTTTTGCCAAGTCTTCTCCATCCTGTTCTAGTGCTTGCACTGTTAGATTTGTCAAAATAAATATAAACATAAGATAAATGTCTGGAAATTGTAGATTGTCTTTCGACCAGAAAACTGTTCACAATGTAGAAATTAAAATGTTGTAACAATTTTTAACAAGTTTCAATTTTTCATCATAAAAATGTCCTTCCATTCTTTAATTTAAAGAAGGTTACAACAGCTGAACATACTTATTATTAAATAGAGACAAATGACAAAAGTTGCGCTGTCAACATTTTGGACTTGCATGCCTTGGTCAAACATTAAAAAATGTCCATTGTGACCTCTTCATCTGACCTACACAAATGAAAAGATGAACACAAATTCATTGGCCCGCAGTTTCCGAGATCTGATCTAGCTTGTTCATGGTGCAATACATTAGATTCCTTAAATAAAAGCTGGTCTCTGACATTTGAAAAGTCCCGTGCCTAAAAATAATTAATTGCTGAAAACTGCAAAATGAACGATTGTTTAATTGTCTTGAAATAGAAATGAAGGGTTAAAATATACAGTCACACATACCTGGCTATATTACTAACTACGATATATTTGGAAATGTGTGTAATGGACATTGTACATCTTCCTGTCCGTGTGTGTCTAACAATAAAAAAAAACCTTGTTTAATTTTCTTGAAATAGAAGGAAGGATTAAAATGATGGGGACGTACAACTATTTTTGTAAATGAGATCAAATTGAAACACATTCCTGTACATGTGTGTCTAATAATAGGATACATATTCTTTTTATTTACCCTTTTCTTGCAGTTATTGGATTTGTTTCACTTCAGTCACTTGATTGATAATATCAATCAGATAATAAATCCATTAGGACTGTAGATATCAAGATTGGGTCTTGTGTAACGTGAACAAAAAGCATATTCAGTGATAACAGTGTTTTGATTAAATGTGATTTTTACGATTAGTAGGCCTACATGTATAATTTAGGTGTATTGCTTTTTTGTTTATGGATCAAATTCAACGCCAATTCTTGTTGTTAGAAAGAAAAAAAATGGCAATAAATGTTAAGGAATGAGAAATTCTAGTAGAGTGCATAATTCAAATATCTCATTTTCAGTGGAAATTTGGTATGTGCTAGCAGTTTAATTTAAATTCTTTTGAAGTTTTTTTTTTAATTGTCAAATTGTTATGCTATTTTTGTGTGGTTTTATTGTTTGTCAAATGTCACAGTTTTGTTGAAAACCACTTTCATGCATGATTTGTGACCACTGCTGGAATCCTGCAAATTTCTGCAGCAGTGACTGTCAATATGTTGAGGCTTGGCCAGTGACATCCTGGAGCAGTACGAAGGATTTCAAGCATAATCCAGGCCTATATTTATGCATGGCTGAGCAAAAAACAACTCAAGGTCCGGCCCAAGACCTTGACAAAGTGCATCCTACAAAATCAGTAACGCAGTTTTGCCATGTAAGTTGTAACCTCAATCCTCCAAATTCCTCCACTTTGGCAAAGAGGATTTTGAAGGATTCAGGGCAGTAGGGTATAGATCAGTCATTCTACTACCTGTTCTTTATGCTCTTTGTCAATTTTTGACAATTGCAGGCACACACACAAATCCTGATCAGCGCCCTGTTTAAGCTGCCGCATGCTTTACTACATTAGTGTATTTCAAAATTGAATATTCCATTCGATCACGCCCAAGTTGGAATAATCGAATACTAAATTATTCAAAAAATGCACAGCCCGGCTAGCAATAGCAATGTTGTTGTCATTATACCCGCAGGCCGCAGTACATTGGTGCAAATGCTATTAAACTCGTGACTCACAGCTGCCAAAACCAAGATTAAATCCAAACTGTTGAGTCAATGACGTGATTACCACAGCTGGCTGTAATGGTTAAATATTTGTTTTCATCAATTCTAATCTACCGTAGGTACAACAGAGTGTATGCACTCTGTCAAAGAGTAACACGCTAAAGCAAATACTCGGTAAAATATTACATTAACAGTAATTGCTGCGTGCATGATTACCTTTGATTGGACACTAACAGTGCAGTGAAATGCCAAGGATGGGGCATCAACAGGCAACGAAAGCAACATGTGGCCAAATATTTTTTAATTTGCATAGTTTGTACTGAACAGATTTTGATAACTTAGGCAAAAAGCCTACTGTAATAAAGCTGGTCTCAGAACGCAAGAAATTCTGTGAAATTTAATCAGAACATGGTATTCGCTGGAAGTCTTTCATGCATATCTACACAGTGGGCTGGATGTAGCCAATTCATTGGCATTTATGGGATAATCCTACAGGCTTTATTCATGAGTCAGCCCTAATAAATTTGAAAGCGGGGTAAAATCTTCATTTTTGGAACTTGCGAATAGAAATGACATAAAGTTCATTACAAACTAATAAGGGGGCTACCGGTCTGCTCTAATGAATAATTAGAAATTGTGATTAAACATACCCTAATGTTTTAAGCCACACTTAAACAAAAAATTGAAAGTGAGGCACCATCCCATTCAACAAGTACATTCAGGGAACACCATCAAATATGGCTTTCTCATCAAGAAGGTCTGTCTAGTACTGCCTGGATCATAAGTAACAGTTGGTCAATGGACCGATCCAGTAAGCACCGCCCCATGGTATTCTGACCAATCACAGCCGTGATTTACGTCCGACATGCGTGCACGCGCGTATGATGCGCGCGGCAGGAAAATGCAGTGTGGCATTGGAGAGGAGCACGTGTTAATTTGCCCACGTGCGCAGTGGGAGGGGCTTACTGGATCGGTCCATTAGTCTATGACAATGTCTAAGGAGTACATAATGTCAAACCTTTTTCTCGAAGTAACCACGGCACTTTCGTTTTCTGTATCAAAACTCAATCCCAACGTTCACACCAATTCATTTCAATTTCCAAGTATTTGTGTTCAGGGGTTATTGTCCAATTTAAAGACTTTTGCAGGGAAATTTGATTCTTTAAAAATTATGTACATGTATTTACGTCAGCCAGTGAGTCAATCAGTCAGGTAGAAAGTGGATAGCTTGTGTACCAGCAAGTACTTGATCTAAGGTAGAGCCGTCCCGAATACTGAATGTTCAAATATTCGATCATCAACCGAATATTCAAATATCTTTTTGCCGGTTTGAATATTCGAAAACCAAAAAACTTAGCACATACACACAGCTGCGATCTTATTGTATCGTAATGTTGCGGTGCTTTGTTGTCAGGTGCCACTTTTTTGTCAGTGGTAATTTTTCTGTCGACAACGGTTCATTGTTCACATCCTTTTTTAGCAGGTTAAAGCCCTTTACAGTTATGAAATACTTACTGCAAAACACTCCAGCACCCCCATATCGACTGCCGCACGCAAATTTTAACTGCCACACTCTTCATTTAACTTTTAACCGCCGCAGCACGCAGTTGCAGCTGGCAGTTTCGAAGAACCGAATATTTGGTCAAACGCAATTTCGAGTAAGGGAGGAGATCAAAAGGATTTTTCCCGTTCTGACGCGAGCGCACGGGAGGAACGGGCCTATTGTTCCTAATCCCCCCGGGCGCCTGCGTTCGCCCGGGCCCCGTTCCGACCGCGGGATCACGCTCGAAATTGCCTAACAATAGCACAATGAAATGGTCACGCTGGGTGCCCACAGCACGGTAGTACAATAGACCTGTGCGGTGACGACGGTGGATAATGGCAACTGCTCAAATAATATCCGAAGAAACATCGGCCACACTGAAATTTACAAGGAGACTTTGGAAATGTTGTGATAAAATAATGTTTGTTGTTTTCTCATCTCTTGCAGGCGATGTATAGTTGAAAGATTGATAGTGATTTAACTTGTTAAAATGCTCAACAAATCGAGAAGACGTTTCGGAAATTAGAGTTACATTGTACATGTACATGTTTGATAGTTTTGTGTATTTGAAGGGAAATGTGCAACATTTTACAACAGTGACGTCTGATGGAGTGACTGAAGGAAATATTCCTGAATAAACGATCCCAGCTGGACCCGCCAACCAACCCATGGACTAAATAATGTCCCGGGGCCACCACGTGGTTGATCTCAGGAAAGACTCACTGCTAAACTAAGTCAGGCACAGCTGGCCACTGGTTATCTACTGTCAGATCAGCGCGGCTGGCTACATTTATATACAATTGTAACAATCGTGAATCGGTAGTTGGCATTTTTTTTTCGTTGGATGTCTCATAACCAAAACCATTTTTTCGGTGAGGATATTGAAAAGCATGAGCAGGTATACCAATAGCCCCAACAGTAACATTATCAACTACCCAACAAAGAAGTTAATAATACTTCACATTTGTTTGCATTCTTTTGAGCCTTATTATTGGGCCATCTAAAATATTGTTTCGACGTACATCCCCGTGAAGAAATTATACCGTACGACTTTACCTTCCCTGTAACTGAAAAAAACTTCTTCAAATGTTCCACAAATTGAGAAGACTATGTGGGGTCTTCTCCTTTCTTTAAAAAATACATTTCGTGAGTAGTTTTAAGAGATATATACGGGAATAAAGGGAGTGATTCCTTGATTGCGGGGGACGTATTAAGTCGTGAACCCTAAACACGACGGGTGGCGTCAGCACAGAGGCGACTCTCCGACCCTTAACTTTGCAAAGGAATCAAAGTTAAAATTTTTGTGAAGGCTTCTTGACTTATCAAAAACAGTGGACTTTCTAATCACAGCGTTGAAGATATAAAATTCAAGAATACAATTTCCTTTTACCAACAAGCTTGGAACAAAGGTTTAAAACAATTTCCAACATGTCCAATAACTTTTTCTCAGCAAACGAATTCTCCAAAAACAAATTCTAAGACAGCTAATGGATTTATCATTGAACTACGGGTTTTTGAAGTGCCTTATGCATATTTAAATTTTATGCAAATAGCTATAGCAGATGCAGTTTCCAAACTGATAATCTATGATTGGCATACAGCAGCGGGGTGGCGATAGGCGTGGGGTTCGGGGCCCGCTTAAGGGCCCCGGAAAATGTCTGATTTTAGATGCTCTGTGGTGCAATCTGAGGCGATTACTGGGCACTTCCTCTGAAATTTTGAAGCAGAATTTGTTTTAATTTTAAGAAGAATTTTCCTTCATTTGTTAAAATGTACTCTTGTTCTAATAAAGTTTCTTCTGTACTCAAAGTTGAGAACCATGCTGTTCTCCCCAGGATTTTTTCAAACCTGTGGGGGAATTTTTGTTGTGATACAGCAACCTGCGAAGCCACGGCGTGGGTTCGGAGCCCGCATAGAGGGCCCCGAAAAATTTTGAACTTAACAAGCGCCGCAAACATTCAGTCTGGTCGGCCCTACATCGCGCCGTACACACGGCGCAGTGTCAGTGATTGCTGCACTGTGAACGGCCCATCCCACGTGGCCGAAAATTCTGCACTACTGCAAAAACACGCTGCGATGTTTCTCCACAGGTTCGAGTTTTGCAATCTCGTCATTTCAATGGAAAATACATACACAGAAAATGAAGATCACGTTCTGTGAATTAATTTGCAGAAAATCTCTTTTTCCATCGATTTTTGTTTGGTATTTTTACTATTTTCACAAATTTCCCGAAAGCGGCAGCATTCCTGAGCTGCCGCTTTCACATACAAGGTTTCAAAATAGTCACATACAAGATTTCTGGCTACGCAACCGGCAGTCCCAGGCATCACAGGGGAGCCTCCTAGCGACAGTATTTCTAAGCAACAAGGTTGGAATGTGATGGGCATGCAGCCATGCACCTGTGGCTCAGATAGCTAATCGCTCCAGTTGCGCGTTGAAGGAAGTCATATTCTTGAAAGCAGACGGTCCGTGATGAAAGCAACCAATGGCATATTTATTTGCCGGGAACCGGCTCATTTCATTGGCTGAGATACTATCATCACTGTTTTTCATCTAAGAATCTTCCAATTACTGGCGGCAAGTTCTCAAAGGCCTTAAAGTTCGGTGGCCTACAGCTGAATCCAAATGTACATGCTTTGTAACGAACAAGAGTGGCATTGTATCAATTTGAACAATGCGGCTATCAATCATTCTCTGGAAAGGCTTTTCGGAGCTGAGATTTTTTTCGGAGCTGAGATTTACTAGTCCCTAAAGTTAATTGAAAACTGAAGGAAATATTCCTGAGTCTACGACCCCAGCTGGACCCACCATGCCAACAAATCCATGGACTAAATTAATGCCCCCACCACGTGGTTGATCTCAGGAAAGACGCACTGCTAAACTATGTCATGCACAGCTGGCCACTGGTTATCTATGGTGGTGTACCCTAACGTGGCGCACTTCGAAGCATACCCAAATTTCCTCGTGTAGTGTTGCCAAACCTCTTTGTTGACAAACCTCAAATTCATGCAGTGAAATACTGGTACTTTTACCTTATTAATGCTTGCTGTTTAACCTCTGTGAACAATTTCGGTTTCATAAAATTTAAGCCGAAATTAAAAAACGGTGGCGTCCGGAAATTGGGTACAATTTGGCGGAGTGTTCCCTAACGTGGCGCACTTAAATAAATCTCGGGAAATTCCAAATTAACATTTAAGAATTTCTGAAAACTTGATAAATTCTGATAAATCATTATTATCTCTACTTACATACCCAGCCAGATGTTTGTCACAAAATTATTTTCTTATTTTTCGGGGCATTTTCAAAGGGTTCACTTTGCACTTGAAAATAAAATCGGAAAATCACGCCAAAATAAGTTTTTCTTTTAACTTTGTAGCGGGTAAATAAATTCGCGATTTATGAACGGGAGTGTTTATAACTTGATGAAATTTCACTTTCTGTGAAATTTCAGTTAAAACTTTTGCTCTAGCTAGGCGCTACAGGCGAAAAATCAAAGTGCGCCACGTTAGGGGGCGCGCCACGTTAGGGTACATCAACAATACTGTCAGATCAGCGAGGCTGGCTACATTTATATACAATTGTAACAATCGTGAATTGGTGGTGGGCATTTTTTCGTTGGATGTCTCTTAACTAAAACCATTTTTCGGTGTGAATCTTGAAACGCATGAGCAGGTATAAACCAATAGCACCAATAGTAAAATTATCGACTACCCAACAAAGAAGTTAATAATTCTTCACATTTGTTTGCATTCTTTTGAGCCTTTATTATTGGGCCATCGAAAATATTGTTTCGACGTACATCCGCCGCGAAGAATTACACCATCCTACTTTCACTTCCCTGTAAATGAAAACAACAACAATCATATTAAAATTTAATTCATAAAAAAGAAAACGAATCCGTGGAAAGGTTTTGCGTGGTGGCAATGGAGTTTCATCGAGATGAATATTACAGCCCCATTTCCCTCATATTTCCTTTAATACTTGTTTCTTTTCATGTGTTTACGTCGCCGTATTTCACATACCTCTGCTGTTGCTGGCGGCCGTGCACGGGGGAGAACGGAACATTAACATGACAAAGGACGCACACAATGAGACTTTTAATGAGCTCGGGTACTTCGCTGGGCGCCTGGTAAGCCGGGCGTTCTACCCCGGGAGAACGGGCCTATTGTTGGGTTGAGTTAATCCCCGTTCAGAACGGGAGGAACGCGGGCGCTTGCGTCGGAACGGGAAGAATCCTTTTGATCTCCTCCCTAATCAAATATTATTTTTTTGAAAATGGACATCCCTACTCTAAGGTTATGAACTTTGATATAATGAAGTTTCTCATTCTTGTGCAGAGCATAGTATTGTGAATTAGGTTTAACCTATTACATGTAAATGTAGTTCTTGTAACCCATTAGAAATCCATTAGGCCTAAACTGCGTGTCTGTTTCTGCTATACAGCCACAACTGCCCCAGTGTTGTATGGTTTTATGAAATCATCAGAGAAATGTAATAAAGTGCTAATGGGTTATTTAAAGCCTGTCAGTATTACGGTAAATTGTCCAAACAACTAATTATTTCAATGAGCTATTTTTGATTTGGGAGTTCTGATTTAATGGACACAGGTTTCTAATCTCTTATTTCTACTTTCCTTGATTGGTTAGACACCTGATCCCCGTCACCTACCCAGAGCCAGATGTTTACAGTATCCTAGCAATGTTTACTGACTTGTCTATAAATGTGTCATCTGTATGCAGGTAAACATGTAAACAACAGCACCCAACAAGAGAGGGAGAAATTCACGAGTCTGTTATCTGCAGTTCTGCGATGGATGCCGAACCGAAGACGCTAAACAAGCAAACCTTAACACCCTGGAAGGATGCTGCTGACCCGCCACCCCACCAGGCCGTATCCAACGGCAACAGTAACGGCGTCAGTGGCGAATTCACCAAAGACGAATTTGCCGAAGATCTGCATTCCAACGAAACCCCAAATACAGCATTCGACGATGGAGGCAGCTCAAATAAATCTACTAAACGAGAAATTTCAACCAGTATTGATGAGACACATTGGAATATACCAGACGATGCTTCCGACTGGCCGGTAATGTCCAACGGTAATCATGACGATCTGTCGCCTGATGGGACAGTTTCTACGTCAGCGTGGGGGGACGGCCCCACGACCCACACACCAGCCTTGGACATCCATGAGGCCTCACAGCAGACTCCATCCAGTCCAACGATACCTCAACCAAGTTCAGGATCGGAACTAACAGCAAACCCATTTGGGCCGAGTACTGACATGTTTGGAGCGGGCTTCACGGATAATTTCTGTGAGATGTCGGAGACTGATTTGATTTTCAGATCCGGTCTGGTAGACGAAGAATTCAAGACTATATCAGGTAAGACGTATAAACGGAAAGTTTTAATGCATTATTTTTTTTCATAAACAGCCAGTTTGACTATTCGAGGATCCAGATTTTTTTCAAATTTTTTCCAAAAACGTTTGGGAGGGGGGGGGGATGACTAAGGGTTTATAATTCAATGCATACAGACACCAAAAGCCTTAACAATTAAGCAAGATTTGGTGTATGTTCAGGGAAGCAAATTGTGGATTTTGAAGATATACATGTAGTTCTTCCTCAGTATTTGTCCAATATTTTGTTTCATCTTCTAATGTAATATATCTGCATGTGGAAAATGGCTACAACTAAAAATTTGAGTTAGTTTTAAATGGATATATCCATCAGAAGCTTGAACCATCTTCTCTTTTGTTAAAAACCTCTTAATCAATAAAGAAAAATTGGTCTTGACATTCTGAGTGAACAGGTCACAATTAGCTTTGTTTCTATCCAAATATGTGGGAAGTTTTTGCACCATGAATAGTGTATAGCGCCCTCTTGTGAGCATAACTTTTTATTTGGTTGCCTTTCACAGTGACTGCTGAGGAGGATGACCTTTGGTCATCATTTGCTCAGCCAAGTGAATCAGAGTCCCTGGCCAATCAGAGTGCAGCATCAGCATCATGGGATCCCTTCCCAGCCAATCAGGAGCCACCAAATACAGACCAAGTACCAGTGCAGAGTCAACCAGATCCTAGTGGAAATCTTCCCAATCAAATTGGACAATCGTCGACTTCTGAAAATCATAACAAAATTTCTGTGGATGTGCCAGCCCCACGGCCACAAGTGCTAAATATTTTGCAATCGGTTACCAGTCAGCATTCCAGTGCAACAGCATTATCTCCTGAGGAGGATACCAGTATTCAAATTAACCAGCATCGGGCCAATGAGATTGTGCATTATGAGAGTGAGGCTAAGAAACCGTCCAATGAAATCGCAGCATCTAGTCCGAAACCACAGAGTCAATTGAACATCAAACAATTGTTGAAGGATTCAGCATTCAAAGAGATAATCCTGGATGAGTCTTGGATGGCAGAGAAAGACTGTCTTGAGTCTAAGGTAAGACAATTTTATATTTAATTCAATTATTCATTTAAACTACAGGGTGAGTCAAAAAAACACGAAACCCAAATGTCGGGACCATTGTTTTAGTGAAGTTCTGCAGGTAGCACTTTTAAAATCTGGGATATGAAAGCCCAATTCATACGCTTTCTTTTAGTACAAGAATCATTCAAATCACTTATGGACTTTTTAAGTTATGGAATTTTAAACACAACCACCGTTTTAAAGTTCTGTCCACGGATCACACAATAGGTGTGCGTTCTTTCAGCAAAACAAAAACAATTCACACACATCCCTATAGTGATTTGTTTTCGTTTTGCTGAAAGAACACTTACCTTTTTGTGATCCATGGACAGAACTCTAAAACGGTGGTTGCCTTTAAAAGTCTGTAACTTGAAAAGTACATAAGTGATTTGAATGATTTTATACTAAAAGAAAGCTTATGAATTGAGCTTTCATATCCTAGATTTTGAAAGTGCTACATTCAGAACTTCACTAAAACAATGGTCCCGACATTTGGGTTTCGGGGGTTTTTACTCACCCTGTATAACTATTCTAACAGAAAAGTTAGAAGTATGAAAATGAATAAAACTGCTGCAAACTGCTTTCTGACTGGATTGACCTGAAATGTACAAATCAATAGATTTTAAGTGGCCTGATGTTTGCATCATAACAAGATCTTATTGAGAGGCAAAGTGACAGTGGTTAGAAATAGTTACAGTTGACTGTAGGAGATTGATAAGCCACCTGTGCCTACCAGTCACCTGCTTTTGTCTGCCGATGGAATTTGACTGTCACAGTGCTTACTAGAAATACGATCTGACTGTTGGTGACTAGCCTGTTTAAAAGGCATGGCAGGGGAACAGAATTGAACTTTTGAATGTCTGTGACTGATCAAACAAAAGGAGGGTGAATGCTGTAACCAAAGTTGAAATCAAGTCAATCGCAAGTCAAATCACTAGTCAAATCACAAGTCAGTGCACAAGGCTATTAGTCACTAGTAACAGGATTAAAAATTAATAGTTTGTGACTTGACTTGCGACTGAATGACTTGTGATTGGCTCGTGATGAATTACATACAACGTCGCTATACCGAACACCGCTATACCAAAAATTCGGCTATACCGAACATCGTCCTTGGCTCCCGATTTTTGTGTACAAAACCAACTGAACATTTGTTGTTGAAAAATGTCAACGGAAGAGTGATAAATGGCTATTATTTCCCCAAGGAATAGAAGGGGAAATTTTGGAAGGCATTTGACAAATAACTGGAACCTGTCAAAAATGTTGCCCCACATCAAACAATTCTATATGTACATGTATGTGTACATGTACCAGTATGTCACAGTACAACACATGTATACTGGTACTTGGTTTGTTTATTATTTCTCTGTCTGTACACTTCTACTTTGCAGTTACAAGTTATGTACAAATGTACCACCCTAGGGGAATCAGTCCTACATGTACAAGTGGAAAAAAAACCAAATTGCCGGACACAAGTTCATACCGGTACAACTCATTTTTACCCCCTGCAAGTGCTCGGCTCCTTTTTCCCAATACAAAAATGTAATATCTTGTTGGCAATGTCAAATCAGTGTTTGGAGAAATTCAACATCTCACTTATGGGAGCAGAAATGTCATAAACTCTTGAACTATAACTAATAAATAATGTTGCATGAGGGACCCTAAAGACCTCTGGATTCTTGGAGCCTAGGCAGCCTGACAGAAAAATAAATATTGCTGTGAAATGATCTGATAAAAATTGTATTTAATGCAGAAAATTCCATTGTCCCTCTGAAGTAGGTCAGTATTTTGTTTTCTGCCAGCTACTGTATCTGGCTACTGGAATTTCAGTGGTATTTAAACTGTCTACAAGTTGTCCCAGTTATAATATTTGATTTTGGCTCAGATCTAAATATTTAAAACTAAAAACACCACTTTTTTTGGGGGGGGGGGTACTTTGAATTGTAAGGGGAAAGTTAGAGTCTATGCTGATCACTTGTGAATGTCAATACTCACACTGGGAATGTGTTTTTTATTTGAAGTAAAAATTTAAAATGCATTAACATTTGCTGGTTGTGCACCCCTTTAAAAGTGTATGGAACAGTCCTGATGGATATTCATGACATGTAAATGAGACCAGCCTCACATCAGGCTGCAGGGGGGCTGTGTGTGCATGTGGAGGTATGCGATTGTTTGTGTTGAGATCAGAATGGGGATCAGGTGTGCTGGAAGAAGACTAGAAGAAAATGAAGGCACATTGTTGTATTTGACACAATACTGACGGTGAGGATCTTGTGTAGACTTGGAGCACTGTCTTGTCAGGATTAAGACATTACTGGCAGCTGCCTGAATACATGTGCCCACACACACATGTGTACTAGCACACATGTACATGCTGTACATGTTTTCTCCACAACTGTTGCTCATTAGAGTGTAAGTATCCTTACATTTTTATTGACAAAAAGTTTTGACAGGTCCAGAAAGACGTTAACTTTAGATGAACCAGCCGTAACATTGATCTCTTCCTCCATAAACGGGCCTACTATGTAAACATTAACTGTTCCAGATAATTCAAAATCTACTTGGAAGTTTGGAAGGATTTGCCAGGAAGATACCGGTACATGTTATGTAGTGTGAAAGTGGAGCTAATTACTGTGGAAACTTTCAGCACTAACTAACGGACTAATGGAGGGAACCCAAAGACCTCCTTCGCTTCCTTCGCTTCAGACTTCAGAGTGAAGGCTTTTTGAAAATTCAGGATTCATGTGGAGTATCGTGACAAAAATGACTAACGACTCACAAGTTACTACATGTAGGGTTAAATTAAAGAGAGGACAGGACTGAATCTCAGCCCAGAAAAATCTGGATCGTTAGCTAAAGTGGAGCGTTTTAAGCAGAAAACCAGGAAACTAATTTGAAGTTGATTGAAACTGCTAGTGTGTCTACCCATGCAAATTTTCCCATGTTACTTTTGAGATTGGTTAAATAGCTATTTTTGCATTTTTGGTCATTGGGAAAAATCGCTGAAGACACCTTTTCCTTTTGAGCAAAATTTCAAGTATACATTGTAGCTCCCTCTGAAATGTGACATACATACATTACATGTCGCATCTATTCATGTTAATAAAAACTTAACCAGATGTAATCATAATGTAAACAAATAAAATACAGTAGGCTGTTTATCTGTAAAATAAATTCTGAAATGATGCACTAAATTTATAGCCTGAAAAATCCCAAAACTATAAATATATATCGTAAACAAACTTGACATTTTTTGGATTTGATCTTTCATATTTAAAGTTGAAGTAACCAGGCTACCGTGAATATTTTGAACTTTGGAATGGACGCTTTCTTGGCACCATAAACCAGTATCGCTTTGTGTAAGTACAAACTGTTATGATCAAAGGAGCAAAAATCTAAACTGAACTTTGCCTTAGGGTGTAAATATTTGAAATAAGTTACGCCTATTTGCTACACTTTTGTCTCCGCGAATCTAGGCATTGAAATATAATCCATAGTTCAAGTGGTGTATGATATGAACACATTCCAGTTGAAATCAGAATAGATAATGAAACGCTAATGGAAACTTATGTATGCTGGTATCGAATGCAATCAATTAATGCTGCACACAGGTTGCATCCATTCATGCTTGCAAGAGGTGTGATGAATGTTTCACAGGTGGTTCACAGTACAGCCTGATTAACTGCACATATCCTATCCAGTAAATCACACCATATTTATCTGTGGATTTGATTGATTTGAAAGACGACCTTGGTGATAGTAATAATTCCGTGGTTCTACATCAAGTTACCTCATGGACTGTTGATACAGGTAATGTTTATTTTGTTTCAGAGATCAGACATTTGGGCCCAGTTATCAGTGGTGGATCGTACACTTAGGGTACATTGTACATGTAGGAGTGTTTAAACCAGAGGAGGGAGAGTGATTTTTTGGTTTTGGACGACAATTTTGAAATTGAAGTTGGTGAGAGCCAATTCGATGGATCTGCTTACAGTACACAATGGATCCGCTTACAGTGTAAGTAAAATTTATGCTTGGTACAACCAGGTTAATTACCAGTCAAAATGCCATGCGATGTACATATTGCCTGTACAATGTAACTGGCTGTCAGCTGATTTATGCTTAGCAAACTAAACAAGCAAACTTGAAATTTTGCCCTGAAATTGATTATATCATGGAACTATTATGCATATTATTAAGTGAGTCTATGAAGTAGGCTACAATGTACGTACTCTGTACAAATGTATCTATTATTTTAAATACAAGCTCAAAATCAGTTTGATCATTCATACCCAGTACGTGTACCTGCATTTATTCAAAGCAGGGAAAACATTGTAAAAAAATCAGGTCTGTTTTGCTTTGTATTGTGATTAATTATTATTATAAAGTCATGTTTGTAATCAGGCATACATGTACATGGTAGACAGGGAGGCATGCAGTTCTTGTAAACAACTTCTATGCAGTCATCAGGAAAGTATGGACACATTCCACATACACATGCTATACAGCATTGCATTGTGAATGCTGTGTGTTACCATGGCGACATGTACGCAAGGGGTCGCGTTTCACTTCTGTCTGCCATTGTGCCATAGTCTATCGGGGAGCGTTAAACTTATGACCTTTGACCCTTGGGAAGGACAAATTTGCCAGTACAGTTTTTTTTAAGCTGAGCAGATTCATGATATTTGTAAATGGTTTGAAAATGTCCAATCAAAGCAGGTGTAATTCCTAGATTTCACATTTGGCAAGATTTTTAATTGATGAAAAGCTAGCCTAAAGTAGAGCGTTTCGTCTGTATGGCCCTTTCTGAATCATACCCACCCCACAAGAACAGAATTATTGTCTGGCAGTCAATAATCCATAATATTGTGTATAGGAAAAACATTCAATTATGACTTTATAGGTCTATGGGCTGATTTTTGGTCAATATCTCATTAAAAAAGTGCATAACATTCGTAGGCCTATTGCTAGAA